TAGACAGGAGGGTTAATATTCTTGATTGATCTAGGTAGTGACAAGGTCCTTGAGAGTAGAGGTATCATTACCATGGGTCACATCTGCACCTTTTTTAAGCTTAAACACTATTAGTATTTGTGCAAAGAACTGTAAGGTTGAGAACATGTACCTTTTTTAGTATATCTTCAGTGTTATTCATATTGAGTTCTGCAAGCTTTTCATGCAGCTAGGATAGGATCTACATGAGTACAATGTAGCTATGCTGCAAGTAATCCTGTCTGAATGACTTCATTAAATGTATTATGGAACAAATAGCAATGACTTATTCTAGGATGCTGGGCTCCAACTACTTCTCATACCTGTGATCATTCTTAGTAATCAAGTTTTCTAGGCTGCTATATAGGGCAATCATCTAATAAATGGCTCTGCATTGAGTAATGCAGTAGGTTGTTTTATTTAAATGATCAATAAGCTAAGGCATAGTGAGTGGAATGGTATATGAGTATACTAAACCTTTGCTTTATTTTTTATTCTTGTTTCATTGTGTGGAGTTCCTCTTCCAATGTAGCAATGCAACACTTGGTCCTTGCCTTCATAGAGATAGGAACTACTTCAGACTGATCTAGAAATGTGAGAGCATGTAAATATTGTAGTCTTGTGGCTCTGGTGTACTAGATATGGCAGAAATACTAAATATTAAAATACAGTGAAATAGTGAGAAAAATGGTAAGGGACAGGTGACAAAATAATGGAGAGAAATAGAGAAAAGAAACAAACTTGGCAAACCTATTTATACCGATCCTTGCTAAATATTGAGACATATTTGGCAATGTCTAATGAATATATCTAACAGCTGATTGTTGTTTCACCCCTCAAGATATACATAGCATCATTAGTAATGGTACTTCTAGTAGGTTACCAGAGATTTACTAATAGATGACTTCATTATTGAGAACATATCTACCATCCTAACATATTGCACAGTCTCTTAATATCAAAGACAGATTAGTCAGACCTGACATAACTATATCTGTTACTGCTTTGGAGGGATCTACAAAAGTTGTGCTAATCTCTTCCTATGGGGAGTGCAATATGTGAAAAGATAGAGAATATATGGTTCACAAGCATGTCGACATGTGATGGAACGTCCCCAACACATGCTAGCTGACACCCGCAGTCATATCTGGTCTTTAAAATCAAGGATGGTCCAAAATAAAATGATTGAATAAGAATATGTCGAGGAACTTGATCACACCAGTGCCTAGCTGTTCTTGACATGTGTTGTATGATACCTGGAGCTGACTGAATCGTCGGTGATAGATGCACCAGAATGAAATGATCTCTTTTCATGAATCATATACGATCCATGACTTCAAACCGATTCAAACCGATTCACATCAGGACAGTGATGGACAAAAACAGTACAAAAGGCTCTATGGTATATTATGATCTAAATATGCAGGTTAAAGTCGATGGTGATGTGTGGACAAAAAGAAATAAAAGAAGTATATTTTAGCAGTGCATCTAGACCTCATCTAAGTAGTTGTGATATTAGTAGATGAAGCTATAAAGTATGCCACTTTAGTTGCAGGTTCCATTATATCCTCTGAGAGACCTTGTATGATGATACTATCAGTAACCCACAATCTCTCAGTCTCAAATCATTCATTAATTTTTCCACTACACAATGTTCAATTAGTGAGCTCATTGTGGTCACCAATCATACTATTACTTCAGTTAAATACTTTGTGTGAGTGAGGAAAGATAAGACTCTGAAGGATATTTGTTCTGACAATCCTATAGACATGGCTTACAGTATAAGTTTTTGTTGTTCTAAACCTTTCAAATCAATTTCACAGATCTAATGTATACTTTAGTATCCATGATAGACATGAACATTGTCATGCAGATTCTCATCCTTATTATAGAGCATCTCCTCTTGAAAGATGGCCCACTTCTTCATAAAGTTAAGATACTTACTAGATGAGAAAATATGCTTGCAAATGCTTAGATAGGGAGTTAATCTATCACAATAGCATAGATGGTTTGATATGGTCTATATACAAGCTATTTTAAAGTTTAATTAAGTAGTTGAGATTGATATAATAAAAAACACTTAACTTCCAAAATGCAAAGGGATTCATACCTTTGGGGCTATGGTTTGCTGTGACATATATGTATTGAACACATGGTTTGTTATTTGTACATCTTGACTTGAGATTTGAACTTTCATCCCTAGCAGGCCATATTTTGTGGCAAGTGTTGTACTATGATGCTGATGACAGGTTATCTGTTGTGGTGCCAAAGAAGGCTTTTCAGCTTAGTATTTTTTCATCTATTAACACATCAGATAAGGATCCATACATTGCACAAAGAATAGCTAAAGCTCTACAAAGTATAAGCAATGAATTCATCAGTAGACTCGAGCTTAAAGAAAGATTGATACAGTCACATCTGTAAATGGTAGCCAATGACACTGATCAGCATAGCTTGAGGTTGAAGAAGAATTGACCTATTTACACATACTACAGATGGTGGCTAACATCAATTGAGTTTAAGTTTTGAGGGAGAATCAATACACTCAAAACCTACAGATAGTGAGTAACAACTTTGGTCAGCATGATTCCAGCTCAAAGTAGGATCAACAGTGATTCAACAACTCTTATAGCAATTAGTCATTCATTTACTTCAGTTGGATAGCAACTCTCTACAGTCAATTCCTACAGTAAATATCTTAGAATATGTAAATGCAAGGATAACCATGCAGATATCATTTGAATGTCTCAAAAGTATATTGAATGTCCATCTGTACTTCTTCCAAATCCTGTATCATCATGTGATAAGTAGTTGCAGTTATTATGAATGTGTACACTTGTCTCTAGGTTATATTGAGCATAATTATCATTTGATATCATCTCTGGATTTCTTTCATCTTGCATACATAGCATGCACACATAAATTCAAGTGTCATGGTGCAAGCACCCTTCATAATATGATCCAAGATAAATCTGATCAATAGACCTGGAGTCAAGTATAACCAGCAATTATTTTTCCATCTCATTCATATTATGCTAATGCTCAGGGTATCACTTAAGCATCATGCTACTTCCTTAGTTTGGACATTTAGATTTCCACATCTACTATCTTTTTTTAGAATCAGTACAGGTCTCACTGGGTATACTGAGAATATAATGAGAAACATAACTTGAAGATGTAAGTATCTTGTATGCCTGTAATATGATTAAATACATAGTGGATACTTCCTGGAGTTGGAATGTTTATTTTTATAATGCCCTAATGATATATCATAGGTCCTAATTATGGTGAACTGTATTAATTCTTAACCTTGATGCTTAATCAAGCATATGTTTTCATTACAGTGGCCATTTGTTATACATAGCCTGCATAGTACATTATTTGTACTATTGGTCTGTCTGTAGCTATAAATATATGTATGGCTTTGGGTGGGCCTGCATGCACTGTGTATCCAATGGTTATGGGTAGGCCCACAGTGCATATTCTTCGAAACTTTGGAGTGGGCTCATGCTGGTGTCTATTGTATGTATAGGTGGGCCCATGGAACAGCAAAAAAAGTATGTGTTAACAATTTCGAGTGGGCCCAAATAGCTGGTACTGTTTATATATGATTAGGCCCGGATCATGTATTTGCATGACCGGGTGGGCCCACATAGTGATCCGCTGTGATGTGCGCCAGTGAGGGCATAGCTATAAGACTACCCTCACCGGAGGTCATCACATTCCACCGGGATTCCAACATTTCATGGCTAATTCTTCGTTTTACTGGTTTTCACCATTATGAGTGATGTACAGCTGAATGTTGAGGAATGTACTTAATAATAGTGGTCCGGCATGATGTGGACCGGCAAGGGGATAGCTATGAGGCTATCCTCGCTGGAGATCATCACATTCCGCCGGGATTCCAACATTTCATGGCTAATTTTTCATTTTACCAGTTTTCACTGTTATGAGTAATGTACAGCTGAATTTTGAGGATTGTACTTAATAATAGTGGTCCACATCACCCTGGACCACTATTATTAAGTACATTCCTCAACATTCAGCTGTACATCACTCATAATGGTGAAAACCAGTAAAACGAAGAATTAGCCATGAAATGTTGGAATCCCGGTGGAATGTGATGACCTCCGGTGAGGGTAGTCTTATAGCTATGCCCTCGCTGGCGCACATCACAGCGGATCACTATGTGGGCCCACCCGGTCATGCAAATACATGATCCGGGCCTAATCATATATAAACAGTACCAGCTATTTGGGCCCACTCGAAATTGTTAACACATACTTTTTTTGCTGTTCCATGGGCCCACCTATACATACAATAGACACCAGCATGAGCCCACTCCAAAGTTTCGAAGAATATGCACTGTGGGCCTACCCATAACCATTGGATACACAGTGCATGCAGTTCCTGCCTGATTCATCTTTGCGAGCTCAAATATTCGAGCCACAACCAGGCCTTCGAGATGATTGAGCGCATGCTAGAATTTCCATTTAGCCACAAGGTGTCCAGCACCCTTCCACTCCTAATCTTCAGGGACCCATCTACATGTCACGGCAAGCTTTGTCTCGAGTTCTTGGACAACTTTCAGATCCTTCTTGTAATTCTCCATAGCATGTCTGCCGGTGGTCTCAACCATGTTCATTGATGCGATGTCGGGGGATCCAAATTCCACCGTACTTGGTGTAGTCACAGACCAAGCTGTCATAGAAGCATCAAGGTCCCTCCTAAAGGTCTCATTAATATTAGAAAATGGACAAATGACAGACACTCACTTGCTACCTGATAGGTTCATGAGGTTTTGCCAGTACTCCATCTGCAAAGTCTCGTGATTAGGCTCACGAGTCAATGATATAAGGTATGCTCATTCTTCCGCTAACCAAGCATCAAAGATGCTCTCATCCTCTACCCCAAGCTCATGCATGAGTTTTGGCAGAGTTTGTTGTCCATCGGAGAGGATAAGAAGGGCTTGCTTATAGTTATTATGTAGAAATGTGCCTGGGATATTGTGTTAATTGAAAAATAATATGCCACCAAACCAACAACTCACTAAGATTTGCATAGATTTCATGATCGTCATTGTGCTGAAAATAATTGGCAATAGCTTGACGCCAGTGACAGACACTTGCATATCGCACACATGAGGCCAGGGCATTGGACTTCGAGAATGTGCATTCACAGCCTTCCAGGTCCTCTAGTACCAAGCCTTCAACATAAGTTGCCAGATGATTGAGTTGACAAAGGCGTTGGTATGCATGTCCATGGAAGGCACCAATGAGGGATGTATGATTGAGTTCCTGTGCATGTTGACCTAGTGAACTGCGGCTGATTGTAGCCTTAAAGCGACAGCCAATTTTGTAACCTCCTCCAAGGTCGCTGCCAAATGTACTGAGAAGTTTCGAGACCACAGCTAGAGGGTACTTTGCTCTGAGAATCAAGTCAGCAAGCAAGTAAACAAAGGATTGTTGACTTACTGCTCTCCACTTTGGACCATGTCAGCTATGACAAGCGAGAAACCATGCCTACAGATAGACATAAATATGCCTGACTCATTGAAAACACCCACATCGTCTTTGTCTTTTCATCCTGCATATTTTTCCAGTGTCCCACATAAGGATTTTCCTGCAATGGAATTAATATAAGGTAATGATAGAAAAGAAAGAAAAAACCTCACTATCATTAAGGGATAAATTCTTTGAGTTGCATGGGATGTCAATTGTGCTCGAGGTAGCATGAGATGGTTGGGATTCAGTTAAGCCAGGATGTGATTTAGGCCTTGCAAAAGTGAAGCATGTACTCCAGCAAGCACAGGAGTTGTGCACCAAAGCCTGTAATGTTAAGGAGCCTTTCACAGATCAATTGCAGGATGGGATAGCATGTGTTGTAAATATGGCAGATTTGCATGTTTGTGTATGGGAGTTGTTGTTGTCAATGATGGCACTCAAAGTTGATACATACTTTGATGCCCTTCGCTATAGTTCACTTGTCTGGCAAAAAAATGCATAATGCACGTTCAGTAGACAATATCATTGTTTTCACGCCCAAAGAACATCAATAAAGATTTTATAGTAGGAGCGACAAAGAATCAGACAAACACATCATATGATGTAGATATAGACATGATACAGTATGAGTGTGGGTTGGTAGATCCAACCATCTAAGTTTTTGTGAGTAACTCAGTGTCGTTCCAGCAGAAGCTGACCAGTATTGCTGAAGATGAAACTCTTGGCTGCACTACAAGTAAGGATTGAGGTGCCTGTCTATAATGATATAATATGTGGACTTACAGGAATATATAGGTGATGTGACTGTCTTGTAAATATGGAGATGATATCTTGCCATTGTCAACATTCATGCATTTATAAGTCACATGACATGTGAGAGCAATGTGGAAGCAAAATGTAACTTGAATCTTGACGATATGGATTTCAATGTTTGGCTCACCAGCGCTAATCACACACAACTTCAAGTTTTATGGACATTCATCAAGGTATGATTCGGTTTACACTATGATACTTATTGTAACTAACTAGCACAAGTTTGGCACTGATAGTAGTAACAATCTCTTACTGTTTACTCGTGTTAACCTTCAGACTAAGGATGACCTGGAGCAGTTTTGAGGGTCAGCCAAAATGCTTCTAACTCATTCTTAATAATACATAATCTGCAGTGCCTCAAAGAGGTTGGGTGCATCATCCCTTGATGTTGTCCACTATTCGACCGGTCAAACCTCTGCCTCCTTAGGGGGGATTGATGTGCATGTGATGCTGGCACCTTCAAGCCACAGTAAAATTTTATTTCATGATTTTCCACATAAATTCATGTGTCACTTGGTTGGTAAACAGTGTGTCATGTTTTTTTGCAAGGCACAGACTTGTTTTCACTATGGATTGTGCAATGTCTTACCTCCATGGACAACTTCATATTTCCTGATCCAGCGTGCAACAATTTTCAATATATCCCTTCAAGTGAACCTCTTACTTTTTCAAGGCCCAAAGCTCAATATTACTGGCAAAGATTCAGATGCATTAGTCCCTCCAGCACTTGACATTCAAAAATCAGCTCAGGCCCCCTTCCATTTTCCTCAATCTTTTCAACTCTTTGACCCAAGTCTTGGTTTTACACAGGACCCCTTTGGCAGGTTGGAACCGGCTGCTTCCAGTGCTCAGGTGCCTTTAAACATTGATTGGAATGACCCTTCACTAGTAATCTGCTTGATGGGTCCTCTGGTGCATTGAATGAAAGCACGACAGCACCCATTAACAACCTTAATCACAAGACAGATACATATCCAACCATTGAAAATACACAAATTGACAGCCAGCAGCCCATTATAGGCTCACATAATACTTGGATTGCTCAACATACTAATACAAAAGCCCTATAGACAGACCCAGTGGAGGCAAACAATTCTTCCTGGGCAGTGCGGAATCCTAGTAGGCCTACTCTCTCGACCAAAGGACCAATGAGCCTCTTGCAAAATCTCCTCCCAACATCACAAAGAGGCTGAAGATGCTTTGAATGCAGCAATTCAACAACTGCTCACTGAAGAATCCCAAAAGGTTCATGATACCTTCCTGCCAAGGGGCATGAGAACATCACATGATCTGTGGTTCATATATTTGCCTTGCATGCAAATATTTCTTTCTTTCATACCACAACCTTCACCTGTTGTTTCTCGCCTCAATGGGTGTTCACCATCGATGATGGTGGCCATTGCAGCATGCTGCATTGTTCAGATTCTCTCACATTTGGAATCGTTCACGTTTGGTGGTTCCTTGCCCCAATGGGCATTCACTGTCGATGACGGTGGCCACTGCTCTGCACTGCTTGTAACTTTCATCATCCAACTACTTGGTCCTTGCTCCTCGCACGGTGGTCTTCTCGCCTCAATGGGTGTTGAATGTTGATGACAGTGACCACTTCTCCTGTCCTCTCTAATGTCACTCCAATAGTCTGATCTACTGTTCCTTGGTTCATGGATGATGTGTCTGTCCCCCCAATGGCCATTCACCATTGAAGATGATGCCCCACCTCTATTCCACTGTCAGACTATCTTTTGATGTCATGCTATGTCTTATGTAGATATAGTTTGTAATACTGTTCCTGATCATACATAGCTTGTGAATCGCAGAAATTTTACCTAGTTCCAAATATTCTGAATAAGAGCTTTCATTCGTCAAAGCGTTTTGAATTTTTACTTCATGACGGAGCCTTGGATGGTCAACCTCCAAACATATGCTGACACTGTTTATGAAAATGAAAAAGATGGTGATGTATGGGAGGACAACTAACAAATAAAGTTTTTGACCATCAAGGATGACCATGAACATGGAGTAAGCTCCACAGTGCCAACGCTCAGCGTTCCACCACGTAGCCAAAACATTTCTCTTGCCGTTACAATTTTGTTGACTGAAATGTGTGAGGCGATAAAGACTCTTGACCATTGATTCCTATCTCTACTGGATGAAGTCAATGCTGGTTCTTCTTCGTCATTGGAAGATCTAGAAATTCACCTAGACTGGGATATCTGCTAACCTTACTTTGTCCTTCAAGGCAATAGCAGAAACGGATTATTGAAGAATGCTTCTGCATCAATATCTGAAGCCTTCACTTCAATAGAAATATTGAGTCCTGTAACATCTGAAATACTTAATATTAGGATAAGGACAACTCAATTGAGCTTTGTAAATATGCTTACAATCAGATGTGAAAGATACTTGCGGTGCCTGTGCAGATACCAGATATTGCTGTCTGACAATGCCAAACAGTGTAAGATGAAATTGAAGGCATCCAACAGCTAGCCTGCGATGTGGAGCGGAATCCTTTGTAGATTATCATTCTTCTTTTTGTATGACAGCACAAACCTGACACTTCTGGAGTTGCAGTATGGAGATTCAGTGCCACTGGAGACAGGAGGAAAGAAATGTCCTTTACACGACTCGTTATTGCTTGTAATACCTTCCATAGCAGTGAAGAAGAAATATTTTTGCACCTGTGTTACATGTTCTAAGGGTGATTGATTGCCCTGGTGTATACCATAGCCCACCATTTAAATACAAATAAACCAAGGTTTGTTCACATTCAATCTTTGTAAAGAGACTCACCAATTCATGTTCAGTTGTCAGAATCAATGTCTGAGAATGACAATTATCCTTAAATCATTCGAGGAGCATCTCAATATCATCAATATCTCCTTGTTGCTCTCCATCTACCTCCAAGTCTGAATCCTCAGTACCTTGTTCTGGTGAGTTGGATGTGTCTCTAGAATAGTATAGTAAGGAATGATTTCTGAATTCATCAACAGGAACCAACCTCTTCGTGAACTTCCGCTGATTTGGGAATGTTGTCCATATCATACTTGCAAGTGACGACCAGTATATGGGAACATAATGATGTGCTTCACAGTTGATGGTATGGTGGCAACGAAATAAGAGAAGCCGATTTCAATCAAGAAGGTCATCATCGAACGAGGAGTGCTCTTGATGGTACATGAGTGAATCTGCGATAAGGGCTGAAAGGTTATGTGTCTTCCCCTGCTTCTTTGTTTGATAGGCTGATGTGTACCATGCAACATCATTCATATTGTGGCAATTCGTAATCAGCTTCATATCATTATTGCAGTGCAGTGTCATTAATATTGCTGGACAATAGTTGTTCAAGTATGCATAGGATTGTTGTGGTCTCTAGTTGCCATGCTCATCAATGATGACATCTTCTGATAACTCCTGAGGTGCCCGTCACTTGCACTCCAGCTTTCCAAACTGATTGATGCAAAGACATGTAGATCGTTTGCATGTATGGATTTGTTGTGAGTGCACCGCCCAGCACTCTCGTTCCTTCAACTCTGCCTCCCAGTCAGGCAGATCTGGATTAGGAGGGTGGGAGTAAGGAGGATGTGTAGGGCTCCTCGACCCTGTGATTACTTTCATCTGAAACAGTGTCTTGAGGACAGTCTCTACAACAAAGAAAAAGAACTTTGCTGCTGCATATGTGTCCTTAGCTATGAACTTCACATTATGTGATAGTCTCACGCCCCTCAGCAGCGAGAATTTTCTATTGGAGTTTGATTACCTCAAATCAAATGTGTGGAAGGAGTGATTTTTTATGAAAGTTTTGTAACGAAACTTGAAAGAGGGCTGAGCTGCGCCGGCAGGCACCTTGTTTACCACTCTGGGTATTGATCATTGCATGACTAAAAAATTTCAGTTTATCTAGTAAGTATCAGACATTTGTTCTTGTACAGTACATGTGACAGGAAGGATACGGCAGCTGAGTTTGACTTCGGAAAATTTGCTGCGAAATGAGTTGTTAGGATCAACGTTGGTGTCTGGAGTGAAGTAGAAATTGTGGCGGTCAATCCCAAGACACCACTCATTATGAACTCTGTGGGCTCATCACTACTGGACTGCTTGACAGTGAGAGTATCGCCCTCACGACCACCAACATAGAACTCAGCCTGAGACACAACACTTGTGCCAGCAGTGTAGAAGCTGGTGCCATTAGCAGAGTTGCCAGAGATCAACTTGTGAAGGACTTCAGCAGCAGAAGCTGCAGAAGGGGATGGTTGATCACTGGTCACAGACATTGGAAGTAAGCAAAGGCAGGCAATCAGGAGAGTAAGTGCATTACTACATTGACGTTGGAATGGTGAGCTTCACATCTATTTCTCTTCAGTCTTCATACATAAATTCTGTCTGCAGTTTAAGAGCCAAGCATCACAAGTTTGAAACATGAATTGTGCGATAACTTACGCTGATTATTCAGAGGCGAAAATGCAAACAATGCATCATTGCACAGCTGTAGTAAGCACGAAGCAGAAGACCAGACTTAGCACTACTTTGCCTGAATTATAGTGCCAGCTACAGTCTACTGTTAATATCGGGTGCCACAACATGACATGCCAATCACAACTTACAACATTGCTTGGAACAAAAAAAAATAGAGATGATCCGATGTCGTGGGACAGACAAAGCAGAAGACAAAATGGCTGTCCAAAATGAATGGTCAGGAATGTAGTCCCACATAATAGCTTGATGCCCTATTACCTGTGTGATCCGACCTGCAAATCATCAAAAAGGAAGCCTTGATGAACCTGCATATATGACATGATGTAGGTGAAGTAGGTCTGTGGTGGAAAATAATTAAAGATGCCTAATGGAAGAACAAAGCTAGAGGGAAATAAATCAAAGACGCACAATGGAAGAACAAAGCTAGAAGGACGTGAACACATTGTGCAATGCCAATTCTGCTATGGCTGATAGTACAATTGATCAGACTGAAAACAAGACTTTGAAGTCAGTTTTGTGAAGGACGGTGGTTACTACCATACTGACTGAGGACCTTTTGGATGATGGTTGTTAGGGTGCTGATGAAGGAGGTCATTTTTGCAGCTTTCCCTTGTCTCACCATCACTGATCGTCTGACAAGGATGCCATGGCGCAATGTATTAGCAAACTCCCATTGAATGAAGTGATGATGTTTGCACTCACAAATATCAAGAACACGTCAACAGAAGGGGGATATGCTGTGCACCATAGCAATGCTCCAGTATCAGACTTTGGCATGCCCCATCCTGGAGAATCCCATGGCTCGTGTCATGTCAATCCTCTAGCAGCTCCTTTTCCTCTTCTATTTCTGTACGGCATTGGAGGAATTGAGGAAGAGCAGAAGAAGTCTGTAGGATTGAATGAGCATGTTCGATGGGCCTTGCAGTATCATGATCAGTGTTTCTGCACACACCGCTCCTTTCTCTTTGTTGTCTTTGGGATTTCACAGAAGCAGGAAGCTCTTCAATCTGCAAGAGTCCAGATGAAGTGTCGAGACTTTGATCATGATTCTCTAGCCCTGGCATATTGACTATGGCAGATTTGAAGCAGGCTGAAAAGAAAGAGGCAAATAAACTGCCCATCAGTAATCCCTGTGTTCGTCTCTTCATGAAACATGTTTTTGCTAGTAGTGGTCGTGTCATGGGGTCAGATCCCTCATGTGCAGCTTATCAAGGGAAGATCTGGGGATCATGTTTGACACTGCGTGGGCCAGCAGCCTGGTTGACCATCAACCCATGTGACCTTCATGATCCAATTGCTCAGGTGCTTGTCGGAGAGGAGATCAACATGAATGCATTCAACTCTATATATTTTGCTTGTGCGCAATTCTTTCTTTCTTTTGTACCATCACCTTCACCTGTGGTTTCTTGCCTCAATGGGCATTCGCTGTCGATGACGGTGGCCACTCCTGCATAATCTTCATTGCTCAAACTTTCTCACCCTCAAATCTTCTGCACCTTGGTTTGTACTTGTGGTTCTCTCGCCTCAATGGGCATTCACTGTCAATGACGATGCCCCACAGCTGTTCTGCTGTTGGATTCTCCTCCAATATCCTGCTATGTCTTGCATAGATGTATTTTGTGAGACTTTAGCTGATACATAGCATGCAAATAGCAGTCTGCCTACCTTGTGATTACTGTTGTGGATATGAGCTTTTTCATCTTCGGTAGGTGCATTTTCAAGTTTATACTTGGCGCAATGAGGCCTAGAAGGATCATGGGTCACCTCAGACAGTCCCCATCATTGCAAGCTGTCTTTCATTTAATTTGATTAATACATTCATTCTTGGTCACACAGTTGTGAGTCGCTGATGTAATCATGAACACATTGGTTCTAATTATGGCATTTTCCATCTTGACTTTCAACCACCATGTCCAATGTGTTCATGCTGTACTGTTGGATAAGAGGTACCGAAATCGACCAACATTTTGGTTTAAAAATTTTGCACTTTGACACTGTTCATGCCCTGAAAACAGATTTGAAGGCATCTCAAGATCTTGATGTGCCAGCTTCAGCTCTGTGACTGTACAAACCAAGGGTCCCTGTGGCTGAGCTAGAATATCGCAGTCTGAGGACAACCTCCGAGAGAGTCTTGATACCATTAATGCAGGTCACTTGCTCGATGTTACACAATCAAAACTGATATCCAATTACTTCTTGGGTGTTCCAGTTCTTGAGCATCTGCATGTCGTTATTCAAGTGTATTCTGACACTAATAGTGCATTAATTGCATGATCTCATTGAATGACATTAATGTCCAGCTGACAGGGTCGATGAATCCTCCTTTGAGGGTGAAAAACATCATAGATGGAGAGGACCCCATCAAAATGGCACGGAAGTCCTTCCTGGCAAATGGATGACTATTCCAAAAGACGAAATCACATTCAAAGTCGAAAAGATCACAATCACCTTCCAATGCCTCGCATCCGCCAGCTGGTCCATGGCGATATACATGATACAAATATCATGGTGAAGAAGGATGATCGGACAAATGAAGGCCCAGCGATGATTATGATATATCACACAAAAAAACCCAATGACATTCTACTACATCCCTGTAAACAGATTTTGACAATAATGGTATCTAGTCTTCACAATTGTTCTGCAGATGCCTAGAGAACTGAGGTATCACTCTGGAGAGGAACATTCGAAAGAAACAACAATTCAGTGATGTGAGCAGACAGGAATGCAATCATGGATATGATTATTCCTCTCAATCAAATGATGGAGCTGTTTCAAAGATTCAACCATAATATGTCTCAAGTAGTTTGCAGAAAATGAGCCATCCTGTCGTGTATACAATATACAAACTAAACCACACATGTGTACAAAGTTTTAATTACATGTATTGTGATTAGGTGTGGATCAAATCTGTGACCACACCTGCGTCCAAATGTTCAAGTTTATGCGTTGTGTTCAAGCGTGAATAAAACACGTGACAACACCTGCGTCCAAATTTGCAATTTGATGTATTGTGTTCTGGTGTGCATCAAATAGCCGACCACACCTGCATGCACATGTCCAGTTTCATTCATTGCGTTTTTGTGTGGATCACATATGCGACCACCTGTGGCCAAACACACTGTTTGATACAATATATTTTAGTCTTGCCAATCTATTGAGTTAATATGTGCATTGAATTCGCGAATTAGACCACACCTCTGGCCAAATAAATCATGTGATACAATATATTGTGTTCATGTGTGGATTGAATTTGTGACACAAACCACACCTGCGTCGCATAGTCTCCAGCAGAACTCCGGGAGCTAATCGATGACCTTGAGGATGTCTCAATTGTTTGAGGCGAATTGTCAATTCCCAGCAGAAGCACATCCAGGACATAGAGGAATCAGATTGACACAATATGGCAAACCTCGACGTTCAGAGCAAGTATATCAAAGGTCGTGAGTGGGAAAGCTCAGCCATGGAGAAGTAAATGTCCCTTGGCGCGATAGATATATCTGCTTTGTACACTATCTGAATATAACACTCACATTACAGCAGAGTGGGTAGTTCATACTAATCCTCCCATCATGACCCAATCCCAGCAAGATTGCAACCACAGTTTCATAGTATATGGTTTTTCTTGTGTCGAAATCTAACCAAATACTTGGTCCACATCGCTGCTGCAATGCGATCATGCATTGCAGCTCCTTGATGGAATTCATCCTTGTTATCCTCTTCAATAGCAGCCGCATCATCTTCCATGACCACGTCAGCGTCAAGACCATCCTCAAAAAAGCCGTCTTCAAAAGAGCACGCATCCTCGTAAACACGCGCATCAGTGGCTGACCCTTCCCAGCCCATAAGCGTGTACGTGAAGTTCAGATCAAAATTGCAAGCGAAGAGGCAGTTCTGGGATATGAAGCCTTTGCGATTATGATAGACAGGACGTTCGATGGCCTTAGGTGTGATGTGGATATGAGTGTCAAGTGCCCCAATAGTATACTATGGGTGGCAGAAACGACAATGCTGATTACTAGTACCATACATTTCAGTAGTCGTTCCCGGATCTCTGGCCGAGGATTCATCATGAGCACAGCTAGGTGTTGATGATCCATTGCAAACCCTGGTGGTTGATGATCATCCATGAGTCAATAAAGTATCATACCCTCGCTATCACTGATCATATCAATAAGCGGCCAAATTCAAGCTCCGACATCTCGGAACGATGCCGATGAACATTCTGTAAACATTGCCAAAGTGAATATTGGCCAATATCGAGTTTCCGAACTAGCTCTAAGGTTGTGTGCAAGAGGCAGGAAGCACTGGACTCTGGGATATGGGCGACATATGGTAAACAAATGTAAACAGACAAGCCACAATCCAAAGGTAAGTAATAACTTGTCCTAGGGAGATCAGGAAGTCATGTAAGTAGGTAGCAAAGTGTAAGAAATGATACCGTAAGTGTAATGGCATAGTTAGACACATAAAGGACATAGAAATGTGTACTGTAGAGGTGAATGATCATATAACTAACAATTGATTGGCATATGAGGGCAACTCTCACTGGCAAGAATCCACCACAGCCACTAATAATGATACCTGGTGAGGGAGGCATAGGCAAGTCAAAGACTATTCAAACCATCACAGAGAACATTGTTGCTCACAGAACTGGAGGTTGTCTGGTGAAGGCTGCATACACAGGTATCGCAGCATCACTTATCAGGAGAAAAACATTACATGTCATTGCCTGCATACTGGTCAAAGAAAATCAAAATTAGTTGGCTAGCATGAAGAGGAATCTTACGGCATTTTGGGCAGACAGGCTATATCTTATTGTCAATGAGGTTTCAATGGTCGGTCATGCTTTTCTTGCGATGTTGTCATACATACTCTCAGTTGCAAAGTCTGCATCTGGCAGCGGTCATAGTGACCAGGCATTCGGAGAAGTCCATGTCATTATTGTTGGAGATTTCCATCAATTTCAACCTGTAGCAACTCGAAGATCTGCTCCATTATTCTGGCCATGTGACACTGCAAGGGACACCACAGATGCCCAAATCACAAGATCTATTGGGAACATGTTCACTATAGGAATTCTCATGAACACCACATCAGGTTGCTTCGTTCACTTACCATCACCAATCCAAAGTGTCCTCCAACAAGTTTCAGTATACCACCATGGAATGATGCAGTGCTCATAACTCCTTGTCATGCTGTACGCAAACAGTGGAATGCTGCCATGGGCCAAGAGTTCTGCAGGAGAACAGACAGACAGTTATTAGTATCCGCTGCATATGACACAATCCATGGATGCCCACTGACATTAGAAGAGAGACTTGCGGTGGCAATGAAGCAGAAGAAAGGAAGCAGCCGAGAGGCAAGGGGAGGATGCCACATGAGGTTGATGTGATGGTCACATTCAATGTCGAGACAGATCTTGATGTGGAAAATTGTAGCCAGCTGCCGCTGCCATCTGCTTATGCATTCACTGACTACAGGTCACAAGGACAAACAATCAGTCACTCAATCATAGATATAGGCACTCCACAAAACTCAAACTGTTTAATGCATCCATCCAAACATCTCAGAGGATGAAAGGTTGGAGAGGTTGGATAAAGAGATGAAGTGTTGGTGGGAAGAAAAGCAGAGACTTGAGAAGTGATCATTTAGAATACATTGACGACATGAACAATATTTTGCAAAGCACTGACCTATGTAGCACATAAGATACGAATGTACACGAGTTTTAGTGCATCCATGCTGTCAAGTCGAGCAGGGTCAAGGGGTGTTCATTTATATGCACTACAGTCAGATTAGTGAGGCACAGTGAGGAAGCTTATTTGCGCACTTTATCGAGCACACAAAGGACCTCGCCCATGGCTTGCACACTAAATGAATGCTTGTGGTGGCAGATTTGATGATCAAGTTCGAGATATTCAAGAGTGATAGCAGCAGTAGGTTGTTGTGGGGAACTTTGATCAGAGAAACATTGGCAAGTTCATCTGGCGCTTGATGGATTGTTTAAACAGCACGGAAACCTGGAAATAACTGCCTGTCAACGAGAAGATCAATATGCTTGACACCTACTCAAGAAACCAACATTTGTAAGGTGAAATGTTGACCCTATTTTACCATTGATTTCACTTGTCAAACTCTCAACACCACAGTGCTTCCACCAGAGGAACAAGCTGGCCAAGTCCGTCATTTGACTGGACCATGCAGCATGCATCTCTCAATTACGATGGAGACGAGAATGAGGTGCTCCATGACGACAATTTTTCCTTGAGCCATAGAAAATAGATATTGTAAGATGGGCAGGTAGATTGTGAAACAAGATAATCGAAATGGCAAAGAGAAAGACTGAGAGAACACAGTTTGAATAACATGCGATGCTGCAAGGAGAGATTAAGTAATTATTTCGATTTCTAAACTTGGACAATATTAGACCCACTTGAGCGCTCAAAATATAGGTGGAGCATTTCCTTGTTAAATTAAATTGAAGAAGGAAAGCAGGAGAGCTTTGCTGTCTCTAAAATAAAATACATTCATATCGTCTCTTATGCAATGTCTCATCAGATGGCGCATGCGAAATGAATGACAAAAGTACCACTTGAATAAAGACAATCTGAAGTGTATTGTCTCTTATGCAGTGTTTCATCATATCACGCATGCGAAATGAATGACAAAAGCACCACTTAAATAAGTACAATCTCATTATCACAAGAAACACAGGACTTCTCTGTAGCATCAAACACCATCAAACTTGAGTAACTTCATCCGAGTCCTTGGTTGATATTCCACATTCTCACATTCCCATCAATAGGATGTGCCTCCTATATCTGCCGTAACTGCCCAGCAGGCGCGCCGTGTTCTCTATCGTGGGTGTAAGAGTGTCATAGCTTGCTTTTGCACCTGGACAGTTTTTATGCTGCTGAAATTGGATGTATATTGGTAGACATCAACACCGACAATGGTGGCGACATTCCTGACACAAATCAGTCAGTATTCCCCCTTCACTGTTCCTGTGGATCACTGGCCGAATTGACTGTGGTGCCTTGGTTGACAGGTAGCATAGCAGGCATGATACACAGGGCACTCTGGGTGTATATCCAACATCTATCCAAGCTTGAGCTGTGCATGTGGTACAGAATGCAGTGGGCACGCTGGGAGAGTAGCAGAGATTGTGAGTAGACCTTAAGGGTATCCCCGTCAATATGGTCAATTAAGTTACTTGGTATAGGGCAATGGAAATATCACCCTCACAATGGACTCCAATGGCAAGCTGTCCACAAATTCACAGATACTCGACTACCAGCTGAGAGGAGATGAATTAGAATATGTGTCAATCCTGGCATTCCTGATCGACGAGGAACAAATCAGTGTACCAAAGCAGCAGGAAATTTTGTCCACATCAGAATTGACTCTTGCAGCTCCTAGAGGGACACTACAGAATCCTTGCTTCCCAACGCCCTCAGCTCGCTTCCTGTGCCTTCCTGCATCGTCTGTACTCCATTCCACCCATCTCTGAGCCTTGAGTCCCTGAGCACCCTTATTGCCAGGATTGAGGAGGGCATGGCCAAGATCCAAAGATTGCACCCTCAGGACTCTAGTAAGCCCTACAGTCTTTCCACCCTTGATGCTGAGCTGGTGTCTATGGCCATGATCCATGCTTTTGGCGAAGACTATGCCCAATTTGCATCTAGCCTGATCCTCCTCAAGTCCTTGGACAAGAAGGAACTCAAGGCCGCCTTCCTTACTGAGGAAACCCAGCACTGTCGACGTGCTGATGCCCTCAGAGCATCCTCTAGTGATTCTGCCCTTGTCTCTGCCACTGGGGTGCCGCCTAGTAGCTGTAAGTGCGGTGCTAATGCTGTCTGTGACTTCTGTGAGAAGGCAGACCATTGTGTCCACCAGTGCTTTGCCATGCAGCACGCCAGAGAGGTGCACAAGACTAGGCAGGCATCCAATCAGCCTGGCAAGTCAGGCAGGAGGTCTAGGAATGCTGACAAGGCCTCTGAGGTGTCCTCTACCATGTCCCAGCCCTCCCCTGGGTCCAATGCCTCATCCAATGCGTCCTCCAGTGTCCCTGCATCTGCAAACACGTCCTCCACTGTCCAGAACACGACTGAGTTTGCCAGTAATGTAAGTCTCCGCTCTTTTGACTCCTCTAGTCCTCTATGCCCTCTCCAGCTTGATGCTGACGTTGATTGGAATGCAGACACAGGGGCCACTTCTCATATGACCCCACATCACCACTACATTGGCAACTATACCCCAAAACGCATGCCAATTCAACTGGCAGATTCTACTATGGTCTATTCAGCTGGGGTGGTGTCAGTGGTCTTTAATCCTATGTCTGTGGGCGAGGTAAAGAGTCTTAGAGCGGTCGAGTTCACTCGAGTCTTGCATGTACCTGATCTTTGTAACAATCTCCTCTTAGTCCTGTATTTAACTCGAAACTGCGGCTTCCTATCCTCTTCTCACATGACCTTCTGTCGACCTAAGGGTTCTCCCCTCTTCTACACCTCTATCAACTCCAACAATGCTGCATTTCTGGACGGCATCACCTCTCCTATGACCGAGTTCGCTTCCCCAGCCTCTACATGTCCTATGGACATCGCCCTCTGGCATAGACGACTAGTGCATCACCACAAAGCTGGTGTCAGGACGCTCATTGACTGTAATCTGGTCACTGGACTTAGGCTGGACTCAAGGGCATCACCAGACCCTATCTGCGAGCCTTGCCTTGCTGGTAAGATGCATACCAACCCCTTCCCTCCTAGCAAGTGGAGGGCGAGCCGTCCTTTGGAGCTTGTTCACACTGATGTTCACCAGCTCCCCTACCGCACTTTCAGTGGATATCGCTATTGGGTCACATTCATTGATGACTACTCGCGTTACCGCTTCATTCTGCCCATCAGGGCCAAGTCGGACATCTTTGAGGCGTTCAAGACGTTCAAGGCTTATGCTGAGAACCAGTCTGAGCGAAAACTCAAGACTCTGAGGGACGACTGTTAAGATGGGAGTGAAGTGGGCCGCTTCTAGAGGCTACTGAGAGACCAGAAGAGATCAGACTAGAGTCCAGAGTAAGTTGCCAATCTATTGAATGCTGTTTAAAAATCTCCCGCTTTGACACTGTCGATGCCCTGAAAATAATGTTGAAGTAATCTCAGGACCTTGATATGCCAGCTTCAGCTCTTTGACTTTACAAACACTGGACACCTGTGACTGAGCCATATGATGAGAAAATTCGCACTCTTGTCCTATCAGAACTTGCCCAACCATTACCAGCATCGCAAAAGCTATCATGCGTGTTCAACTCAGCACCCCCCGAAGAACACATACATATTATTGTGGGTATGTAGTATTGGTGATCAACTCTTATCATTGTAACATATTCTAAACATTGATACTCTACCATATCTATGTAAACAAATCATGAAAAAGTGTATCTAGTCTTGACAATCATGCTGCAGTCACTTAATGTACTTGAGGTATTAATCTTGATAGTAACATTTGAGATGCAAAAAACAATTCAGTGATGTTAGTGGACAGGACTCGAATTAAGGATACTATTATGCATCTTTATCGAATGACACACATCATCAAGGTGCTGGAAAGGGCCTCATGTATTATCAAGATTAATGGAGGCTCACCAAAACAAATCAATTGTTGTATGTGGATTATTCAATGCTAATACATTTGTATGCACAATGGCGGCCGAGCTCACATGTACAATAATGAATATTTACATGCTACACAATGCAATGGACATAATTGTGAAATGGGCGCTGCTGACATGTGCGCGTGGCAGACTGCAAAATAAAGATTCTGGAACCGCCCCTGTGGATATTTGTGTGTGAGAAAATACAATAGAGGAATTTATGAATGGCCACAGTGGACATTTATTACTCTCCTGCACTATTAAAACAATCTGTCCATTTTCCATTCCAAAACAACCATCTTATCACACATTCATGTTTCCAGGACTGCAATTGAGGTTGAGAGCCCAGGATGTCAATCTTGTGTTGCTGAAAATCAACCATGCTATTCTTATTCTCCTCGATCCGCATGCAAATGATGCAGCAATCTGTGTTCCCTATTGCCAGGTAAGCCTTCTCCATATCTTGACATCCTGTATACCAAATATTTTTGTCATTATCAATGTTAGCACATCCATTGAGGCATAATGTGCGTGATTCACCTGATGCATCCACACTGCGATTACTGCAGGGACATGAAAAAAGTTTGCAAAGGACGAACCGGCAAAGCATGTACAGCATGTGAACAGCTGTGCAGCAATTGTAAGTTCTAATCTACTTATTTTCCTTATGGGTACTCATGAATTCATGCATCAGGTCCTAAAGTGTTCGAAGAACAGTACATGATGTCACCGACGCATCTGGCACTGAGTCAGAATCTTCAGACTTGTTAGATGACGTGATTGTCTTGGACCACAAACCGTCCAATTGGATTGACAGCTCTCCAGGAAAGTCTAAAAAGAGAAGGCGAGAGGAAGACTCAGACGATGAAGTGATCATCTTGGATGATAAGCCGGCTGACTGGATCGATAGGCAGAAACGGAGACACCAAGACTGAAGCAGACATAATGGACCCAAGTATCATTTCTACACGGAGGAGATGCACTAAATTGTAGTATAGACATGTAAATAAATGAATCAATGTACATTACTATATATTCCTGGTAAAAGATACATATACAATAGTACATATTTATACAGAGGCATCGAAATGATTGCGAACCCGTCCAAGTCCGAGCAGCATTGGCTACCAAACTCTCCTATCACATGTATTTATATGAGGGGAATGGTTGTGATAGATTGATACACATTTTCATGCTCACCCCAGCTTTGAGATTCTGATAAACCAATTATGTCAGTCATGCTCTTAAGTACACACATAACAGGTTTAAAATTTGAATACATAATTAATGGGACAAAAATAATTGCATACAGTTGTGGATAGAATATATGACATCAACTACACATTCATCCAAATGTTCAATTTTATGTAACATCAAGGATATTGAGGAGCTGATGGAAAGAGAGCATAAATAAGTATTGCACTTTCCAAGATTCATATGCATCGTTTCTATTTTTGCAGTTTCCTTGGCATTGTAGAGTTAGTATTTTCCTGCACTGTCATCCAGAGACCTTGTGCATAGAGATACAAACATACAAAGTGTTGTATAGTCAGTATCTCTGAGTAGTCTCGCTGTCCCATCGTAATAGTCCTCAACATCTTCTCAGTCGCCAAAGTCGTCAAATTCATCATATGTCTCAAAAGTAGGTTTTCAATATCCTCGATGTCGCCAAAGTCATTAAAGTCATAATATGTCTCAAAAGTAGGTCCTCAATGTCCTCAATGTCGCCAAAGTCGTCAAAGTCATCATATGTCTCAAAATTAGGTCCTCAATGTCCTCGATGTTGCCAAAGTCTTTGAAGTCATGATAGTCCTCAAAATGTCCTTAAAGTCATACTAAGTAGTAATAGTCATCAGAGTCTCCCAAGTCGCCAAAGTCGTCAAAGTCATTAAACTGGCTCAAAAGTTCTGGTAGTCGTGATAATCCCCAATGTATCCTAAACCGCCAAAGTCGTCAGAGTCAAAATAATCCTCAAAATGTCCTTGATTTCATAGTCAGTCATCAAAGTCCAACTACATCCTCAAAGTCCTAATACTCCTCATATACATAGCCCAGATATGTCATCAAAGTCTGTTAAATTGGTAAAGTCATCCAAGTCGCCCCCAGTGTCCTTTAAGATACTAGCAAGTACTCAAAGTACTCAAAGGCATACTAGTTGGCCCAAAATTCTGATTATAAAAAGTCTTAGTAGGTCCAGAAATCCTTCAAGTCCAACTATATCTCACAAGCAAACTGATCACAGAACTTCAAATCTATATTCTGATACTTCGGAATCTCAGAGGAGGAGTCACAGAAGTTGGACAAGTAATAACCTGAATTATCATTCATGGAATATTGGTTTGTTTTCAACATCTTCTCACAACCCTTTCATTTCGACATCGATGTCTCACTAGATCATTAGTCTGTAATTCAGACTAGTTCGTCTCGCAGTAAAGATGAAACTGATTACAGCCCAGTTTCCCTACTGTCAGTATGATAATCATCCAAACCTGTCATGGTCGAACATCCATATTTTATTTTTATCCTCTACTCAAGTTCAATACATACTTCCATGGAAGAAGGACAGCGTGTTCACCTTTCCTTCAGGCAAAATATGTTTCATATGATATTGTGTTCTGATGTGGATCAAATAAGTCACAGGATCTCTGGAAAGATACTGTGGATATAATATATTGTCTTTCTTTTGTGGATAAAATATGTTGCAACATTTCTGGTCAAATACACTGTCTGATATAATCTATTGTGTTCTGATGTGGAGTGAATTAGTGTATTGCAAACACACCTCCGGCCAAATACATTGTTTCATTCAATATATTGAGTCAATGCGTGGAGTGAATTCATGAATTCGTGAATTGAACAACATCTGTGGCCAAATGCATTGTTTTATCTGATACACTGTGTTCAGCTGTGGGTTTGATTTGTAAACCGAACCACACCCTTCCTGGTATATATCATAATGTTCGACCTTGCCTTCTACCATCATCACCCATGTCTCAAAAACATCAATATAAAACCGACCAAGGTTTCTCATCGCACATCTCATCCCACACATTATCTTTCTCATAACAAGTCTCCTATCACACAAGTGAGTGACTCAGTTTATCACACAACCCTTATCATTTCAGACTCTAATTTCTAAAGATAATACAGGATGCCAGCTGATCGCCAATGAAGAAGGAAACCGACAGCATACGAAGTGTCTTTTCTGGAAGAATCAGCTGACATCAAGAACAACACTCTCACAGATGTCGCAGACCATGGGGAACGCTACAGGCCACCATTTGGTGAATTAGTGCCGGAGCACAAGTACTTCTACATCAAGCATCACGAGGGTCAACAGAACGATGACACCCCATACTTATTAACCGACTTCGCATTTTTCAACATCTGGCAAGACATGGTTCCTCTTCCAGAACTAGACGGGCCTTTCGAACTCAGGTCACATGATATCTTTGGGGCTGGTATGGCTTCCATCGAAGGCCACGAACCTGTCTACATTCACATCAGACCTTTGAGACACTACGACATCAACCTCGCTGATGCTGATGGGTAAGTCTATTTTTTATTAAATTTATATTGAATGCGCTTGATATCTTACCACATTCATGTACAGATCCATGCATATTGAAAGCGAAAGAGCTATCTATTCTCTCGGAGTTCCCTCCAAGCAACAGGACGGACTTTCGAAAAATATTTCTACTGCACCGCACCATCCAGCTCATCATGGCATCATCCAGCTCATTGTGGCATTTGCCAAAAAGCAGCCAGAATGGGAATATGAGGATTTCTTGAAGGAGTGTTTGAAGATGAAGATCATTGGCGATACCCCCGACGAGGGAGACATTTGGGATTGCGTGAGTTTCATTTACTTTCTTGTGTTACTGCGACCTTTTACTAAATTTATTTGTAGGTTCCACGACTAAGACATGTGGTGGAAAACCTAGAGGGCAATCTGTGCACAATGAATATCGTTCAGTTCCTCTTGTACACCCCTCGCCCTCAGATGATTCTGAGAACTGCAAAGCCATCTGGTCTTCAATGTGTGTGCCAAAAGGCCAGAGCCAAAAAAGAGCTGGAGGTGATAGATTTGACAGTGTCAGATTGATTGATACATGCAGAATTATGGACTATTGTAGCTAGTGAAAGTCTGTGTCATTAGGGAATCGATCATACATACCGCTTGTATCACATGTACTATATGCGTTCAGTTGTCTCAACATCACAATTCCGCTTAAAGAGGCAGAAATTCAACCAGAACATACAATAGCTGCACAGTCTTCGCTCCAGATAAGTAACTCAGTATCCTGCCTAAAAGGAACTTGCATTGTCTGTTCTCCCTCCTTGCACATATGTTTAGTTACATATTAGTTACATATATTTCATTCTGGTCTTGATAAGATACGTCACCACACCTGCGGCAAAATATACTGTTTTATTAAGGAAGATGAAGTCACTGTTATATCTCAAGTATGTGAAGATGCATGTAAAGAAAGTGAGAAAAGAAGTATGAGTGACGATCATCAACTAAAATAGATCAGACGCAGGTAAGAAGACAGAAGGCACAAGAAACATCTGAATCGTTTGAGGCGAACTGTGAATTTTCAGCAGACATTTATCAAGGACTCAGGGGTATCTAATTAATACAATATGCGAAATTTGGACATCCAGACCAAGAATATCAAACATCTTGAGTAGGAGAAGAAGAGAGACCATAAATCAACAAAGGAGATGTAAAATACCATAGAAAAAGCAATGATCAGTGTAATTCAAAGTGCTGATATCCGATTTGGATGCTAGGGCACTCAGTAAGTGGTATATGCACACAACCATCCATTTAATACTTCTTCCATAATATAAATGCAATACATGTATATATCTGTTTTGTTGCACAATCTGAAACAGGGCATTTAAATTATATATCCTACCAGGAGGAAGAAACCCTTGCTCATCAAGAGCAAAAAAAACAGCGAGATGTAGGGATACGATGCAAGCCTGGACTGAACTGAGAGAGGCTTACGATCAAGTTCTGTATAAATCTCACACAACACAACTTACATGTATATTGCGATCTTTCTATGTAGAATATACAACATAGTGTCCACTATTAAAGAGGTACATGTACACACCATTGCAAACAGTAAAAACATGGGGCCACAAATTTGCATCAGTGCAGAAAAAGCTAACTGATACCTGCAATGAATCTCGCATGAGTCCCAAAATTACAACAACATCAATCACATATTACGCTCATATTACAGAAGTGTTGAGAGTTTATAATTATACTATACTGATCCTCTCATAACTAACCAGTCCTAGCAACATTCCAACCACAATTTCATAATCAATGGTTTTTCTTTCGTCAAAGTCAAACCAAATCATTCATTAATGAGGTCCACCTCAATGGAAAAACCTCGCTAAGGCAAACATCTATCATCGTGTCTCACACACATTCTTTTTCCTTGATGTTTCATGGCCTCAGCTAACAAAAATGGATGATGATATCAGTGGCTGAATTTTCTGGCGAGTTTTTCTGAGCATGGAGGATGAAACAAACATCTACTGAGATAAATGGATAGCCCTGAACTTGAAGGTTTTCTTGTGCAACCCATGAAACTGAGGCCATAGTGCTTGGCCTCAGGAGGATGGAGGCACCCACCAAGGAATGAGGCATGAGCTCCCAAGGTATGTGGGACCATGAGTAAGCTTCAGCCTGACCACAGGAACATTCCTTATAAGGGAACAAAAATCGATTTCATAGTCCTCCTCTCCACAATCCTGATGATGGTGGTATGAGATTTGCATGATCTCATCGACCTCATCTCCCTGAGCTATGGCAAAAATGGTTGGTGCACCATCAGCCGAACCCATAGAGTGCGATCCAAAGGTCATGGTGCACCACCCAAAGATCATGGCAGACCAACGAAGATGTCATGGTGCACTGGCTCAAGCAATGGTGTGGCAGCCTAGGGGGTGGGAAAATATGACCAAAAATAGCAAAAAAAAGAAAAATGCAGAGAAAGACTGTGCAATCTAGGAGGTATGAAGGAAAAGTCTCGAGTGAGAGAGTTAAGCAAGCTATGGTTGAAATAAGCAAAAACATGGACAGTTTTGAGGCAAAAGGGCAGAGTCAAAGTGAAGAAAATGAAAGCACCGAGAGTCAATGCAAAGGTCAGCATATACAAAGATAGAGGCAAAAGGGAAGGTCTGTGTCAAGTGAAGAGATGCATTGCAGGAGGCAAAGGTAAAGTCAAGAGATATGATAATCAAGCAATCAAAAGCCAAAATAAAAGAGAGTCATGGATGAAGGAGCCAAGCCAAAAGGAAAGGATGCAGTGAAATGGAAAGTGAAGAGATATATCAAAGGTGATAGTCCGAGTGAAAGTCGAGAGATGAGACGATGAAGAAAACAAAATCAAGAAAGTGAGTTGAAGTGAAATGGGAGAGAGAGGGAAAGTGAAGAGATATGATGATCAATGAACCAAATGTCAAAGGAAAAGTGATAAATGGAAGCGAATATTCAAGAAACAAGGGAAGAGTCAAGAAGGAAAGAGATGATACATGATATGATCAAAGAGCTGAGAGGAAAGATGAAAGTGAAAGCGAAAGCGAAGATAAGTAGAAGGGAAACAAGAGTAAGGGGTGAAAGTGAGAGAGACAGAAGATGGAAAGGAAAGTCAAGGTCAAAGTCAAAGTCAAGAGCAAATGCAGGGGAGAACGGAAGATAAGAGTGAAGCAAGGGTGAGGAGAGAAGGAAAGTCAAAGGCAATAAGACAAGCAGGAGGGACAGAAGAGGGAGAGGATAAGAAAAGGGAATGGGTGAGAAAAGGAGAAGAGAGAGGATAAGGAAAGAAGATGAGGGAAAGAAGGAAGAGTGGAAGTAAAGAGAGAGAAGAAGTATATATAAAAAATGAAGTAAGACAAGAGAAAGGGAGGAAGTGAGAGTGAAAAAAAAAGGTCATAGCAGGGGGTGTATAAGAAAAGTGGGAGTATAAGAGAAAAGGATAAGAAAAGTGGGAGAATAAACAAAATACAAGGGTGAAAGTAGAGGAAGGATAGAATAAATGGGAAAGTCAGAGAGAGGAGGGAGGGAGGGAAAAACAGGTGAGTATAAGGAAAGGGGAGTATAAGATAAGGGAGAGTGAGAGGCAAGTAAAGAGAGAGTAAAGAAAGAGAATAAGATAAGGGAAAGTGAAAGTGAAGTAAGGAAGAGTATAAAATAAGATAGAGTGCGAGGAAAGAAAGAGTGTGAGGGAAGGAAAAGTGTGAGTGAATGGTGAGTGGGAGAGAAGGATGAGTATAAGATAAGGAAAAGTGTGAGATAAAAGAAAGGGTGAGTGAAGGAAGAGTGATGGGAGAGTGATGGGTAAGTAAAGAGGAAGTATAAGATAAGGAAAAGGGTGAGTGAAGGGAAAGTGAAAGGAGAGTATGAGGAAGGGTACAAGATAAGGGAGAGTGTTACAAGTAACATCGGTCACGTGGCCCCCCTATCATTTTCCCCTCATCCTCGCCCTCACCATCTACCGGCTCGTCCTCCTTTACCGCCTTTCCGTTGACCGGATCCTCGGGACCGTTCCCGTCCCTCGCATCGCCCGCCTCTATGCACGTGCATGCACGTTCCTCTTCTGATTCGACCACCAATGTGGTCCCGCACCTGTGACTCGGTCTGACTCGTGCCACCAATGTGGCTTTCCTCTTTCTGTTTCCCCTGACTGCGGATTCCTGCACGTTGTATTCTTACCGTTGGTCCGTTCCAACGTTTCTCGGTCTCATTCCACATTCGACCATCCATCACTAATCCGGCTCTGATGCCAGCGCACCTATACCATTCCTGTTTCCCCTTTACCCTTACCTACTGTGCGGTAGCCTTGCCCTTAACCCTCTCCACTTAGTATAAGTAGTCGGTCACCCTGTACTAGATTCTCTAACTTGAATCTACTCAATCTTCCCTGGAACATACTTCTCTCTGAAGCCTCCTCAGCTTCAGTCTCTAGTATCTTTTCTTAGTCGCTCCTCGCGGCTAAGTCTACCTCGATCAACCTCATCGTCCGGACAAGACAGTCCTGACCTTGAGTGACTTCTCAAAGACATCCGTCTATGAAGTCACGTGACACGCGCGTACTGTGATCGCTGCCGACTCATCGTCGCCAGGTTCACTTGCTATACCGGATCCTTCCGGTTACGTCACGAACGTTAGCGGACGACGCCCCTCTTAGGGCTCCGCCTAACAGATCTATTTGAGTGCGTAACAGAGAGTGTAAGTGAAGGAAGAGTATAAGGGAGAGTGTGAGTGAAGGGAAAGTATAAGATAAGAGTGAGTGTAAAAAAAGGATGAGTATAAGAGAAGGGTGTAAGGATAAGATAAGAAAAAGTGTCAGAAGTAGAGTGGTGAGTAAGTAATAGAATAAGATCAAAGTGTTGTGAGAGGATAAGAAAGAGAAGTTAGAGTTTGAGCTAACGCAGAACCCCAAGTTAGAGCGTAGAACCCCTTTAAGTGGTCTTGTCTGAGCCCACTAGGGTGGGGGGCTGTTTTGGGTTTCCTGTTTTTTTTTTTGGTTTTGGCTTTTTTTTCCTCTTTTTGAGGGCTGGTTTTGGTTTGTTCTTGCTTGGTCTGTTTGTTTGGGTTCTGGTTTTTGGTTGGTTGTTGTTTGTTCTTGCTTGGTCTGTTTGTCCTTGTTTGGTTCTTCTTCCTCTCTTGGGTGTGGGTGTGGGAAAAAATTACCCAAAATATAAATCGTAGTGCACTCTTTTCCAAGCCATTCCATGGTCTCATCCCATCTTCTGATTCAAATCTCGCAAAATAAGCAAAAAACATTGGCAGATTTTAGTCTCTTTGGAGCCTTATAACCAGCCACTCAGTGATCCAAACATACCTTGGTGTTAACATTTTGAAGGACAAGATGGCAGCTTCCCTCAACCATGCAACTAGCAACCAGTGCAGCTGCAACCTCACATGCACCTTGACCACATCCCCAGCAACTCAACCATGCAACCAGCAACTCAGTCCAGTCACATGGCAACTCAAACTCACTCCAGCAACTCAGTCCAGTGTGCAACCTCTCATACAACCACTTAGTGCAACTTAACCATGCAACTGCAATGCAACTCGCAACTCAGCAAGAGCAACTCAACTATGCAACCAGAAACTCAGTGCAGTGCAATCTCATATACAACTCAACTCAGGCAACTACTCAACTCATGCAACCAGCAACTCAGGCAACTCTTCAAGACTAATACAACACTCTCAACCAGTAAAAACTCAGGAGAAACTCAATTGTGACCAGCAATTCTTAAGTAACTTGGAGTGCAACCCTACAACCACCACTCTAGTAATTATGAGATCACATTCACTCAGTCCAGTCACATGCAACTCAAACTCACTCCCAGTAACCTCAGTCCAGTGCAACCTCTCATACAACCACTTGGTGCAAATTAACCATGCAACTGCAATGCCACCAGCAACTCAGTGCAATGCAACCTCACATAGTAAAATTGAGAAACTGAGTGTGAACAAGCAATTCTTAAGCAACTGGGTTTTTCAACTCATGCACCAGAGGAACCTTACCAAGATATTCACAAAATTAATAGTAAAGCACTATCATAGAGCACTTTTCTCCAAGCCATTCTATGGTCTCATCATATCTTCTGAATCAAATCTTGCAAAGATATTCGCAAAATAAGCAAAAAAAATGTGTGGTTTTTTCAACTCATGCACCTTGACAAGTCTCCCAGTGCAACCTCATATACAACTCCACCTATGCAACCAGCAACCAGCAACTAGCAACAGTGCAGAGGAGTTTTGGAGGCACTCGACCATGCAACCTGTTCAACCAACTCATATCACCAATGCAACTATGCAACCAGCAACTTAGTGCAGTCACATACAACTCAAACTCACTCCCAGCATCTCGGCATCTCAGTGCAGTGCAACCTCTCATACATCCACTTAGTGCAACTTAACCATACAACCTCACATAGAGTGCAACTGAGAAACTGAGTGTGATAAGCAATTCTTAAGCGACTTGGAGTGCAAGCCCTCACTCCAGTAACTATGCTACAATGTCAATGTCGTGAAACAGAGTGATCATGTTCTTTTAGGCTTGTGAAAATCAGACAGCGCAGAGAAGTGTTTTTTCATGCACCAGCTTTGTGGTGTTTGTCTTGAACTTCGGCTTTTCAGTGCTGGTGGCAACATATTTGTTGCAATCTAAGATCATGATGCAAAGAGCAATCAGAGGCCTGCTGTGTAGCTCTGAAAAATTATGTCAAAAGTGTCCAACATTGTACAAGTAGAAATAGACTCACTAATATAATGTGATATGCGCAGTAAGTTGATGACCATTCGCTGAAAATTTTCCAGAGAATGTTCATGGACTTGGTTTGTGAGGGTCCTTCCTTGCTTATGGTCGATGTATTGAGAAAGTTCTGTTAGATGCATGGTTTCATAGTTGTAGAAATGCCCTCCAGTGGCAAACAAAGTTACTGGTGTATAAACTGCGTGGAATTGGCCAGGAGGTTGTATACTAGTAATTGTGAGTAAAAATCCTTATAAAATGACAATGTACTCACAGCATGTCACTGGATAAAAGAGTGACAATCTCTCCGTGCCAAGTCTCCTGTATTTTCTTGCGGTTTTGATAAAGATCTGTCAGCTCAGGGGCTATCTCAGAAAGGTTGGTCCATGTAAGTGTGTCCTCATGAACATGTCACCACAGGCCCCATTTGTTTTTGTCTGTTTCGACTTGCATGAAAGTCAGGCTACCATCCAAGTCGTGGTGCAGATGTGTCCAATACGTGGGGCTATGGACCAATGTCCATGAGTGTATGGTGAAGTTATCCAGGTGGACCTTTTCACCGATAGGGCAGTCAACAGTAGTTTGATTCCATCCATTGATGATACCACTGTCGAGAGTGCTAATAATAGATGGGTCAGCTAACTTAGTAGTGTGATGGTTTAGGATAATAATATGGGTACGAACCTTAGAGCTGATGGGAGACCACCTTATCCATATGCAACATCGAGAATACACTGGATCTTATTGGGATCGTGTATGTTTTTCATAAACTCTTCAAGAGTTGTGTGCTGGTGAGGATACGTAAAATCCTTGGTCTGTTATTCAGCGTCTGTTATAATGAGGTTAGATCGTGTGATGAGTATAAAATTAAAATAACCATATCATGTATGACAATATACATTAAGTCTGACATCCCACAATCTTCGAGATAGTCTAGATCCAATGTTGCAGGTTCAGGTGTGCTTATTTTCCAAATGACGATGGCTTTGTTTACCTTAGGATGTGTTTCGGGAGAGGAAACACACTGTTTCTTTGGAGGACCTTGTCCTTCAGTGGAGTCTGCAATGCCGGTTTGGTTGGCCATCTCCTTTTCCTCCTTCTTTCGCTTTTGCCATGCAAGTTTGTTCTTGCACCCTGGTAGGATCACACTTCTTATTGGCAAGCCATCTTCTGTGGCGTTCGTGTTGCTTTTCCTGTTTGGTTAGATTAGATTTGGTGAGGTCAATTTGCTGAAGCCTTGGCTTCTTGTCCAGTTGGTCGTGCTGTAGCATTGTATATCAACCAGGAATTTCCTTAGTTAAAATACAGCTAAGCCTTAAGGTGGAAGTGAAGATGAGATAGAAGTTAAGAGGGAAGAAGTGCGAGGGGCGAGGTTGCATTAAGTAAGGAAACATGGATTTGTGGGACTCAAACAGCTGTGGATGTTTGATATTGTCATCGGTGTGGATTATGTGTTTTAGTACAGGAGAAGTTGATCCTCACAAGCTTAGTAAGGAACATGTTAATATGAATATGGTAAGTAGGTCTTGGAAGTGTGACTGTGTCCTCAAAGTTGTGATAGTTCAATTATCACAGTTAGACTGGTCACAACTAGTTAGTGTGAACATAAGTAGTCACCAGTCTTGGAAGTCCAATTGAAGTGTCCTCAGAGTCATATTGAGTCAAATTCCTCCTATGTGCTTAAAGTCCTCAAAGTCATAATAGTCCTCAAAGTATCCTTAAAGTCGTATGTAGAAGTCCTCAAAGTCGTAATAGTCCTCAAAGTCATAATAGTCCTCAAGGATAGTCCTCAAATATATTCTTATCGCAGTTGTGAATATAGTGGCCAGTCTTGGAAATCCAGTCCTCAAAGTCAACCTAGGTCATAAAAGTCCTCAGAGTCTGATGACGTCCTCAAAGTCTCAAAGTCTCAAAGTCAAGATGGAAGTCCAAGTAAAATCCCACCTGCTGGAGTGATATGGCAAATGTGATATTGCACATGCAAATACTGTGGCACAGTCCCACAAATTGGTGACAATACATCCAATATTTGTCTCAATCCAGACGAGGATGTTTCAGAGGATGAATGGAGTGATAGCTATGGAAGTATCAAAGAGACACAATTAATGGATCTTCAAACTGACCCCAATGTCACTGAGCCTCACATATGCGTTGCATACTGGGGTCTCCTTGTCGACCCTACCTACAAACTCTGCATCTGCATTGACTGTGGTACCAGACCTGTTATAATTGGAGTAGGTCGAGCCTTCCTAAGCTGGTTGGCTTGTTATCTAGCTGTTTTAGAAGGACGGAAGGACATTCACTGGTCTCGTAATAAGACAGGTTCTACCAATGTATATATCTTGTAGTTTAACCGGGCTTGCAGGATGCGGGATATACTATGTTGATACAGGTATGCCCTTTCCACCTTCCTCTGATGTATTTGACACGTGAACATCTCATTCACAGATAGACACGCCCAAACTACTACACTGGCATGGTGGCCCATGTTTCAGTTGTAGGACTATCGGGTTTGGACACAGGATACTGGAACCTTTCCTGCGAACTAATGTTCCAGGGAAGACTGGAAAGAATATGCACCAGTAATGCAACCTTGCTGACTACCAAGAAGTGGAGGTCAGACCTCAAGTGTTATAAAAACCAGAGTAGGAAAATAAATACCCATACCGAAAAAGAATGTCACCTCTTGTTTGAATACATAATCTCACATATATCATTTGTACTATCATGTATGTTAGAATAGTGACTATGTTTGAATACTCCCAATGTAAACCGAATGTAAAGGAACGTGTGAGGGAAAGTAACCCTTCATGTGACAAGGAGATTTTGTGAGGTGTCTCCTCATGAGTGAGAAATGCAGCATGTATTGCATTGGTGTGGGGGGGAACTATGGGAGGGTCTGTTTGCATTGCATTGGTGTCCTCAACATAGTTAAGCTTGTCAGAGAGCTGGTTAGGAGCTGGTCCAGCCAACTGTGGGGTAGCCTCAACATCTGGAGAAGAGAGAAAGATAAGCAGGAAGTGAATATTGTGAGGTTTTACCTTTGTCGTCGAGACAATCTACTGCAGGTATCGGGATGGACACTTTTTTTGAGTAGCCTCTCAAACTTGTAGTAATTGACACACAAGTGGTCAGGCTGTCCGCATGGACAGTGCAATATGCCTTGCGGGGACCTTTCTATGTGAACTGTGAAAGAAAGAGTGAGTATATGTGTTGAAATTGTAGATGGATCACCTACTTGTCTGTCCATGTCAAATGATGCAAATCTTTTTACATGAATGTTCTGCTTGGACTTGAGTTGTGGCCATCCTGTAGGATGAGGACATTGTGGCTTAGGACATGTGAGAACTCTAAACATGAGTGAAGGACAAGTCACAATTTAGACAGACATACTGGGCATCCTGTGTCAGATGAGTAACCTTGGACACTGAGATAGTGTGTGATTCCAAAGGAGATGGGGTCCAGAAAGATGCGAAGGGATTCTCAAAGGCCTGAGGTACTGAGGGTTGTATGTCCCACCAATTACATCCCCCGTGAATTGCTTGAAGAAGGTATGATAGGCAATTGAGCTTATGTGTAAAGGAAGTGGGCATATAAGTCAATATGAAGTATTGGGGAGAATATTTGGAAGTCTGCAGAAACTGACATATGATGATCAGCGAATTTTGAAACCTGGTACCCATTTTATGTAAAAAAGGGTGCCAGTGATAGTAGATAAATAGATATTTTCATGGAATACTATGTACTATGTACTTTGATGACTAAGTATTTGATTACTTTGAATGCTCATTCCTGTGAACTGATGATCAGTCATTGACCTGTATTGCAACAAGAATGGATGTCTTGAGTGCGAGAAAGTCCAGGTTTGCAAGTTGGACTGTTGTGATTTATATTGACAGAACCGAATGGCACTTAACTTTGAAGAGACACAACATGCTGCACACGTGGAACAAGATCTCTTATTAGCAGGGAAAGATGCTAAATATCAATACGAGATTCTCGAAAGGGAGAAGCAGTTGGCCAAGAATGAAGGGGAACTAACCTGCCTGACCACTGATTATAATTCCAGAATCGCTTAATTGGATGTGCATCCCGAGAGCGTTGGTGCAAAGAACTCTAACAATTTCTGTAGAATCAGATCTGACAGGCAAACACTATCACCCCTGTGTTACCTCCTTCATGGCATCATCTCATAGGCAAAAGACCTGTCGTTACATGCACTAACATCATTGGGTTTTTGCCAGTAAGTCAATGTCTGTAACACACCTCAGTATCTCATCATTTTCCAGATTCCTGACGTATATTCTGAATCTCTTGCAGACAAACCTATCAGTGGCAATGATGCACCTCTCTTGGCTTTGATTTTGGCTGTTCCAATCAAAAACAGCATGGTTGGAATTCTTGCTGAGGCACTCATGGCTCTCCAGTCTCAACCAACAACGTTCCCTGGTAAACCTCGCTCCAGACATAAAATCTCTGAACCCTCTATTGAATATTTCAATGATGATCAGCATCGAGAGAATAAGGTGTGTGACCCGCCATTTGAAATGGCTTTGCTAATAACATATCAGGTGAATGTGCAAGACTTATTTAAAGAGACATTCCATTTTGTGAAAGATGACGAGTACATGCTTTACAAGGGAGCAGCGCGCGAAGCCATCTTGCTTTTCGTTGGCAGCATGGGTCCCGGTGTGTGTGAGGAATGATAGCTAGATGAGAAGGGGAGAAAGGGGGAGAAAGGGTGAAGTGGGGTAAAACTCAAATAGACCTCTGGACGCGAGTATAGATTCGGCCCAAGGGGATTGCTACTGAGAACGATTCCTCTAATATGGAGGGGAAACTTTGAACTGGTAAGAGTAACTGAAAATGGAAGAGCGCACAACATTGCGCTTGAAGCGATGCGAGCGCGAGCGAGCCGCCGAAGGTGCGATACAATGTGCGACCGAACGGCCGAAAGTTTGACGGAGCACGGAGACGCGGAGAAAAGCCGACAGTTTATATGAATGCGCGACTAGCGGGTATGCGAAGGAGATGCAACACGACGATAGTGAGGGAAGAGAGCTCTGACTATAGATGCGATGAGCGATGTGTGGACGATAGCGCGACCGTTAATACAGCGCGTGACGTAGTCAGCCGAAGGTTTCTGACTTAGAGTCTGAGTGATGCGTGCAAACAGATGATAATTTCGATAGCGGGAAAAGAAGATACATCAAAAATCCTAAGTCTAAGGTATATATGATAGCGCGCGTAGCGCTGTTCGGAACCGAGAAGATAACAGTAATACATATTAAGGGTCTATAACGCAAGTAACGAGACATACGTGATATCACCTTTGGAAATATAATCAGTCTAATGCAAATGAGATAAAATATGCACCAATGGACCAGCGGAGGACATGGATAGGACGGAGGAAGGACACGCGATGGAACTGACGAAAAGCAGATGCGAACTGAAGCGCGCGCGTGAGCCACAGCCGTCGGCCGACAATAGGAAGGATGCGCGCTGTGGTAGTGATAGTGCGTGCTTCGGTAGGACCTGAGGGACACTGCAAACATAGCCTCTACAAGGCTACAAGGACTACAAGTCCTACATCACATACAAACTTTAAATCCTGACTGTCCCCAGTCAGCCTCTATAGAGTGGAGGGACTTAGCAAAATTTCGACGAGATAAGTCACGTGACTGTGTGCGTTTCGCGCTGGATGTGGGGCACAATAGTGGACTGCAGATTATGTGGAGCGCCAACCGTGGGAACTGTGGCCAATTTTGATGTATTAAAACGTGTCGCGTGCCGCGCTTCTCTTCTTCTCAACTTCTCATCGCAGACGTCGCGATTATCTTTTTATCATACTGCCATGTCCTCCACCATCTTCAACCCTTCTATGCTGACTGCATTTCCTTCTCCCTCTCCCTCACCTGAACCTGAGGAGCACCTGCTAGAGGGTGGCAACGCGTCTGTCGACGACGCCACTCTCGATGATGCAGCTCTGAAGGAGCCTGAGGAGTCCGAGTCCGACCGGGTGGAACGCACTTGGGCCGCCGTGCTCAACACCATGCGCGTCTGTGTGGACACTGCTCCTCCCTCCAAGCCGGAGCTCTTGGAGGAGCAGGAGTCTTGGCTCCGTGACTGGAATGTTGCGATGGTGAGTGGCGCGTCTAATTTTATTTGCTTACTTTTTGCTAACGACTTGTTTTTAGGCCGATATGACCGTCGTATACGAGCGGGCGCGTGCAGCTTCGCTGAACGTGTCTTTGAACGACATGGATGTGGTGACGTTAGCCGAGGGCAAGATTGCCGCTAGGACACTGACAAGAGCCATGAAGGCATGGAAGGAGAAGGCGGAAGAATCTGCGGTGACTGCACGCTGACAAAGGGAAGGGTAAGGAGGTCGTCGTGACTGAGAAGGTGGTTGAGAAGATGGCAGAACCGGTGTTGACTGATATGGGGTGACCGGTAAGTCCTTTTTTTTTCTTTTCTTGCCTTTTTTGTTTGTGCTGATGCGTCATTCTAGCGTTTGGGTGGGCGGATGACCGCGACCTCGGTCAATCGTCCCGCTGAGTGTTGTGAACACTGCGCCACGTCTGGTGCCAAGTGCGTTGTCGTTCACGTGGGCGGGCATTGTGAAGTGTGCATTAAAGTGCGGAAGGTGTGCTCTTTTGGTAAATTTGCGACACTTACTTTCTGTTTCTTATCGTTACTAATGCGAGTTTTGATAGTTGCGACCAAGAACAAGGGATGCACGCCGGCTGCGCCCAAGCGCAAGGTGCCTCCCTCTGTGCAGACAACTGCACCGGACACGGCTGAGTCGGAAGTGGAGATTGTGGGTGAGGCTATGGCCGATGAACCTGCTGTCGGTCCTTCCAAAGCCATCGTCATGCAGCAACCAAAGCGCATGCTCGACTCGGACGCTGTTCCTGCGGCGAAGCGCCCTTGTCTGGAGGTCGACCCGGAGTTGGAAGAAGCATGTGCAGAAGCCGTTCGTCTTCGCAACGAGAACGCTAAGCTCCGCACGCAAAACGATAAGTACCGCCTTGCGCTTATCAACATGCGCCAGCACACGTGCATCCAGGAGTCCGAGTTGCTCCACATGAGCAACCAGCTCTATATCTTGGCGCGCGACTGGGGGAATTGGGAGAAGGAGCTTGGGGAGGTCCTAGAGGATTAGGAGGACTTTGTAGAATACTTCTTAGATTAGAATCTCTTGCCGGCGCCAAAGCACTTTGTACTATAGCGTCTCTCTTTTCCTTCTGGCACCTGGTGCGCTCAATAGAATAGTCCTGTCGTGTTCCGTCCCATTGTCCGATCCTAAGTCCATGTCCAAATCCGCTAAGTCCATTGGGCTATAGATGGATTAAAACGGTAATAAGTAATTGAGTGCGGCGGTAAAGAAAATAATTGAAAATGAATACGGAACGGTCGTGGGTTGCGCGCCCGACTTGTCTTCTTCATGCGGCTATCGCGTCTACCCCTGCTTTGGCCGCTGATGGTGCAGTTGATTAGAGATGAGGTCTGTAAGTCTATAGTAAAATGTGCGTGGTGCAGCAGCGCGCGTTAGAAATGGAAAGGTCTAGGGGGTTGGTTATGCGTGCGCGTCTAATGGAATGATATGTGTTATATATATATTTGGTTCTTTATTATTGTTTTGCGGTGCGATAGCGATAGAGTCTGTTGAATATGTGCGGTCAATGCACTTATGTGTGGTTATATGAGAGAAATGAGAGGAAACGATTGCCGGCCGAAACCCGGGGTAAAACAGAGAGTATGTACTATAGCGGTATGTTTTTGCGGTATTCTTGTTATTCGGTGTTTTTGGTATTTTCGGTTTTTATCGATGCGGGAGTGGTGATTTACATGTAGAGTGTCGGGTGGTATGCGGGAAGGGGTGTATGCGCTAATCTTCTTGCGCGCGTTCTGGTTCGTCTTTGTCTGGTTCCTCAATGTCCTCGTCGGCTAGCCGATCTAGCGCTTCATCATCTTTTCCTGTGACGCTTGTTACCATAATGCGCTCACCATTGCGCAGGTGATAGGGAATGATGCGAAACACCGCATAGCGTAAAAGCGATATAGCGCCGTCCAACTCGGCCAGGATATATGAGCCTCCCTTTGTGCGGCGCACTATGATCATAGGTCCCAAGTACCACAGCTTCGTCTTCTTGCTTAGTTCATACTCGACCTTGGAATTCCACACCAACACTAAAGTGCCGGGCGCATGGTCATAATCGCGGATGGTATTGCGGAAGCGCTTTTCGAAGTCGCGAATCGACGCGAAGCATGCTTTTACTACCTTGTCTCGGATCTCGCTAAGATCTTCAATGCGCTTTTGTAATTGGCGGGCGCGCCATGCTATAAGATCAGCGGTGGTGAATACGCCGCGCGCAGGCGTCGGCACTAGGAATGTAGCTTCAGCGAGGTCAAAAGGAAATATCGGCTTTACACCGTGCACCATAAAGTAGGGCGATAAACCCGTAGACTTGGGAATGGTGACGCGCTCGGCCCAGAAAACAGAATGAACGACTTGATGCCATTGCAGGTCATCACCGTCGCATGTCTTCATGATAGCTTCGTGAACGTCACAATGGCGCCGCTCGACTATGCCGTTGGCTTGTGAATTATACGGCGAAATATGTATCGGATGGACATCATATTTTTCGGCTAACATGTCAGTGGCGAGTCTGTAAGCGGGTGTGTTATCAGTAATCAGCTCAGTCACTGGACCCCATCAACAGAGGATCTCTTCATAGATGAAAGCCGCTAGCGACCAGGTATTCTCCTTGCGCAGCATGCACCATTCTGGATACGATGTTAGTGCGCAACGCGCTTGGACAAGATACTCAAAGCCGCCCGCCCGGGGCATCTTCATAGTGTCAATATGCACTCTGTGGAACAAACCGCCGGGCATCGGTACCATCGGTGGGATATGAAGCTTGCGCGTCTGCCTTATCTGGCATTTGTGACACGTGCGTGTGTACCATTTGATGTCATCCATCATAAATGGCCACCAAAACTGTAAGATTAGCCGAACGCGAATCGCGTATACTCCCTTGTGACCTAGGTCGTCATGCGCTTGTTTGAGAATACTATAGCGCTTCGGTGGCGCCAAGACGAGTTGGTGTGTACCATGGCGCTCGCGGTGCCATAGGTTGCCATCGAGCATGAAGAATCGCGCTGCTTGGTTGACCATTGTAGTGTAATCTTCATCCGATAACCCTGTCAGGCGCTTGCGCGCTATCAAGAACTGCTTGAGAGTCAGGAGCTTTGCATCTAGCGCAACAGCGGCTTCCAAATGTGGAATGATCTGTTCGTCGGATGACGGAGCGACAACATCTAAGAAGACACGGAGGATAGGTAAGCGATTTGGCGGTGTCACGATCGGCGCTAAGCGCGCTGCTCGTGTGATATGTGCCCTGGCGGATTCTATTGTGAATGTGCGGTCATTAAGCAGAGTCAATCCGAAAGAATAGGCTCGGTCTAGCCAATCCTCGTGATCGTCATCTTCTAGTACATCATCCTCGGCAGCCAGTCTCCTTGAGAGACCATTGGCGCCTTTGTGCTTTGCGGCGGGTACGTGAACAAGATTAATTGGGAACAAAAGAATACCCGCGATCCACTGATTTATGGTCGCATTGGGCTGCAAGTCCGGGTTATTAATCATACCTTTGATATACTTCGCGTCGACCTCAACCATAAGGTTGGTGACGCCGAAGATAAAGATGCGCACAGCACGCAACGTGCGGAAGAGTCCGTATAACTCCAACTTCGCTTGCGAGTAACGGCTTTCGACCTTGCTGAGCGCGATGGAACCAAAGCGGTTTGGATAGCACTTGCCATCCTCACCGACTTGCAACAAAATATAGCCGACCGCGACTGCGGACATGTCAACCGATAAGATAACTTCTCGGCCGCTCTCGTAGTCAATCGGGCGCAATGCCGGTGAGTTGATGATAGTGGCTTTGAGTAAGTCCATTGCCTCGTGATGTTCGTCTTCGAATTTGAACGGTACATCTTTCCTGGTGAGGTTAGTGAGCGGCCGCGCAATGCGCGCGAAATCATGGATGAATATTTGGAGGACACCACATGTGCCCAAGAACCCGTGCATTTGCGACTGGGTCTTTGGCTCTGGCCATTTATGAATCTTCTTGACCTTTGAATCTTCTGGGACTCGGCCGTCAAACGTGCATTTATGCCCGACGATGACTGCCGATGGCGCGGCTAATACAAACTTTGTCACGGATACTGTCACACCGACGTTTTCTAGCCATTGGAGGATGCAGTTGACTACAACAAGATGCTCCCAGACGAAGCGATGGATCCCCGCATTCTCGGGTATAGTCTTGTATGTGCCATCGGCGTTCTGGTAGCGCGTCTTGACTGACTTGATCAGCACGTCGTCAATGAATGGCGATGTGAACTCTGGGATCTCGTGCTGCAAGATAAAAGCGGTATCCCCTTGATGGTATTAGCATGTCCTTGCAGCAATGTGGTTAGCCGATGGGGGCCTAGTGGCGTCCCAAAGGTCGTCAAGTCGCGCGAATCAATATGAAGCGCTCGCTGATCGTAACCCGCATATAAATCAAGGATTGTGTAGATCGCATAGCCCGCAAAAGCGGTGGCTAAATGCTCTACAAACGGCGGTAGCAATGCATCTCGAATTGTTACCTCATTGAGCGGCTGCAAATCATGGACTAGCCAAAGCGACTTTCCGTCCTTCTTTACAACACAAAACCATCTAGAGCGGTATGTGGCTGTCGACGGCTCGTATATGCCCGAAGAGATCTTTTCTTTAACAATGCGAATAACTTCGCCAATGATAGCCGGCGGGATTGGAATGTTGCGCTGATTCCAAGGCGTGTGCGGTACCGTAGGTATCTTGTAAGGCAGGAAATATTTTTCATCAAGGCGGCCGCGTTCAGTGGCGCACCAAGCGAACATGAGTTTGTGTACAAGAACAAGCCATCGTACTAGCTTAAGTTCTTCTGGCCATAGCCATTTGGCGGGGTCAAGATCGAGCTTGTTGGCTCTTTCTTTCGTGAAGCGGGTACCTGGGACAAAATCGGGAGGGTGAGCGGGTAATTCTGGCAAGCCAGCGAGCGGGTCTTCGGGCAATTGCCGCACGATTCTATACTCGGCCGGCATAGCCATTGGTACCGTGCGGACTTTCTTTGCGACTGGTTTATATACCAGTGCATGCAGATCGCAGTCATAATAATACCACTCGTTGAAAGTGGCTATGTTCGCCTTATTAATGGCGGATCTGGTGGACGTTAGTTGCGCATATTGCGCTGATTGGAGCGTGGACTGAAGAGAAACAGAAAACTGCGGCGGACGATGCGATGATACAGAAAATGATGCGATGTCGCTCCTTAAGAGTGGTAATGCTTTGCCTTCGGCGCACGCATATTGCGGCGCCTCAGGACTTGAACGTGAATGTGAGACATAATGTGAAGAAGAAACATGGTTAGCGGAATATAACAACGGCGGGTAGACGTCTCCCCGCGGCAACTGCAGATCATCAATACCTAAAAACCCTTCTCCTCGGCTTTTGCCTTTGCAGAGTGCTCAGCGCAATGCTCGCCATTGAGACAATGGTCACAGCGCTTGACCTATGGCAGGGTCGGGAGGCGCAATTCCTTGCGGGTGTTCGGATCTGTGATTACAATATCTTGATCTCCATTAGGGAGATCGTTAGTGCGGCATGATGATAGTTTGAAAAATGGACAGCCAAGGAGAACCTCAAACATTGTGCGGTTAGTCACTTGTACTTGGAAGTACATTGGGCCGCTGCCGAAGTCGAGCGGGACATTCTTGATGACACCAAGTGTAGCGTCGCGCGATGTGTTTACCGATTCCATGTTGAGCTTGTGATCTGAGCGCAAGCCGACGCCCAATGATTGCCATATTGCACGCGGCATGACAACAACCTCTGCACCTTGGTCAAGGACGCAGGTTAAAACTCTTCCGCCGTATGTGACTGCGCGGATACAACATAGCGGCGCGAAGTGGTCGGCAACGACTTTGCTGTCGTCGCTTCGCATACGAACACCATCATACGCGCTGAGCCATTCTTCCGTTGCGGGATGCCATGATAGTTCATTGACAGAGACTGCGCCAACAGTTACCCGTTTAGTAGCCATCATATCGCAGAATTGCTTCCTGATTTCAGGTGATACGGCAAATAGTTCTCGAACCAGGATATTGAGGCTCGTGTCAAGTAGGCGCTCAATGACGCGCTTGTCAGCTTCCTTATCTTCCAGCGCATGAGAGTATCGGTATTGACCGGTGGATACGGCGGTGGCGGCGGGCAGGTTGACGGTGGTCTTTGATGTTTCAGGCGATGGTGCGGCAGTCGTCGGTTTGGCGGATTCCTTACTGGATGATGCTGTTGGCGGCGGTGCGGTAGTGGTTTTCAAAGTCTCAGCCGCCTTTCCTTTGCCTTTGCCCGATGTAGCTTGGACCTCTGGAGAGACAATCTCCTCAGCCACGGCTATTAGTCTGGATGCAGGACCCGGATGCGCGCGAGTTTCTCTGCTGATTTCAACGCCATTGAATCGGACGGTCTTGCCCTTGGTGTCATCTTTGGCGCTCCGCGCTTCAGATCCCGCCAAGCCGTTGCTAGCACAAGTGCTTGTGCCGCACGCGCTACGTCTAAATCATCCTCATCCTCGTCGGATTCAGGGTCAGCAATGGTATGGATGAATGCAGATGAATCAACGTCTACGACGACTTCTACCCCCGGCGATGCGCGGTAAAACATACTAGCGCTAACGCTAGCGCCCGGCAATGCCTCGTTGGCTTGTTGATTGCCGTGATACCGGTCTAGGCGGTCTTTGAGCGTGCCGTTGCTCTGGCGGCCGGGGATCCAATTGCCATTGGGGAGTATGAGCTTATTGATCGTGACATCAAACTTACATTTGCCAGCCACAATGTACTGGTCGCGTTTGCGACACCGACCCATGAAATGGTCAGAGCCGCCGCAGAATATGCAGCCGCTGGGGCCATAGTTGCCGCCGTGCTTTGCGAAATATTCCTGCTTTACCACGACATTGGGTGCGGCTTGTTGCTGTTGCTGCACTGGCGCCGGTGATGGGACTGTTGGTACATATGGCGATGCTATTACCGGAATATTTGAGGGTATGGGACTGGCAACACCAATGCCCGGCAATAAAAATGTTGCGGCCGTAATGACGTCGTTGAATGGGTATGGGTCCTGCGGGTGATGATCTGGGAATGGTCTTTATCAATAAGCGCTCGCGCGATCTTGAGGAACGTGCGTTGATAGTCGCCCAGTTCCTTAACCGAGCGCATCAGTATGTTCTTTTGGTTGCGTGCAATGGCAACTAGATCATTAACGGTGTACCGCCGGTCGCCTTCGCAACCAGGGTACATCGTCTTTACCTCCTTGATATAAACATCGTAATCGCTGCCCTTTGCCTCGGGCATTTCTGCCCATAGCTCGCGTTCGCCCATTGACAGGTAGCGAATTATGCCTTTGATGCGGTCGCCGTGTTGAAGGCACACCTCGTTGGCGAGGACCTCATAATTGTTGATAAAGGCTAGGAGATTTTCCGTTGTGCCGTCAAACTTCGGCACGCCTTCAGTGCCGCGGATTGGCATTTTGAAGGTTGGGACAGTTGACATGGTGACTTGTGGTGCGGCAGGCGGTGGTTGAGATACTGGTTGTTGTACTAGGGGCGACAGGCCGTGTGAGAAAATAGCGATGGCTGTGCAGATGGAGTTGGGCACAGGTGGTATGGCAGTTGGAAGCTGCGGGATAGTCAAAGATGAGGCGGCAGTTGTTTCAACTGTAGGAATTCTCGGGAATTCTCAGTCTAAATCGCTAAGAGATGTTAGTGCGCTCAGGTTATCAATGTTACGAGTGTTAACGAGCACTGGTTGTTCGGGCGTTGCGCAAAATGTGCCGGGTAAGAAGTTCCTAGGATTATCAATCACTTCGAAATTGTCGGACGATTCACCTTGTACTGAATCCTTTGGCGAAGGCATGACTGGTGAAGCGGGCATGTGGTTGCGTGCTACAAATAAGTCCGGGTCGGGGGGGGTCGGTTCTGAGATGTTGCGCGGACGGCGCTTGTTTGGCGCCATGAAGAGTTCTTTAATGGGCGTTAATTGCGTATGTGGGAAGGTGTGGTTGAAACTATCTATTGCTTCTTGGTGCACGGTGCGGTCCTTCGTAGGTCTCAGCTTCCTACTAGTCTTCTCAGATGATCCCCTCGCGGTGGGCTCCAGTTGTGTGTGAGGAATGATAGCTAGATGAGAAGGGGAGAAAGGGGGAGAAAGGGTGAAGTGGGGTAAAACTCAAATAGACCTCTGGATGCGAGTATAGATTCAGCCCAAGGGGATTGCTACTGAGAACGATTCCTCTAAGTAAAAATATGGAGGGAAAACTTTGAACTGGTAAGAGTAACTGAAAATGGAAGAGCGCACAACATTGCGCTTGAAGCGATGCGAGCGCGAGCGAGCCGCCGAAGGTGCGATACAATGTGCGACCGAACGGCCGAAAGTTTGACGGAGCACGGAGACGCGGAGAAAAGCTGACAGTTTATATGAATGCGCGACTAGCGGGTATGCGAAGGAGATGCAACACGACGATAGTGAGGGAAGAGAGCTCTGACTATAGATGCGATGAGCGATGTGTGGACGATAGCGCGACCGTTAATACAGCGTGTGACGTAGTCGGCCGAAGGTTTCTGACTTAGAGTCTGAGTGATGCATGCAAACGGATGATAATTTCAATAGCGGGAAAAGAAGATACATCAAAAATCCTAAGTCTAAGGTATATATGATAGCGCGCGTAGCGCTGTTCGGAACCGAGAAGATAACAGTAATACGTATTAAGGGTCTATAACGCAAGTAACGAGACATACGTGATATCACCTTTGGAAATATAATCAGTCTAATGCAAATGAGATAAAATATGCACCAATGGACCAGCGGAGGACATGGATAGGACGGAGGAAGGACATGCGACAGAACTGACGAAAAGCGGATGCAAACTGAAGCGCGCGCGTGAGCCGCAGCCATCAGCCGACAATAGGAAGGATGCGCACCATGGTAGTGATAGCGCGCGCTTCGGTAGGACCTGAGGGACACTGCAAAAATAGCCTCTACAAGGCTACAAGGACTACAAGTCCTACACCAGTCCTGACCCACTTGCATTGCAGTGGGATATGACGACCATGCATAAGTTGGATTGTAATCAAAAGGTCATTGATCACCTCTGTTCCCTGTATATGACCATGCAGGTAGTGTTTTAAAGTCCAGTTGCCGGACTGCAAAAAGACTGGCAACTGGACTGGACTGCAGTCTCAGTTGCCTCCCATCGGCCCAAAAATGAAAAACTGATGAAACCTGGTTTACACTGGTTGCAACCGGTCTTTTGTAACCCTGACCCTACCCTATATATTACTGTATGATTGTGCTAATTTAGGTGCATTTATCACTGGTTGGATCATAAAAAACGGTCAAGATTTGGGAAAGTTATGAGCATTTCAATAATTGCTTGTAAAAGTCATATAAGCCTGTCTGTAATGCTCATAACTTGCTTAAACCTTACCCGTTTGACAAGATAAGAGGCTCAAAATGTTTGTATTGATGTGTTCTCTGGGTCTGGACTGGTTGCAGACCGGTCTAAAACCAGTTGCATGACTGCAAAAGACCGAAAATATCGGTCCTAGTCCAGTTGCCTCCAAATAGGGTCAAAAAACCGGACTGGACTGGACCTTAAAACACTACATGCAGGAGAGCAACCACTGGACCATATAAAGTTCCAGAGAATTGGAATTATGGTTTCATGCAGGTGAAATCATTCCAGTTAGCTCATATGACACCTGATTCCTTTTCTTGTACTGTATTATTCATGATCTTGTACTATACTATCAACCCTATACTGATGTATGTCCTATCAACCTCATACCGCACCCTGTACTATGATGTATATACTATCAACCTTGTTACAGCACCCTGTACCAATGATATGGCTTTGATACCTTTCACATAGTGGGTGCTCCCTCATTAAAATGTATATGTAAGTCATCTAGTCATGTCAACCCACGATGAAATGAACAAGAATAGTAAGCATCATTTCAGTTTCAAGGGTGACAGTGACTGACTATATGCACTCTGCTAGGCAAGAAAATGCTATGCATTGACGAGATTACTGGTTCAACCACACCGAAGCTTGCCAATCACTCATTGTGATGGACCATAATCCCCAAATTGGCTTATACCCTGAAATTCGAACATATGCTCTTAGTTTAGTGAAACTGCAGGTCCCAGCAACTCAACTCCAACAACACTGCAATGAATTTGAATTTGCCAAAGAGACATTTGGTAATGCCCCTGACAATACCCACTATTGGTTTAATCTTCATGATCACAAAACAATGTCTCTTTATCGTATGCACTTTGCTGAACTTTGTATACTACAATGTTCAGCAGCTGAGGAGAATGTCGAAAGTGGCTCTGGTCATATAATTCCAACCCACCTGATCCTGCCTATACTACAAGCCTCATGGAGAAGACCCTTCAGATTGCTTCATAATCATTATCTCTACTCCAGAACAGCAGAAAATGGCCTGGTGATATGGTCATAAGAAACTACTTCTTCTCGATGGAACCCTTGGCATTAACAGTGCTCACTCGCTTCTATTCATTGGCATGGTTGTTGACAATGCTAAAAAAGGCATTCCAGTAGTCTTCTTTCACTTCACTGCCAAAAAGTCTACCACAGCTGCTCATACAGATTATGATGGACTACTTCTGCAGGATCTTCTTGGTCACTGGAAATAAGCTATGGGTTGAAACAAGACTGGTCAAGATTTTGATATCAAGGTTATAGTCACCGACAATGACACTTGCCAGTGAAATGCACTATCCATAGTCTTTCCCAATGCTCTTCTTCTCTTATGTCACCTTCATACAGCCCACACTTGGAAAAACGCAGTCAATCAACAAATTCATGTTATTCCCAAGGGCCCTGCATGCCAAGAAGTTCAACACATCATTGCAAAGTTTTTATTCATTCTGCTCAAAGACATCACAAAGTTCGAGGACACTATTTCACACTACAATAAACATCTTGAATACTTCCAAAAGCTCAGTGAACTTCCAGACACACTCTCCAAGAAAAAGTCTCAAGGTGGCCTTTCATTCTTAACATATTTTTAAACTTATCTGCATCCACGTAAATTCTGGGTTGCCTGGTCACCAGCAGGAGTTGCTAAAGCAGCACAACATCTGAGAAGTTGAGCCTGAACACATCCCACGCATGACGAATCACCTCAAATTGTTTGATGGTCAAATCAAACATTGTTACTTCTATGTATATTAACACTATGGACGACTCCCTCGCCTCAATGTCTGGATAGTGACCCTGATTCTCAAGGTTGTCCCTGCATTCTTTCAAGAACTCACTTTTAAAGAAGCATGAACACAAAATTCTCTCGATATGTGACATATACCTCCAAAAAGCCATTATGACCCCTCCAAGTCTGAGTTCTCTACTTCTCACCCTGACAGGTTGCTAGTGCATTCTAGTGCCCAGTTCATAGAAGTCGAACACTTTGATGTGTGGGTAGAGATGGAGTGGCTTAATGATATGTGTGAGGATGGAGCTGTTGAAGATGAAGCTCCAGACGAGCAGTCACTGAACTTAACCAATGTCATCAATGACCTGGATTGGCATGAAACGGCACTCATCATCCACTTGTTCAACTCTGAGAGTTCTATCTCATCCATACATTCTTCATCACCCATCCTCAAACCACACATCCTCAAAGGCATTGAACCACCACCACTTTCTCAGCCAGTCACAGCCACATTCTCAACCCACAGTATTAACATTACGAATCAATGTACCACAGCTATGCAAATGATTTTTTCTATCAAGGAATCACTTGTTCACACACTCCATCATGCACTGTCCATCTATGATGACAACAATGAAATATGCAGCATCACATAAGTCCAAGCATCCATGAACAACTTTATGGATCCTACCATCCTCCCCAAATAATTGTTGGCCCTTCCGAGTCTCTGGATACAAAACAAAAAGAGCCTACTGCATTTCACATACAGCCTTCCCCAATTTAACACCTTTTAGGTATCTTCTGACCTTTCCTTCACTAGTTGCCTGTTGTATCATTATGTTTTTCCATCATTAATACATACTTAGGACTATTATGACTTTTAGCACATACCCAGACTTTGTAAATTTACTAGACTTTCAGGACACGGTCAAATTTTGAGTACTATCATTATATCAAAATTCTCAGATATCACTGAAGTCTTCAAATTCCCCACTTTGAGGATGTACTTTGATTATCTAAAGTCTTGTAAGTCTTCAAAGTCCCAAAATTACCACGGTTGACTTCAAGGACACTAATTTCTCATGGCCACCTTTCACTGCACTTCTATCCAAAACACTTTGACGTTCACTAGCACCCAGTACAACTCTTTGCTCCATAATTCGAAGCAGATGTTATTTTACATTATAATATACTACATGTGGGGTAACTGCCCCAGTGACTTGTTCAACATCAAACATTCGTGTCTGGTAATACTACTACTGGCCCTCGGTCGACACAGAATCCATGGGTTTAATAACCACATCCATATACAAAATGAACTTTGCAAAACGCCAATCAGGATCTTCTCAACTATATTCCTGTCCATGATGGAATACAATCATACTGCATCATGACCACCAATGTTTTTATACCTGCCAAAGATGACAAGGAATATTGCCTTAAAGGGCACCTGATTGGGCACAAGAATGCAATCAATTGCTTGACTATCTCAAGCAATGGCAGTCTGTTGGCAAGCTGTGGTAAGTTGTTATATATGTGACAGTCTGATACATAGACTTACTAGGGAGTAGGCTCAGATGGTATGAGAATTTGGAACCTCAAATGGTGACTTCAACTCCTGTCTCCGCATCAAAACATGAGTCTTCAAAATCCAGTCGATCCCATGACATGTGCATGCTGGATCACCCACCAGGAGGCAACATACAAGACATTGTGCTATGGCACAGGACTAGGATTCATCAAAATTTGGCAACAGCAAGGTGAAGGTATAGAGGACTTTGACACCAAAGTGTCAAGAAGAATCAGTACAGGTAAAGAGATCATGTGCATTACCTATGATCACGCTGGAGATGACACTCGTATTGCTACTGGAACATGGGACTGTTATGATTAACAATGAATCTCCTTTACTACAAGGGTAGGTTTACAAGGGTAGATTGCTAAGGTCAAGTTAGAGAAACATACATGGTAACTACTGACTATATATATGTAAGTTGAAGTGGAGCTCCAATATAGAATAGGAGCCTGAATAGTAATCGTCCAATGGGAATAATCGTAGAGAAGTCATACGATGAAGTGGTGTGGGAATTAGGTAGAATGTTCTGTGAAGTTCTGTGAATAAGTGAAAAGGTGAAAGGTGACAAAGTGAAGATGTGAAGTGGTGAAGAGGTGAAGGTAAGCCTATGAACTGTAACAGGGACAGACATGTTTAAGTTTGGTCATTCGATTTCAAAGGACTGTCATATCCCGCGTTTCAGACCCGGACTGATCACACACTCATATCCGGATGTCCGGATCTGACCCGCTTCTTACTTCTGTTTCCTTCTCCTTTTGTACATCCCGTTTTGGTTAGTTCCTGCTACCAGTCTACCAGTTATTTACATATCCGACTGTACTGGTTCATCCGGACCTTGTTTCATTTCCGACTGCATTTTATTATGTTCTGTTATACTATTGATAAGCTTTCCACATGCTTCGTACATAGCCTTGCACCGTGCTGACTGACCTTCCATTATGTTTCCATAGTATATAAACCCTGTAAAACCTCTGTACATCCTCAGTTCGAATATTAGATTAGATTCTGCTCATTTCTGCCTCTGTCCAACTTGAGTTTCTCCTCTCGTTGTCTTCCGATAGTCTTAGGATTGATTCCTATTGACTTAAACATCTCCGCCTCTACCTTTGGTAGTCTTTCACTGTTTCTTTCTAGTTTGGACTTTGTCTGGATTAGTCTTCTATCTCATTTCCGAATGTCTGCTGGATTTCCCGTGCATCGGACATCGTCCTATAGCTTTTGGAAGTTAAGGGCACGTACTCGGGTAATGGGCACAGCGTACGAACTGAAGCCGAGCCCTTCGGATCTGAACCCTTGAGCACGTTCTTAACAAGGACCATTGATTCCAGTCTTCAGCATTGAGATGAATAGTACAATCTTGCACACGATAAACTTCAATCGCACTGCAAATCGAAATTTATTAGTCTTCAGGATGTGTGATGGAGAGGTGTAAGTCAATGCAGCGATTATCACAGTGATTCTAACATACCTTGTAGACATGCACTTTGGGGCACAGATGGAGTTATTATTGCTACAAACAATGCTGGACCCCTAATGTGAGTGATTTCATTGGAAAATGTTGGCATTCCTTACTGTTCCTCATCGACTGGACAATGCTGTGTGCATCCAAAGCTACAGTACCAACCCAGTCAAAACATTCCCAAAACAAGTAGTATTTGGCGAAAAGACTGATGTGGTGGTCGGTGGCAGCGACACAAGCATTTTTGATAAGAATGAAGGCACCCTCAAGCAAGTGTGGAAACATGCCGACAAGGCAAGAGTGCAGACTGTTATAGTGTGATAATATTTTTACCAATAAGTTAGAGTGGGCATCTGACAGACTACAAGACTTATGACGGGGCTTACCACAGTATAATTGTTGGGGCAACATCTCAAAACAATGCAGAGCCAGTCATCTCTATCTGGAGCTGCCAATGGGATAATCTTAAAATAGCATGTCCACTAGGGAAAGCTCTCAAAAACTTTGTGTGCAGAATCGTACAATTAGCTATTGCAATGGCTCTGCTTACATATGTTAGCCTGTCATATGTCATATTTTGTATTGAGCTGCGATGTGCTGACTTACCCTAATAAGCAGTATGTTGCAATGAACACATCAATCTCATTCAAGTCGCTAGGGAACATCTGGCAAAACTTGGCTCAACTATGTGAGCCAACAAATGATGATATTCATGCCTGGGTGGAGTAGTATATTGAGCACTGAGGGGAGATGATAGGAATCCCAAATGAAAATAAGGTACACACCAGGCGAGAAAAGACTGGAACATCATCGAACATGGAATGGAGCATGGTGAGTCACAGGCTGTGATTCTTTTCGGTATTTAGTATGGAGTTGCTGTGGTAATAAACATATTCAATACAGGAAATTTGAGTTATGCATGCAGGTGCAAAATATCATCTTCATCGTGATATCTGCAATGTGCGGGCAAGCACCGGCTCCTGACTTCTGAGCATGCATAAGGCTATATATATAATTAGATACTTTCGTTGTATTGCTTTTCAGTATTGCTTTTCAGACATACTGATGTCATGGCACAAATACAAATTCAAAAAACTCAAGTCAATATACCATACAATACACTGTACAATACAATAGATGTTCTGTACAGTAGACTGAGCTAATGAACGCTGCCTGAGTCACAAAAGTTCAGAAAAAGGTCAAGTTGTAACAAGGCAGCCATTATATAGTGAACAATTACATAATTAAACTCCACCAGAGAATTCCCGATGTGCCCCACCCACATATGTTTACATAATAGCTGGGTTTCAATTGTGATAGTCATTCTCTATATCATAACCATTCTAGCCAGAATTAAATCCTTTTTGGACTACCATGATGCCCTCTACATACGTACAACATACATACAGCACATACTATGAGTGTGAATACATAGATACTGTAGCAGGTGATAACTGCTATCACTTATTCTTTATATTCACATGCACCCAATGCACTTCTGTAAATAAGTTACATGTTAGTGAGCGGGAAGAACTTCACTCTGAAGAACAAAAACCGCTATGGGTCCACAACACCTCACACAATAGATTAATCATTGTTACAAATCCACAATTTTGAAAATATTCACAGTCACACCTATAATGGTAAGCTAGTCCACAATTAGTGGTTTACTACAAATACTGATCTCATGTCTTGATGGTTTTCTTTCCGTTACCATCACCTCAATACAACATAGCAGATTTCCAAACTTTGCATAATAAGCTTAGTGTAGACTTTTTGTAGACATATACCTATTGAATACAGTATGTAACATGTCAAGTTCATTGTGTAATGCTGCTGAAACTCATTATGTAGAACTACAAAATGATGTCCAAATGCACTGCATCAGATGATGACGCGCCTTCCATGAAGTGCATGAGAACCAATGAAGGTAAGTAATGATACAATGTTGTTAATATTGTTATTCACCCGCCCGTATCACAGGGAGTCAGACAGCACCCCTGACAGATGAACATGCATGGAGAATTTTAGAGGAGTTCCTCACCACCAAAATGACATATCCTCAAATGGAGGAAGTCTTTCTATCATACCTGGGAGGCCGATATGCTGAAGATGAATGGAAGGAAGCCCAGGATGTTATGGTCAAGGTACACTCCTATTTTCTCTCCTATCACCAGACAATGGTCCCTTGCTGTGTCTACTGTACAGAGACCGATCACCTTCTAGTATATCACTTTTCTTATCGCCAAGATCTCTTATCACGTTAGTAACCATCTACATGCACCGCATGAACACTCCTAGCTTCTATCTTCACACATCTTGTATGCCTACCTTTTTTGGCCTGGTCTGTGCGCACCATATGGACTATTTAAGCACAGTAGTTACTGCTTGTATTCCTCACTTTAATCTACTGGGTTTTACCTGGAACATCCGCTCTACTAAGGGATCTACCTTAGTAGTCTTGGAACCACTATTCTAAGACAGTTAGCATCACTGTCCTTAGCCAGATACTCTAAAACCTATATTCATAGGAAGAACCTCACTTCACTACCAGAAGACTATTCAGTCTTAGTGAAGAAGAACAACCTCAGTCATAACACAAGATGGATCCTCATTGGCCACTAAGTTCACCACAGTTATTGATGATCTCACCAATAGAATTGAAGATACACAGTGTAACTCATTGCAAGATCACCAGCCTCTCTCCCCAATATCTGGCTTAATCACTTCGGCTTCACCTCTATTGCAAGATGGAAGGATGTATCTCCTTCATGTCCACCATAAGTCTTTCTAATGATGTGATTTATCATTCATCACTCATCAATCACAGGAAATGTCACAGACTATATTGCTCAACACCTTCAGAAGAAAAACTTTCGCATCACAGTGTTAGCTTGGCTGGCAGGTCAGCTTTATGTGGTGGCTGACAGCTCTAAAACCATCACTGATGCCCTTCCTTTCTTGATATACCTCACCATGAAACAATATGTCCTTATATCAGATGAGGAACATGAAGCAGTTGAGCAGTCCTGCAGATAACTTCCCAACCCAGTGTAGATAAGATTCAAGCATGAAAAGTACAAGGGCAACATAGCGCAAGTCTTCGATTCAAACTTACCAAATGATTTGGTTGCAGTCTTAGTTCCCCACAGGAGTTCCTATATCCCATGCCTCAGGGATCTCAGTCACTACTCGACCGATCTTGGCTTCCAAATGGGGACGCGGTCTCTGATATCAATCACAGTGAGGAAGTCATAGGATGCAAATATAAGGGTGAAAAATATTATATGGGCCTCCTACTCAAAGTTGTTCACCGTGATTTCCTAGAACTTGTCATCTGCCCTCATGCTGACAACATTCGACTCTACCTACAATCTGAGTGGGGCCAATCCTTCCTCAAGACAACTGTGGTTATGTTCTCTATGCAGTTCTTGCACATAGATGATTGGGCTATGATTGTTAGAGGAGACCTTAGTTCAGAGACTGGTCAGGTTGTCTCAACAGACCATCCTGCTGCTTCTGCTATCTTGGAGTTGACCTTAAGTGGTTTCTGAAAGGAAGTTAACATCTGATTAGAGGACATAAAGCACATTTTTTAGGTCAGTGACACAATTCGAGTGATAGTAGGTTCATACTTAGGTGTGGAAGGGTACATCATCCAGATGGTAGATGTTATATTTTGTCTTTGTCAGCACCCCTTGAAGGAAGAGGTAAATGTCTTTTATTCTGAACAAAAATGCTGTCTGACATAATGCACAGTTAGAAGTTTCCAAGTACTACCTGGATCATTGCCCTCTTAGTCACACCCTGCAAGCACAGCTGCCACCTCAGCAACTTTTTAGGCCTTCCCCTGATATTGATGTCATTCAAATTGGGGATTCCATAAATGTGCTTGTTGAGGAGCACATGGAGAAATCTGGCATCATGTGCTGGCTCTCCAAGAGAGGCAATTATCTGTGGTTCCAGGACCGATTGTTGAATATTCCAGTTCCTGTTGTAGTTGTTTAGCAGATCTCCAACCTCCAAACACTGCAGTTTATGCAAGACAGTGGTTATGATGTCAAGCCTGGAGACGTCATGAGAGTTGCCCATGGGCCAGAGTATCTGACAAAAGGGGTCGTTCAAAGTGTTGACTTTCTAAACGCTCGCTTGACCCTACTCTCTGAGATTGATCACTCACTAGTCAGTAATGATTCTCCTCAGCTTATCATGTCTAACTGTGACTTCTAACAGATCAATGTTCCCATCAGATTTGTAATCAAAGTACAGAATGCCAGCTTAGATTCCTTCAAAAAAGACATCAGGCAAGAAGTTTTCATTATCGGTGGTGACTGTAAGGGCTACCAAGCCACACTGTACAGTTTCACATCTGAAACTTGTATTATTGCCGTCCATAGGCAGCAACGCACTACTATTCAACTCAAGGATATTGCCAATAGGTAAGCGATATGTACATATTTGCACAAATTAATTTCATGTGTATTTAGGTATGGGATGAGGCTGAACGGTGTCATGCTCAAAGGAACTGAGATGATATGTTTCTGTGAAATGTGGAGAAAGTCATACTTGGCTTTACAACCTTGAAGCATCACCCCTCCCCCTGAAAAGGTCCCCTTGTCAGCTTCCACTGTAGATATGTCATCATCTGTGTGGACCACCTGGACCGACAACTCTGAGGATGTTGTCACGGCCGGCAATCCTTCATCTAGCCTCCCCTCACAGCCTGCTGCATCTGACCCCTGGAGTGTCAATATCAATGACATGCTGGATAGCATCAATGCTGGAAGAGAGAAACCAAAAGAGAGTAAGTTCTTCAACAGAATCGTCACAGCATTCCCACTTATTTCATTCTAGCCCTGATAGCATGGTTAATGAACAAGGAATTTTCTTTCAAGTTCACTACTTATCACATGATGTTGAAAGTCTCGCCCTCTTTCATAGGAGGCAGGCTACACAATCTGTTTTGCCTTCTGAGGCTGCAGCCAGTCCAAGATTCGCGCGATTTTTGAACCGTCCACTTTGATCCCATGAGCTGATATATGGTGACCAAGGAAGTCAATCTCTGTGTTGAACAACATTGCATAGAGCCTCGAGAACCTGAGACACATTCACCTCATGTTCTTCGACAGTTTGTGACCAGATAATGATATTGTCCAGATACACATGGCAGATCTTGCCAATCAAGTGTCACAGTGCCACAGTCATGCAGCATTGGTGGACTGCCGGCGCTTTATGCACCCTCATGGGCATAACCGTCCATTCGTACTTACTCCAGGGAGTATGAATAGTGAGGTATTTCATATCGTCTGGATGTACTCGCGTCTGGAAGAATGCATTAGTGATGTCAATTTTTCTGAAGAACTTCCCATTATCGCAGTCCTTCAGGATCTTGTCAATGCGTGGCAGTGGATGGTTGTCTGCGACTGTGTTCAGGTTCAATCTTCGAAAATTGTTTATCCAACGAGGTAACACCGTGGGATCTGGCTTCGGTATTATGAATGACAGTGAGGACCACTCACTTTCAGAGTGTCGTAGTCGCCTGCTGTCCACATGAGAGTCCAACAAGGTCTTCCAGGCTGTGCGATACTTCTTTGGACAGTTGTATGACCAGAGTTGTACTACCTTGATAGCATCCTTCAAACTCACGCGAAATAGGACATCACTTGGCATGGTATCATTGTGTGGAATATCTGCAGGGAACTGGTCCTTGAACATCTGTTTATACTTGGCATTGAGTTTCTTTAGGTCCTCTTCGTACGCCAGTCCAGCAATGCATGCTTGTATGGCAGTGACGACATCGACGTTCTTGACTTGTTCACATTTACTGTTGACAATCATCCTCCATTCAGGTAGGACCGTCTTCAGCTCATTCACTATGTCTCTCTTCAACCAGAAGAGTTCTGGTCCCCATGCTGATGTACAAGACATTGGTTCTGACCTTAGAGTGCTTTGCAGCTGTAGGAGATCATAGTTAGTTTCTTTAGTGATGCACGTACGTAATTCATGATCAATGACGATTCAATTATGCTGCAGAAAAGGTCCACCGAGTAACAGAGGTGTACACAGGTTCGGCACAATTATTGTGCGTACAGTTCATGACGTATAAACTTGGTCCAGGGAAGTACAAGAGAGCTTAACATATTGCAAAAGAAGAAATGAGTCCTTGTCTTTGGACAGTGTGAGAGAAATAGGTAGAGGCTTTGCAAGTTGTTGACGATGTAGTCCCAGTTTGTCGGCGAGTTCTTCACCAATCAGAACTAGAGAAGAGCCATAATCAATAAGCACAGACACATTAATAGGAGAAGAGACACCGGGTCCATCTATGAGACAGTCCCAACGAAGATGGGGGGTTTGTAGTAGAGCCATGCACTCTTCGCCCGAATCAGTGCCATTTCCCAGCACAGCAGACAGCATCACGACTGCGACTGTGTAGCAAGTCTCTTCAACTTCTACAGTGGTGACGACGTCTTTACCCTTTTTCATCTTCTTAGCAGTGACTGAAGAGGATGTCAGGGTCTTGTACAATACGCCATCTGGAAAACCTTTGGTACAGTTAGATGAAGTATGTCCCATGAATGGCTCACAGCACTTGAAACATCTGTCGTTGTCGTGCAATAGTTGCCATTCAGAGTTGGTTAGGCTAGGCAAACGAGTGAAAGGTTTCAACGTACTTGAAGAGCCCTTTGTTGTGGTGTTGTTATTTGAACTGAAATGAGTATTTGTACTCAGTTTCTTGTCAGCATTTGAGTGCACACGTTCCATACATAACACAATCTCAATGGCCTCCTTTTGCCTAGCTAGGTAGCGCAAGCATTTTTCATTGAGGATGTGTACTCTTTCAATCCATTTACACAGGTCCTCCTCTTCAACGCTCTCTGTGTGGTAGTCTGTGGCTAGCTCAGCATTCATATGTGATTTGAGGTGGTAGAGGATGTTGACATCAGGAAGATGAGATGTGGTCCCATGCAGGAGGGTGTTCTGGCTTTGGACGTTGATGGCCCACTCATTGAAGGGGTGTTGTCCCTGCATAGAGGCTAACATCTTGTGTCTCACAATATCTGCCCAGCCTAGTGGCAACCAAATGTTGCAGACCTCAGTCATGTACTCTTTGAACGTTATTGCATCAATCTCCTCTTGGTTTGTGAGGTACCAGTCCTGGATCCATGGATCTTGCATACCCCAGGCAATCTTCTTGACCATATCTGCCTCTGGGATGCCCTTGTGCATGGAGAACTGGGCGCACCTCATTTCCCAGAACTGTAGAGCCTCTGGCATTACCTTGCCCAGGGTCAAGAAAGGGGGTTTGCTTGCTGATGACTGCTCTACATGGGCAGTCTTGGAAGACGAAGACATGATAGTTTTGACAGGCGAGTCCAAGCTGGAGTCGCTTGAGTCGGAATCAGTGAATGTATGTGCGGTGGTAGACACGTGCGGGAAAACTACTCAGCTGTTCTCGGAAGATGGGTTAGACCTAGGTGAGGATGACTCTGGAAAGGTCACAGGTGACAGTAGTTCTGATGGATTGTTCACCGAAGTTGTTGTTGTTGTTCTGAGTCTAGCACAACTCCTTGTCATCAGAGGTGACAATAGTATGGGTATACGGACACGGTGAGGAGCTAGTTTGTAAGTTAGGTAATGGCAGGCTGACCAAACAAGGTCAAGGCCCGACGATGCGGTTCTTTTTATGTAATGACAGGAACAGCAACAATAAAAGATAACAATCAGCTGAACGTTAAAAAAAAGTGGAAGACTGTCACAGTAGACAGTCAACACTAATGAACGGTCAGGCAATGGATAATGTGGATGAGCGTATGGAATTTGGTAATGGTGGTAAGAGCTAAGGTACAGGTAAAGGGGCGATGAGGTCTATATACTATGTGGTGCAAATACCAAATAACAAACGGTGGTGCCCAATCAAGAGGTAGCTTCGTCACATGTAGTAAGCCGCAGGCTTACAATTGTCTGTGAAACTGTGTCCTGAAGTTTCCCTCTAATTCATGGTTTGTTATGCATCCATCTAATTTGTCCATCCCCTCAGAATCAAATACCTGAAGGCTGTATTTGTGCAGTGTATGATACTTACAAAGATGTATACCTATGTATTCCATAGTCCATTCACATGTGAATTGCATCCATGCACTGTCTATAATCTACTTTGCAATTAACTGACATATTTGCAATTGACCAACACTACACTGGCCAGCAATGTCCGCCAAAAATTCCCAGTGGGTACTGGGTGCCAGATTCTGGCAGAGCTTGATTATGTAGTTATTCACTATATCAGGCATGTTCTTTCATTACTTATTCTTTTCTTTCCCTTATGTTCCAGATAGTACCTAGTTGCAAGCTCATTCACTTTTGCACTACTATGACTACTATGTACTTACATATCATGATGGAGTTCTTGTTTACATTGAGTGTTCCATTAGAGTATTCTATTCGAGATTTGGTGCTCGCTAATGCACCCAGCACAGTATTTTAAAAATGAAAGTTAGTGTGAGCAGTGCACTACAATTCAAATTTCAGATTCAGCCCCTCTGTAAGTGCCTCCACTGACTTAATGATCAGTGCTAACTACTTTTCCTGTTGTTGTTCTCATAAATCTCATAAGGTCAGAATCTTGAATGGAGCCAGTTGTCCTGTTCTGAAGTTTGTTAGATGCCTAGCCAAATATTCCTTTGTAAATGTACCCAATGCTACAAGATTGGAGGTAATGGAGTGCCTAGTAATCCTGGTGGCAAAGAACACCCTGTTAAAATGTGAGTACAACAATTCTGAGGGTGATTCAGAACAATGTGTTGGGTCTTGCAGAACCTAGCTGCTATTTGACCCTAAAGGATTTCTGGACCAGACTTAAGGCTCAAAGGAGAGGAAATATCATGAAAACCACTAAAGACTTAGACTCATACTGGTAACTAGTGAAAAGGTAACTTTATTATGTAAGCTAAGGTGCAAACATAACACTAAGTAATACAGTCTCTATAAGCCTAGCCAGGAATCAGTCCCTACACTGACTTCTGCAAAAAACGACAGAGAAGACCTTGTTCTTGACTTTTCTAAGGGTCATAGTTATCTCAGCTAGCTCATCTTGTATGAGATGTAGCCCATCACGAGAAGTTGTGGAGAAAATTCAAGTGCGAGCTCTAGCCATCTGCGACTCAACAATGTTCAAAGTTACTTGAGCCCTCAACTGGTGCCACATTTCAGCAGTCTGGAGAGCATAGGCAATGTGTCTAAGAAACAACCAAATTAGAAAGCTTGAAGTAATGTAATATCTAATATGATGCTTACTGCATATCCTGCAGAGTAAGTCCAGATACCAGATTGGTTGTAGCATCCAGAGAGTAGCCTTTTCCCTTGTTCTGTTGAACTTCTGATTAATAAATCCAAAGTTTGCTATGACTATCTAGATCAGCCTCATTGTCGCTTAGAGTGATTGTAAATAGTTCAGCAGCAAGGTCGTCCACTGGTGTTGATGTTGTGGATAAATGTGTTGGGTGAGCCAAATGTTGAGAGGAAGAAGCTTCACATGGTGAAGAAGCAATGTTGGCAGCTCACAATAAATGTACATGCTTCATCATTGTAGAGACTGACATCTCTGTGGCCTTGTAGAGGTCTGATCCTCCGATGCTCTAATCACCTTCCAAGCACAGTGCAACCCATATCTCATATCTGCGCACTTGGTGCTTCAGACACACATCAGTGCATGCATCCTCGATTCCATCACTTGTTCTCCGTCCATCTATTCCATGTCTATTCAGTTCATTAGTATGTATTTTTATCTAATTCTCATGCATTCTGACAGTATCTCCAGTGCTTGTGCCCACATTTCGATTCTCATATCATAGACCCTTACATTTTACATATCATCATATACTTACTTCACTTCCCAGTTCATGTCAGCGCTTGACAGTGCTTAGCAGTACTTAGATAGTTTTCATGTATTCTCTTCTCTCTTAACAATTAACCACCATTTTCTTCCATATTGTTGGACTCTAAGTCTTGGGCCAACATTAGCTTATGCATAGAGGAACATCTGAGTATATCACACCACCCACTTTCCACCACTTCTTATTCCTCACCTACATCAGCTAGAAGCTTCATATGATGAAATGCATAGGCTCCTCATCAACAAGGAAGATGAATTTCCTGTATCATCTCAACCATTCAAGTTTGGATCTTGTGAGTGCTGTTCATTCCTCCATATGTTCCTCTAACTAATATTCTATGAAGCACGTCATTATGATTTGCAAATTGACTATTGTGACAAGGTTGCTCAACTATCCCTCTTTCTGGGGGCAGTCTCTGTTGTCATTTTTGGCATTGGGCACAGACATGGGGTGTTTTTTATGGGAGTTCTCTCCTTGATTTTGAGTCTAGTGATGGAGGCACAGAATCCTCATTCTGAGTCTCGTCATCAAAACATTCTTGCTCAGATCCCACAATCTATGAAAACTGCGCTTTCACACTTCAAACTCAATGGCCAGACCACTACTTATGCAGTCTGTCCAGCATGCAATTGTACTTACAAACCGACAGCTGATCTCAACTCAAATCACCTGTGATATCCTATGAATTGTCTCAACAAACCCATACCAGAAGGTGATCTTTGTAATGAACTGTTATTGCATTGCTCTACTAATAGGCAGTTTGTGCCAATAAAAACATTCATTTATCATCACTTTTATGACTACCTTGCTGGATTGCTATGTCATCCTGACCTAGAGGCCTTAATAGATAAGCCTTGTGATGATTTACTAGTATCCATCGGGATTACACCTCATGTCATCAAGGATGTTTGGGATGTGAGTTTCTTCTGCACTTTCAAGGATCTGTCCAGCCAGTACCTATTTATCAACAGAGGTAATGAAGGCTGATATATTTTTATGCTCAACATTGAAGGTAATCGTCAGCAAAATATGTCAACATTTACTGGCATCATCTCATGCGCATGTTTGAACCTCCTCCTCAATATCCAGTACAAACACAAGAACATATACTTAGCTGGTATCATTTCTGGACCCTCAGAACCTTTAGAAGATGAATTGAATTTCTTCCTTGATCCTGTAGTTGATGATATGGTTAAAAGTTGGGAGCACAGGATACAATATTGCTGCACACTACTCAACACTTGTGGTCAGGTTACACATAGTGTTATAGCCTGTCTAGTATGTGACCTCCTGGCAGCAAGAAAGGCTGCTCAGCTAGTGGGTTGCACACACTCATTTTCATGAATTTTTAGGCCTCATATCTGATTCCACACATCACAAGCCTGATGTTAACCTCAACAAACCTTAAGAATTCCAAGAAAAAGATGTCAGAGTTATTAAATCAATTTAGAGTCCGATTACTAAGGCAGTTCCCGACCTTGAGGGTACAATTCTTACTTCTGTTAATAATGAACTCCTTATGCTGGCTTATGCAGGTCAGCAAGAATAAACTCTCCTCTACTCATACATCAAGACTGCAAAACTCAAATATTGACTCACCTGACCTTCTTGTCCTCCCATGTTTAGAGAGGTGAAGTCTCTATTCAACAGATTCATATCTCCCTTAGTCAATGCTAATCCTATTTCTGTTTCTAAAGATTACCCTCCTATACCACAAGTTATCCCAGCTGACCTCTACTGACTCATCCAGGTTTGGCAGGCAGTCTTGCATGCCCACACACTTCACAAGGGATCTATCTACACCCATGACTTCACACATATGGGCAATAGTCTCATCCTCTATTATCCTGGTGGTATCAGGAATGTACATCCAATACTAGGTATCATCAAGTATATTTTTGAGATGGAGTGAGTAGTGGACTTTACTGTATGGTGTTACCTCCCTCTGTACTCTCATCCTGACCCTATCCATCACTATCCTTACTTCCCAGTTCGTTTATATTCCTCAATGCTTGCTAACCATCTCAAAACTATCAAGCCTGAGTTGGTAGTGTCACATTTTGCATGATGGAATTTTTTTCCACAGTATATTGTTGTCGTGTCTTTGTCTTCAGTATGTCCCTTACTCTTTTTTCACATGTTATATCTCACAATGAATTAATAGGACTGAATCAGATGCTATCAAGCTTCATTTAAAACACAGAAAGTATTAGTGGTCTGATACTTGTGGTGTTCCATTCAGTTCTGGATCCAGAAAAATCCAGACTAAGTCTCATTCACTATAACAGGCTCCAACTATAGTTATTGTTTTCTTTTTCCCCTTTTTCTCTCTTCTTTGGAATGACAGTGGTTAAGCCAAACAATCATTCTAAATGAACAAAAAGATTGATTGCGTGAAGTACAACTATCTGAAAGTGACTCTACTAACTATGACTTGTAGCAAAGGAAGTGAAGTAAAGTGTGAGGTAGCTAGCAAGCCAGATTATATCCTACAGCATGAAAGTCCAGAATCTGCATAGGCGAAATCAGTAGCGAGATAAGCTATCCAAAATGTAATAAGACTTGAGGCAAGTCACTACACAGATATGTATGTAATATTGCATGAGGTGTCCTGCTATATGTACTATTTGAATAAATGAGGCTTCAAACGGGCCAATGTCATATCTGTTACTATGAAATATTCAATAATAGACAAATGAAGTAAAAACGCACCAGCAAGGTTAAATGGACACAGACAGGACATGGTATAGTGGATCACAAGTGAGAACAGACCTTGGAAGAGGACAGATGCTCTTTGGACGACTCAGAAGGACATGTAGAGCTTTTGGAAGGTCAAGAGAGTGTCAAGGAATGCAATGTGAGCTTATTGAAGTGAATTGGCAGGATACGTGCCCAGCGCTGATCTGAGTGCTATACTGACCTTGCAGTGCCTGCTGAATGCACCACTACTGCAGAAACAGCAGTGCTTCCCATTGCAGAAGGCCCCTATCTAGTTCCTAATGATGTCATCAATACTTCTATCAAACAGGATAGCTCTACCATGCTACTCTTTATGACTCTTACATGATACCAGCATGAAACTATTTTGTTGGCCTAATGCCAGTTGAGGACTTTCTCTAGGAATTCATCCCTACTTCTCAAATTCCAAATTATGATTCCTTGTTCCTTACTTTTGCTGTTGAAGCATTCAGTGATATGCTCTCTATTAAAAATGAGGAGCATGCCTGTACACCCTTTGTGAATATATACCTCATATATGATAGTGAGATTATTGACAGCCTAACCCTAGATTAATGCTATCAAACCTTTCATGCCTCAATTGTCATTTGTCAACACTCACAGTCACCCAGACATACAAAACTGCTCGAAAATAAATTCAACAGTATTCAATATAAAGCCAGACATCTGCATATATCCTGATGGACATAAACCTTTATTATACAATTGTGATGTTTCTATGGCAGAAATTATTGTCGAATTCAAATGGTCATAGTTGATAGCATCATATCCAAGATGAATCAGGGTATGGCAAACCACTTGATGGTCTTGTACATGTACTTGCTGAGTTCTTCTTGCATCAGTATATGCAGATCACTGATCATCAGCAAATGATATTTGATAAATTCCAGCTCATATATGAGAACATAATGTGAGAAGTTCCTGTCATACAAGAGTTGCTAATAGCTGCACATGAGATCATAACTGACTCCCCTGTCTACAAGAAGGAGATAGGTATGAAAGTCCTGGACTTACATGACACTGTGATAGACATTTTCAACAAGCACCTTGATTTATCCAGTTGGCCTGTCAAAGATGCTGCCATGCTGCAAAAACTTGAACACAAGAAGAAGTATAAGCTAGTCTTGTTCACCAAGTCTCAGTCACTATTAGGCTTAGGGTAGAAGTCAGCTTGTCTGACAAGAGGCATAGGCTAGACAATGCGGACACTGATGAGGGTGATGGTGACTATAGCTCAATAACTGGCCTGGATGCATTGACATCCCTTACTTAACCTCACATAGACAAGTAACTATGTCATGTAACTTCCTGCTAGTGATACTATATTCTAGTTATTCACAAATCTACATACAATAGTTTCCATGAGCCTGACAAATGTGAATGCCTAAATGCCCAATACAAATGATTGCCTGATGAATGTCTAATGAGTGCCCACATTATTTTTCCTGTGCTCAAAGTCCATATTTTACTTTCCCATTTTATCTTGCTAAAATTTGATTGTGCCTGTGATTGGAAAATGACCAACATCACATAATATTTTGAGAAGCATTTTTCTGTGCTAAAAATTTCATAATTTACCTCACTCAAAAAGGTGCATGAAATATAGAATTTTGTGCAGGATTTTAGCACTCATCCAAATTTTTTATTTTTATTGTGTCAAAATGTACAGTAAAAATGCTAACTTTATCACCAACATTTTGAAAAAAATCTTGCATAATAGAAAACTTCCAAACTGCTAGTATGTCATAAGTTGTTTCCCCTGATATCTAGCACTACCAGACTTATAAGTATATAATGATCTAATTCTACTTCCTAAACTTTAAACATAGAATACAACATCACTGATGAAATCCTCACTCTGGCTGATGAAGATGATGCAGACAAAGATGATGAATTATAGAGGAGGCTCATTGCAACTATCAGCATCCTTATATTTGTCAGAGCTGAACAATCATGCTATGAACACTCTGAACACAACCAGCTGGCTACATGCCAAAAATTTTGTGGCTTTGTAGGAAGTTAGAGAGAGATCAGTGATGCATATATTGAATGTAGATGTATACCTTATACTGCAAAGCGCATAGCACATTGCACATGATGCAGAATGCAGCATACACCTGAAGCAATCACTAATTAGCATAAGAGAGAGATCCAGGAGACTTAGACATATGAAAGCATTATAAGGATGGCTAAATTCTTTCTTATCCTCACTACATCATATGAAAATGCACTGTAATCACCTAGAAAAATTGAATGAAAGGCTCCTCGGCACATAAGGTATCTGGAATTCTAGATGCTGCAGGAAGTCATCCAGTAGTAAAAAAAAAGTACAAAAAGCAAGAAATAAGCTGGTCTAGACTTGTCACAACAAAATTCAAAGGTACATTAAGGAATATAAGGTCAGAAAAGGAAATGGGTGTTTTACTGATGTCGTACATATGAAGATGGAACAACCTTGAATCTGTTCATCTAACATTGGCCTCAAAGGCTAGCTCATGGGTCTCTCTCTTTTAAAACTACTGTGCTGTCACATGCAAGAGCAAGACCACCATTATGAGCACTACAAAGTAAAGAGTGAGTCCATGACACTTCAAGCAGCTGATGCTATATGCACATGGGAAATTCCATAGGATGAATTGACCCTACTACACAAGTATAAGAGGAATATCTGGGAGCTAAAATGAATGTGCTTACAGCAACACCAATGGGCTCATGGCGACTGTAGATGAGCTTGTCTTCAGTAGTCTCCCAAATTGTCAGTGAATGAGCAAAGTTAATTGTTGAAAAGCTTCACACCTCTTAGACCTGACAAGTGACCTTCATCAGTGAATTAATGAGTTCTTGATTTTGTAGCTGTGCAAATTGTAGAATGATGCAATTCTGCTTCTGCTAAATATGACCAAGTAAACCATGAGAAATTTGAATTGTAGATACATAGCCCATGAATCAAGAGTAACATGAACAGTGTACGACAACATTATGATGTTTCTCCATTGCAGCTGACAAGGGGCATTAGCTTATTTGTGCTAAATATTTTGAGCATTATCATATTGTGTGACTTGTCATTTGCATTACAGCCTCATCCAAGGCCTTCTCATGGGAAGTACCTTTGGCACTAGTCAACAAATGTAGAATCATGTAGGACTTCATAGCAAACTTATGACCTGTGGCCACAAAGATCAACAGGGGATGACAGCACACTCCTCTTATACCTTTTTAATGTTCTCCTTTTTCGTTATATATGTTTTCAATTAAAAGATTATGCAACACCTTTCTGTGGGAAGTGCCCTTTAGGACTGGTCGAAAAATCTAGAATAACATTACACTTAATGACAAAATTGTAATGGGCTGCCCTTGCAGCAGATAAGAAGTGGTAGCATACCTCTCGAAGTATTTGGAATTATTTTCATTCTTCCTTCAATTTGTTTGAGCTTTTTTAAGCTTTCCAAAGCCTTTCCCAAACGGACTGCTATAACATATAGTAAAGACTGTTTGAACATACTTGACATACTCAATGTCATCAAATCTCTGTCATCACAGAGTCACTCATAAACACACAGTATGCGAGTACTATTAACCCAATTCAGAATCAGTCATCCATAGGCGCTGATGTCTTGTAAGAATATTCAACACCATATGTCTGTCTTGATCAACTTGATCCTAGAATTATGCATGAGTCCGTCCAGTGTCACTGTACTACTCAATGATGACATTGATTTTCAAGAGAATGGGTTTTCTAAATTTCTTCCCTATAATAATAGTATAAGATCCTTGTATGAAGTATGATAGCTTGGTGACTCACAAAAGCTCTTTGTCTTAGAGTAGCCTCTGATAAAAAGGACACCTCAGCAGTCTACTGCATGATCTTTCCAAAGACATTGCACATCAAATTTTGCCAAGAGTGTTATTTTGGGTCATGAAGCGGTAAACTTCAGCCAATTTATTGAGAAGAAACAAATGAAATCAACATTGTTCCCTTTCCTTGAAACATCAGACTTACTATAGTGGGGAAGTATGGCGGTGGGATGCATTTGTTCAAGACATCGTCAAAGCTCAGATCCTTGAAGAAGGGATGTCTCTTGATCTCCTCAGCATCAGCTTTCCCAGATCCCAAACATTGGGTGGGATCCCGAGTCAACAACTGCAAAATCACCATCAGCAAGTACAACAAGTAGAGTGCAGGAACATTCAACCTTTTGCAAGATAGACACAGCATCTCTCAGCATGGCGATGATATAGAGGTTCATTGATGCATCCTCCAAGATGGCACCAAAAATGTCATCACCACGGAAAGATGATTGTCCAAACCACCAAATGCCCACCAATCTATGGTGCAGCCATATTGTTGTTCCAGGAGAATCTGCATCAACATCAGTTTGGTCCTCACAGCAAGGAGATGTAACAGGTACTTTTGAAGCCATAAACTCAGGAGTACCACAGAACGTGCTTGTGGTTGAGCCATACTACATATCCTTCTTGCACACCATAATCAAGCTTTAGATCACGGTAGATGATGCCATTTGTGTGGAAGTACTCCAAAGCAAGAAGAACCTCCAACATGTAAAACTTGGCTTGATGAAGTGAGAATTTTTGCGTTGGATGTGCAGCATGAGGTCACCTCCACTAACATACTCTATGACAAAGTACACATGTGTCTCAACGCTATGGCATTAAGCTATGATAAGAGAGAAGATCCGACCAAGCGATACCATGTGATTACTTGGACCAAACTTGGACCAGTATTTAAATTGATGTCATGCGGCCGTATTGTGCGCACGCTTACTTTCTAGCTTTGTTATTCGCTTTCACCAACATGTTCCGCGTCGCATCACGAGCACTCCGAGCTACCAAGCATCGTCCAATGAGACTGGTCGAGCCAGCTAGGTGCGTGGTCTTCAAGTTGCAGGGGTCGTACAAGTTGCTGCAATCCCTTACCCAGAACATTCTTTGTGTCTGCAATACGGACAGAAGGACTCCGACTCAACTCGCTGGACACATTCACGGAGGAGGAGAACATGTTTCGTGATTCAGGTATGTTGATCTTTGTATCTACTTGCGTTCACGACACCGATCACATATGTTTAGTGAAGCGCTTCGCGGTAGACGTAGTTGGCCCCAAGGTCCGCGAAATGGACGAGAAAGAATCTATGGACCCAACTATCATTCAGGGTCTCTTTGAGCAAGGGGTCGGCATCCAAACACGTCTCTTTCTAAACCATGCTAACACCACTCTGCAGCTCATGGGCATAGAGACAAGCGTCGAGCACGGAGGTGCAGAGGCCTCCTTTGTATCCGCAATTATTGCAATCGAGGAGCTTGCAAAGATAGACCCCTCCGTATCTGTCATGTGTGACGTGCATAACACCCTGGTGAACACTATTCTGCGCACGTACGGCACGAAGGAGCAGCAAGACAAGTGGTTGCCTTTGCTGTCGGAGTCAAAGGTGAGTTGAACACGAACTTTCCTGCATGTGCGCTCATGTGTGCACATAGCTTGGTTCATTCTGCTTGTCCGAGCCTGCGTCAGGTTCAGATGCTTTCGCGTTGCAGACAAGGGCAAAGAAGGACGGAGACCATTGGGTGATTAACGGGTCCAAAATGTGGATCACCAATTCGCATGAGGCTGAAATCTTCCTCATCTTTGCCAATGTGAATTCTACTTGTTCTCGCTTTTACGTTATTGGCTGAAAGAGCCCCTAGGTCGATCCAAGCAAGGGCTACAAGGGTATTACTTGCTTTATTGCAACGAAAGAGATGGGCGTGCAAATAGCCAAGAAGGAAGAGAAACTTGGCATTAGAGCGTCATCGACATGCACACTTAATTTTGACGATCTCCGAGTACCAGCGGAGAACATCATAGGCGGTGAGGGCAAGGGCTACAAGGTCAGTAGTTTGATTCAGGTGAAGAAATTGCTAAGTTTTCCTATCACAGCTTGCTATCCAAATTCTGAACGAGGGTGGGCAATATTCATTGTCAACGCTATGAAAGCTCACTTCTGCAGGTCGCATCGGTATCGCTGCCCAAATGTTGGGCCTCGCTCAAGGCGCATTTGACAAAGCCGTTCCTTATACCTACCAACGGACTCAGTTTGGTCAGCCAATTGGAACCTTCCAGGGCATGCAGTTCCAAATTGCAAAGGCTGCAGTTGAGCTCGAAACTGCACGTCTGCTTACATATAATGCAGCACGACGGAAGGAGGAAGGTCGAAGCTTTACGAAGGAGGCGGCAATGGCCAAGTACTGGGCTAGTCAGGTGGCTCAAAATGTGAGTGGGTCAGCTATCGAGTGGTGTGGAGGTGTCGGGTTCACAAGGGAGACGGGGATTGAGAAATTCTGGAGAGACTCGAAGATCGTGAGTGGCGCTCTGACTGAATGGATTATATTATTCAGCTGGTATTCATTACAGGGTGCAATCTACGAGGGGACGTCAAATATCCAATTGCAAACGATCGCAAAGTTCATCCAACAAGAGTACTCTCGATGACCAACAGATTCGCGCTTGAGTTGTATCAATGGACAATATTGTTATATAGTTCGTCACGTTTGCATGAAGAGCAGCATTCCCTCAAATACAGCCCAGCCAATTGCCGAGCTGAGGATTTTTCTAGACATGCGGAGAGATGCGCCATCGAAAAAACCGGCTGCACCACGTTGCTGTGAATTGAGTGATGAGAATATAACTCAAACATGAAACAAGCGGGACCAGCCTTGAAAATTCTAATGACAGTTGTAGTGAAGCCACGGTATTTGTCTTCTGAACGAACTTGCATTTTCGTCTGAGTAGGCCATCAGATATTCTAGAAGGTGAGACAGCCTGAAGAAATGACCTTTATAACGTCAAATGGGTGTGTCGCCATCGTGGCGACGGCACCTGCAGATGCTGCTGAGAAGCTATGTATGCCTACTGCATATGCTGTTGGGATGAAGTACGCTGGAACACATGAGTTAGATTCTTGCATCACCAGGAACGATCTCACTTGTCTCGCGTTTAATACTCTCATATATGACGACAAATAGACCGGCATATGGTGCATCCCGCAGCGACGACGCAACAAATCCGCGCATAAGTTCAGACGGTCCCATACGGGCGATAGAAAGAAGCGAGCCGGATAAACTACGGTATGCATGCAACTCACTCTGCGTAACGCTAGGATATTAAAATCAAAGTGGTTTACGCGACCGCACGAACCTCAAAACGCGCTTTCAAGATAGAAAATGGGTTGAGGATCAATCCGACTCCGACTCGAGTGGTCGCGCCTGCTATGAGGTTGCCCTGACTAGACAGTTTCGGAAGGACGGTTTTAGAGCTGTCGCGGCTGTGCTGCTGGTGTGAGGCAAAATAGGGCGACTTTGCCATGATAGAACGTAGATAAGTCAGGCTCGTAAAGTAGAGGGCCACTCCTGGAACATTGCTGGTATAGAAAAAGTCATCGACGAGAGAGATGCAAAATATAGTGGAACGCACCGAACCAACGTGGCACTTGTACCCGTCCATAACCCTTTTATGCCCTCGTTCCGAATAATATCCTTAGTCGTACGCCATATAATAGTTGCATTGCTTCAGAGACATGAGTTGTTGAGCAATACAATTGTACATGAAGCCTACCCGGCATTCAAAGCAGAATCTCCTTGTTGAATCCTAGTCTTCAGGAGGTCGACTGTGTACCAAGTTAGATTTAATTGGATACTAAGAGCTTCCCCAAGGTGCTCACGAGGCTGTAACAAGATCGCTCCCCCAAACCCAGAGAGGGCACCTGAAAAGCCAGAAGATGTCAAGTCGTGCAATGAGAGGCCCATCAGTTTGTCTGACCTGAGAGCAAATGCTGACCGACTGCAGCATTTTTCATAAATGGAGTGAATGAATGTGTCGATATAAAGAGGATGGCAGTGATATGGGTACGTCCCCGCTGTTTGATCAAGACCGCCTATACTTGCTGAATCTTAATATTTATGTAATCCAAACCCTGAAGGCCGTCCTCATCGATGCACCCATAGACCATGATGGGATGACAAAACTCGAGATAAAAATGACTCTAAGAGAGAGCGACGTTTTTCTAATATTGCGACGCATTATTATAATTTTGTGGATTAATGCTCCTCGATATTCATGTCTCGTCTCTTTGCTTCCCTTCGCGCTGCGGATGTCCGTAATAACCATGCAAGGTTCTCGTATACAACAAAAGTGACGCAAGTTCCAGGAAGAACGCGCACGAGATTCGTCCCCATTCCACGATAAAACCCACGAATCCCTTCACCTTGCCAAGTGCGTTTGATGGTAGTCGGTATGTCAGGATATAAGCGAATTGTGGCATTGTTCTGAAACGAGGATGAAGATGTGACGGAGTAAACAAGAAAGGTCTCACTTGTATTCGAGAGCGGATAACCTGGTATGGATAGGTAAGCGCAAGCGCCCATATCTTGCTCGCACCTGACATAAGCGTATACGATACATTCGACTATAAGCAATATCTTTAAATACGAGACAAAGAAAAGAGAGCGATAGACTCACGAGCTTGTCGTCCTCCGGCCCCATCACCTTTCCGGCCTTTACAAACTGTATTCGTTTTCGTTCGAAACCCCATCGTTTCATCTCTTCGTATGCCATGAACTGCACCGCGCCGTTGCTCACACCGACCAAAGCCAAACTAGTCCCTTTCCACAAGCCAGAGAACCCCTCTTGCCTCCAGATTGAAGCAATACCGTCTGACGACACGGTATATTCAATAAACAAAAAATCAAGATGAAAATACGTGCGTACCTGAGAGGCTAAGATATGATGTCGGTGAATCGGCACGCGTCGTGAACATGCGCACTTTTACGACCCATATGGGGTTGGTTAGTATAGCTGTGACCGCGCCTAATACAATACAGTTTGAGATACTATCATAGAAAGAAAAGGGAATCGATGGGCGAACTCGCTTGAGCGGAGCAGAGCAGGTATGCTCCAGGGGACATCCTATGATCCGGGTCGTCTCCGTATGACCGCTTCTTCAGCATGTCGTAACTGAAGTATATCAGTGCCTTGCAAAGAAATTTTGAAACTGATAAAACGTTACTCACAAAAGAAAATAGAGTCCCCAACTCGATGCGTTCCCTGCAATATTTGGTCCTACGCCTCGGTACAACCCTTTCCAACCTTCAGTTGCATGTATTTTGTGCAGAGCGTTCCATATGGCGGTTCCGACTCCACCCTGTGGGTTAGTGGTGGCTACCTGTAGCTTGACCTTCAAAAGGTCAAGAGGGTGCATGCATAAGACGGCGACAACGCCCGCTCCGAGGCCCGCTGCTGCATGGTCCTACGACGTTTAATTGGAGACAAAGATACAGTCAAAGATTAAACCTACTATGGCAGTCGTTGGAAAGAAACTTGGTGGAGGTAGAGACATGCAACTGCAAGAGGCGTGCCGATCAGAAAGAGCAAATGGACAGTCGTCCGTCACCGACTCCGGCAGGTCCGAGTCTGGGGGTGTCCAAAAATGAGAACGTCCGGGAAATGGCCGACTCTACTCTACGTACATAGACTCTGGACCCAAAGTCTTGGCCGGTCTGGGGCTTCGGCAGCTGACTTCAGGCGGAGTTCAAACATTCCTCGATGATAAAGTGTCACGCTGACACCGCCCTCTCCCGCCGCTTGCCTGCTGCCGCGCCCTCCTGCCCGTCCAAACAGCGCTGACAGGGAATCGGGCGGGCGGGCGGTTGCGCAGGTATTAGCCTTAGGAAAAGAAGGCAATTAAGAAGGGCAGATGGGCGGGAAATGGACAACAATGGCTATGGCGGGCCGGTGGGAAAGCATAATAGCATTTGCATTGGCAGGAAGGTTATTCGCGGTGGCGGGCAGCGGCGGACACCCACAAATAATGCGCACTCCGTTCTGTTGAGCACGAAAAGAAGGAGGAATCTGATTGTACTTAGGCTAGCCCTAATGTGCATAAAGGAACATGCTTTGACGAGTACAACAATACCGTACCCTAGGCCTCAACGATCATATAAAAAAAACTGCGTGAAAAGCCTAAATAAAGAAACAGACGAACACGACATGGCATTGAAAATCATGGAAAAGTAGAAACCTATGATGTCGTCAAAGGGTCGTATCAAATCACTCCGTGAGTCGATCATGCAGCAGCACTCTCGCGTGCCTCACCATTCGCGCGAGGCGTGCCACGGGTAAGCCCAGCTGCGGCAAAATTCCGTGCAGCAAATCCACGCCCACGTCCTCTAGGACCACCACGGACCCCTCTATCACCGCGCTCTTCACGATCTGTCGCTATCTGCACGCTAACCGTACCCTCGCCCATTTTCTAGACCGAAAATATAAGTCACTGAAAAGGACGACATTCGGGTGCCTTACCTCGTCATTCTTGTCCAATCCTGCCTTCATGGTCTCTTCATCACCGAACTCTACATAAGCAAGGGGTCTGGCACGGAGATGCGGGGATCCCTTGATCGGAAGGAATGTCACTTTCGTCACTCCCGCTGTCTCACCGCCAAAGAATGACCTGACGTCTGCTTCCGTCGACTGTTGAGGGAGTTTAACAAATAAAGTCCAAGGATGTCTCGATGACCGCTTGCTTGTCGGTGTCCTCGCGCCGGTACTGTCCGTTGTTGGCGACTTCATCCCTTCACGTACATCAGCGATGGGCGCTTCGGGTGTTGCTTTGCCTGATTGCTCTAGTGCAGACACCGGAATTGGAGTTGGAGCAGACGCAGAAGTCGGAGCTGGAGCAGGTGCGTTCAAAGCAGGATCAGCCTTCTCTTCGGATGTAGAAGCCTCCTTCTCTTTCGCTTCCATACGTTCACGGTCCTTGCGTTCTTTTTTTTCTTTCTCTTTCTCTTTCCGTTTCTGCTTCTCTTTTTCGGCCTTGTCTAATGGCGGTGCAGGAGTTCCACTCCCGTTAGATTTGGGAGCAGGAGTGGATGGAGATGACTCTTTTGGTGTCTCTTTGCCAGATGCTACAGGGATCAGAGGAGACCTGACCTCTTTTGGATGCGGCGAGAGAGGTTTTTCAGCCTGAACGGGCGTTGAACCCTTGGTGGGTGGGTTTGAAGTAGCATTCGGTAGTGAGGACGTCGTTGAATTGGGTGTTGGAACAACATTACTTGGCGTTGCAGTGCGACGGTACGCATAATTGAACCCTATAAACGTTTAGTAAAAAAGCCACCAACTAAGTGTTAACGGCTTACCCTGGCTCTTCAACTCGGCACTGATCCTGCCATCCTTGACATCCAACACAAGTGAACCAAATGCAGCGTCACACAGGTTCCAATTCCAACAGTTCTTCCAAGAGGGCTCTTCCGGACCCTGCGCGTTTGGTACCCTCTCAATGACACTCAGGGCCTTGTCAAGCAGGACCCGCTGATGCTCATCGATGACGGTGTCTACCTGCTGCTTCACACTGTCCCAAACTTTATCAAAGGCTTCCTTTCCAGCAATGAGCTTGTGACGGAAGCCTTCTAAGTCGCTTTGCACGCTGAACTCATTATAACTGGAGGCATAACGGAAGTGAAGCCCCGCGCTGATAGAGAGATCAGCCTTGAGAACGAGTGCAAGTTGAGCCATTATGCCTTCGCGTCCGGGGCTTGCGTGGGTGACAAGGAGACGCGTCTCGGTGGGATCGAAGACACGCTGAGCAGTATCAACGAGCTCACCAATCTGGAGTGCGGTTGTCCACATGGTACCCTGACCACCAGCGATTGTTGCGCTGCCATCACCATTATCAAACATTTTGTGGGGAACGAGTGCGCCACCCAAACCAAGAAGCCTCAGCTTGACGCCTCCGACATCAAGACAATAAGTGGTTGCCTCATCGAGGACGTGAAGGTTGTCGATGTTGTAAATGCCAGCACGGAATTTCTCGAGAATGACGACGTCCTCGCAAGCACCCCAAACAGTATATACAGGGACAGAAAGCTTGAGTTGACCTGAGAGAAGGAGAGGGAATTCAGAAAGAAGGGAAATATCGACGGTGGCGCGGATTGCTTGGGAGGTGTTGTCAGGTGCGAGGAAGTGGGTACGCTGCGTGGATGGTATTAGTGGCGAATACATGGTCAGATGACGCAGTGTGCGGTCATTTATACGGTCCAGACTGTTACTTTCTACATATAATAAACGCGTCAAGCACGAAAAAAAACGATGATTGTGGTAGACGCCCATGCTCACCGAAAAAACCGAAGTCACCAGTATGAATGATAGCTTTGGCATTAGCCTCGCGCGCGAGATCGTTTAGGCCAGAAAGTCGACCACGGATGTCTGCGATGCAGAGGATGCGACCGTGTGTAGTGTCTAGAACTTTTGTGTGGGTATTCACTTGAGGTCTAGAGTTTGGTGATACTGTAGGACGTGTCGAGGAAGATGCTGGGCGAGATGACGAGTTCATTTTGGAAGCTATGGGGACGGCGAGGAAGATGGCGAGGAAGACGCTCAACACAATGACAAGGTCACTGAACGAAGAAGGGTTTCAAAGGTAGTAGTCGACGATTACATAAGCTAATAACACCACGAACACTGGTCTTACCAGTGTTCGTCAACGTTCTCCACGTTGTCGACGGACGGCAATGATAGTGTTTGCATCAGAAGCTGCTGTTAACCTGGGCTCGTGGTCATCGTCGCTGTGGCCGTTATGAGATATTATATCGTAGATCTCAAAAAGCACGAACAATAACTTCGATACTTGTCGTCCATACAATCATCATCGTTGTAGACAGCGACGACGCAATAGAATCGAGTGTAATGTGAATCAGTTTTGTAGTGATTCACTTTGAGAATTTTTGGTTTAGTGAGTCCGTTGAAGTTTGTAGTTGGCACCACGGATCAGAGAACCATGCAGACCGCGTAACCCATTGCTGTCCATCACTCTCGACGACTTGTAACTTGCTCCTTGACGTCATTGACGCCAATGAGCCTATATGGCCCACAGACCTGACACAACAGCGCCTTTACCAAGTGCCTTTACCCAAATTTCTGCGACGCTCACCACATTGGACAAGCTACTCTCATCCGTGCTCCCACTTCCCGCGAATCCATGCATTCTCTACGCGACATACTCACTGTCTGGAACAGCACCTCACTACGATGTGCTAGAGTCTGCACGGAGACAACTTGTTTCACGAAATCAGGCTTCTACCTTTCAAGACTCAATCCTTCCCTATGTTCACATCGATCGGGATGTGTCTACCTTTCATGCGTTCATTGTGGCATCCGATGAAGAAGTCGACAGCTCTCTGTCTGTTCTGAAACAGCTCAGATTCGATGATCTGATAAGTGAGTCTACGTACGGTTGTCGTGCGCTGTCACTAACCCTACACTCACTCCGCCCACTTACTGCGGCAGTATCAGAAACTTCGTCATTCACACCGCATGAGCTTTATCCATGCAGTCTGGCATGTGCAGACAGTCGTACCCCATGCGCATCGTGTACCGATTCTCCATTCATATCTACTGCCCGCCTCCTTCCAAGGAAGCCACTCCGACAAATATACGCTCGATTTATTGATGCTGTCCGGACACGTCTCATAGACTCCGTTGTTAATGCATCATTGACTTCCGCTCTTCGCTTCCGTAATGGCTTCCTGCTCGTATCCAATGCAATATCCAACGAGTGGGGCGCAGACTGGGAGCATCATGCGCAATTGCGGTATGAATCTTGTCCCTACCGCCCATTATTTCTGATACTGACATAATTCTTGTCCAGCCCGCTCGTCCACTGCCACCTGGATCTCCACCTCGCGTCCAATCGACTTGAGGTTCACTCCCTCTTTCGGCCCCTCCCACACGTCCCCCTTCCTGCACTCCTCCCCCTCCCACCTGGTACACCACTCATCCTTCTTCCTGCTGGCGTCCCTGCCTTCCTCCTCGCCAATTACTCAGGTCCTACTGCCTCCCTTGCCATCCAATTTACTCGATCTCTTGCACCGCACCCCCTCCCGCGCCCCAAAGACCCTCAATATATCATCGCATGGCTTGCAGTGCAAAATAAGCAGGGCGAAGACAAGGGCACACCAATAATCTGGCCCACAGCCCTATGTCTGGTTTCAAATTCCTCATCACGCAAGCCACTGTCACATATTCCAGAACTACCTGCGCAGCTTCAGCCTTCCCCGCCTCCACCACCTCCACCATCAATCAATGTCGGGACACCCCGTGTAGACACGCCGAGCACACCGTTAAGGGTATTAACGAATCACCCTTTAACACGTCGCCCTGCCACGGCTTCTCCATCTCCCCTCAGGGCTCTCCGCACGTTAACCCTCTCACACACTACCAGCCTGCAGAATGTCGCATCAGAGATAGGCGGTTATGTCGAGTCTGTCGTGCGTGAGCGAGACCGGGAACGGGAACGAATTCGCAGGGAGCGCGAAGCGATGGCATCAGTATCTGCCTCGCCGCAGGTCACACCGGCTGCAGCTGTAGTCTCTACTGTCCCCACCCCAGCACCTGACACAAATCTTCCACTGCATCCACCCCCTCCCGTACCTACTGAACAATCACATATCCATCCGAGTGTTTTTTATCCTTCCCCTGTAACTGCAATTGATCCCCCTGCTCCTCCCGGGCCCCCCTCTGGGTCTGAACCCCCAACACCGTTGCCGCAGACAAACCTTGTACCTGTCCCCACTTCATTTGACCCGTTCAACACGATGGACTCCACCTGGTCACAACCCGCATCTGACTTTATGGACTATGATATGGATCCTGCTGGTCAGCGTCGTCTCGATGTAGACTTTGCAGACTACGATACTTTCACGTTCACTGACGATGACTTCAGTTTCTTTGATCGTCCCTCGCGCCCATCGGATTCTGCGCCCGCACCACTTGCACTCTCACCAAGCATATTTGGTGTTGCAGATGTTGGTGTGTCCTTTACCCATGGAGTAGGCACTCAGCTCTCTCCAGATGTTCCAACGTTCACTCCAGCACCCGCACCCGCTCTCCCCTCTCCGACTGCCTCACACTCAGCGCCTTCCACACCTCATGTGAAGGTCACGCACCCGCCCTCCCAATTCGCTCGTACCTTCGACCCCATCGCTTTCGCTCCCTCTCACAGTCTTGCGGATGCCAAGTACTCCTCCGCTGGAAAGTTTGCTCTCCCCAGTCCGCCAGATGAAGAGGACCGCACCTCACCCTTGCCTACCTTGCATTCACAGAACCACAGTACAGCTTCCGCAGCTGATCTGCGTGCGCGGTACAGCGTCGCAACAGACCCGCGCGTCAGCGTCGTACGTCAACTTATCGGCGTCAAGCGCAAGTCCAAGTCACTTGATCATGGGAGAGCGCGATGCCGGCAATTCCTCCTGTCCTCGTATGATGACAGCGTCGTCCACGAAGAAATAATTCCTTCCCTAGAGGACGACGAAAAGTCTGAGGCTGTTTCTGAAGACGACGCAGATATGGACGACGAGCGTGAGCGCTCAACCACCCCACCTCCATCATACCTCCCTTTAGGTCCCATGCTCCTTCACACACAGTTCCACCACGCGCTTCTCCTTCCACTCTGCCAACCTCTTCGCCCGCCAGGATCGGCAGTTGCGCCCATGAGCCTGGTGCTTCCACCACCTGTGGCTGCCCACACACCAGTCTCTCCCGCTGCATCGTTGGAGAAAATTAACCAGGAGGTGGCAGCGGCAGGCGCAGTACTTGCGCGGGAGGTCGTTGAAAATTCTGTTTGGGCCCGCGCTTGGGGTTGCCGATATACTACAGAGGGTGAACAGGTTTGGCCCAGTGACATTCAAGAACTGGCGGACATTCTGAAGCGTGTGGATGTCCTTGACGGACCAGTAGAACTAATGACCATGTTTTCATCCGGTAAGTTTCTAATGATTATATCACATTTGTCGCTTAATCATGCCAATACAGATGGTGTACCCGGCGGGGAAAAGGTTCACCTTCAAAGACTAGACCCACCCATGTTTTCAGTGGGCAAGTCGGGTTGTGTCGTGCAAGTATTACCATCAGCATTGCGCTTCTGGCAGAAGCTGGGCCTCACGCCTCACGGTGGTAAAAGGGATGTGGTCGCCTTTGTGTTTCTCGAAGAAGGCGGCCTGGAAAAGCAGCATCAAGCTGAAGCCTGGCTGAACAAGATGTCTGCGGAATACAGTGTGAGTCCACTATTGATGATCTTCGTCTCGTTTTCAAGTAATCAATTTTACCTTTGACAGGCCAAGCAGCTTGGTTCTTTCACTCCTGGGAGCAGCACGATGTGCTCAGCGGACGGAGTCATGCCTCTGAGGCTAGAGAATTTGAGAAAGTCCATAAGTATGTTCTCTCGTGATCATTAATACGCTCAAAATATAACGCTCAAAACAGGGTCCTTTCTGCAGTGCTTGGAGTCAAGCAATGACCTTGTCTTCTATATAGCCATCCCTGACCTAGCGATTGGGCTTTCCTCACCCCTCCTGCGCGAAATCTTCAGTTTTGTTCAGCAGACCCAAGCCAAGCGCTCTGAGGCTCCTATTCTCTTTCAGTTTGTCCCCGAGCACCTGATTTCCTCCTCGGAGAGCCCTTCCAGTGAAAGCTCGGAGATCGATGCCCTCTGTTACGCCACCTACCGACGCATGCTCAAACCCGTCGAGCGCTCCATGTCTAGAAGATTTTCTGACAAGAGCGAAACAGTTGCATATTTCCAGGAGCAGCCCTTTGTTCTGGCCCGCCCCTCGAGTACTGTCCACTTCGCACAAACAACTCCAGCTCGGTCCCTTGACGTCATGGATCGGCACACATTCCTTCACGTTGGCTACCGATTTTCCGCCTGCGGAAAATGGTTATTTGCTGCGTGTGTTGACCAGCGTGGGGAAACTTATGATCTCGGGACGTGGCTGATACAGGACGAAATAGAGACATCGGCAGTGGTGCAAGTCTGGAATTTTGCGTTGCAATTCGCGAAGAGAGCTAATGTTGAGTGGCGGATTGTCATTGCGAAACTAGGGTCCATGACTGTCAGCGAATTGGAAGGTTGGTGCTACCGAATGACTCTTATATTGCCTTTATTTATTGTTCTGTAGGATGGAACGTTCACCTGGCCGCTGCCGTCCCCTTGTGTAACGATTTGCCCCCTTTTCATGTCAGCTTGCTTTCCGTTGAGCAAAATTTGTGCTGGCCTATCCTATCACACCTTAATGAAACTTCCGGCTTGGCGGCATCCAGACGGGCACCTGCGAAGGATTCCAAATCTATTTACGTGGACACTGCTGCCCCTGCCTACACCATATATCCTTCTACACGTATTCCTCTTGCCTCGCGCTCTTGTCAGGGACAGGTAGATTTGACATTCATCCCAGACAACGACGGCACTACCTCTGATACATCAACCATCCTCCCAATATCTACATCCATCCTCATTCGGTCTCCGTCCACACGCACGGCTTCCACCCAATCATCCATCTACATACACCATCTACATGCACTTCATACTCCTGGTTCTTCCCTCTCAATTTCAGATGATACCATGCGCAAGGATATCACACTCAATTTTTATGAATTGTCTGTTCTTGCAAGCGCGATGTTAGGCTTCCAAGAATACCCTTTACTGCCTTTTCATCTTGCTGCACTCGAAGCCATGCATCATTCTCTCAGACAGGAAGATATCAGCTGAGGCTTTGCCTCACAGTCCCTCACTTGTCTTTTTTGATTTTTTTACAAGTAGATTTGTCGCTATCTTGCTTTTTGGTAACTACCCTACAGCTGTTACATGTACCACATTATTTTGGTGGTAGCCGGGGGCATACCCTGTGTATCCTTACTGCTTACGTTCCCTCTTGCTTGCCTGACCATGTTTATTACTATGAGGTAAAAACTCGATAAACACAAATGTACAAATTCTGTGGAATCTACTGGGTCTTCTTTTCCTGAGCATGGTACCCCTTCGGTGCTTCCAAGCGCACAGATGACTGGAGGCTGGCGAGAGCTGAAACAGCCATCATGATAATGGGTACAATGATGAAGAAAACGACGAGTAAGGCGACAAGAAGGGGTGTTGAGAATAGTTGGTATCTCTTGAAGATACCACCGTCAGAAAGAGTCGAGTTGTCAGGAGGAGCGTATGTTGAGTCAAATTCGGAAGGGGGAAGTAACTGACGGCGGTAGCCCGGGTGTTCAAGTGGTGACCCAACGTACAAAACCAAGTGGCTCGTGAACGCTGCATCGATCTTCTCGATTTCGCTAGAGAGGTATTGATCTAGTGCATGATGTGTAAAGTTGATACACCTCAATTTGGTATGAGCTCACCATGACCCAACATAGCCACCTTGCGGAGTTTTGGGCTACCCTCTATTGCTGGCATATTGACGCATACGACGTGCTTGGAGTTCTCAGCAAGGTCTAAAGGACCATCTGCTGGACTAGCATTGGTCAAAGTCGAGCCGCAGCGCCTTGCCAGAGACTCTGTGATGTCCTGGAGGGAAGCAGAGGCACTACGCTTCACGTGAGGATACTGTCTTGATGATGGCGCAGTGTTTAAAATGGCAGAGAGTCCGGAAGAAGTGGGTAATGCACGAAGGTCAGAACTGCGGAGCTGCAGAATAATGTCAGTATCATAGCCAACTGGAAAGCTAGTACATACACCTGGCTGGTTTATCACCAGAACAGTATCGAAGGAGCAGGCACCTTCTGGCGAGAGAACACCATCAATTATGCTCACAGAATCTTCATAACGTAGATCTGGAGATAAACCGTTTAACACGGACGAGCTGTGCCGAAGTGAGTCCAGTTGGCAGTGACCGACTTATTGATACAGTTGACAAACCTTTTAGATGACCATGCTACGATTGGAACTGTGTCCGCGTACCCCAGCACACCGACCACAGGGAGCAAAGCCAAGATAGCAGCACGTCCAGCCATGAAGAAGTTACTAGTTATGATGTAGCCTGAGGACGCGCGCTGCAGCTCGAAACTTGAATTACATAAGCCAGGCCGGGGTGAAACTCAGTTTACCACACTAGTACTTAGTAGCAAGGCAACTGAGTCATGGCTAGTATTCCTCCTCAGGCAAGGTCCAAACAGCTCCGAGCATGCTTACTATGTTCTATCATTCAACATCCTATGGATTTTCGGAAGAACGGTTGTCCAAATTGCGAAGAGCTCATGCAGGTATGCCGAGATCATCGTAAATTCTCTCTGCTTTCGCTCATGTCTTGTCAGATGAAAGGCTCTCCTGACCGCATAAGTGTTTGCACCACCACCTACTTCGATGGTATCATCGCTGTCATTGACACTGAAGCTAGTTGGGTTGCACGATGGCAAAGGACATGTAAGTTTACCTTAGTGTAAGCTTACTAGATATATGCTGATTTCTGGTTGCAATTTGTTCTACAGCAAAGTATGTTCGGGGAATGTATGCTGTCCGCGTGAAAGGTCGTATTCCAGAAGACGTAGAAGCTGAACTTGAGTCCCGTGGCATCAAGTACCGTCCAAGAGACCAGAGCGATCAAGATTAGCATGTTCTTATAGTGTGTTGCATTTCATGTTGCAGTTCAGTTTTGTCAAAATTTACACTAGCTTCCTTAGTAGCAGAATTAATAGCTAGCATAGATCTTTGTTATACGTCGCATTGTTTACTCGCTATGGCCCATAGTTGCCGGAGCAGCGCCTGAGGCCTGAGTACTGAGTCGGGAGCCCGTCATGATAGCACATGACTGTTTGCCAAATTGCTGCAGAGACTTATCGCTAGCGCTTACAATGCGATAGTCTATGTAAATAAACTCTGTACGGTATCGCGGGTCCAGCAGTCATGAAGTATTGACATGGTACTTGGATCGAATCAGAACAAGAAGGTATTAATCCATGGCTTTCAACACGGTGGCCGATGTACATGGATGCACAGGAATACACTTGTAACAATATCATAATAACAGTCGACCAAAACTTATAATGCAGTGTAATGGATATATGGGTGATCAACAATAGTATGTCCTTAGCAAGCTCTTGGTATTAAAGCAGTTCATGAAGGACCTGGTCATATCGATGGGGCATATGTGACCTAGAAAAGGGCGTCAACGTGTAATCTAGCGTCACGGGTCAAAACGCACCGAAGCATATTTCTTGAGAAAATTATTTGAGAAAATACTTTCTCAACGTCCAAGACCTCGAACAGTCTCAATGTTTTATCGGGATGCGTATTAGGCTGCTTGGACTGATGCGAAGGGTGTAGGTCACAGTCCCTAACAGTCCATAAGACGCGACCAGGTGGGAATAGATCAGCCATTTGCATATTTGCCTCGAGAGTTTTTCGCATCGACAAAAACTGTGTCACGTGTCAATCCGACCAAAATTTGTTGAGCTGTAGAACTTACCCAATGAAGGTCATCCGATGACCCATCTCCAGCTTTCCATCGCCTGATTCTATTGGTGATGACCGAATATCCTTCCGTACCACTATTCCGCTCATTTGCATCACACAGCCAGAGGGCTGCATTACGAATGTCCCGGACAGAACCGAGCGACAGTCGGGACACAATGTCATCGGAGCATACAAACGATGTGACCATTTTCGATGCCAATCGGCTAAGCCCAGCATCTGTCAGACAACTAGGGGGATTCAGAAAATGTTCCAGTCGGATAAAATACATAACGTACGGAGGTCCTATACAATATACGGATACGCTGTGGTCCGTTGGCAGGCCACTTGAAGGCACTGTCAAGCAAGTTGCAGGGTCTGCCCACATCTGAATGAAACATGTCAATATACAGCAATCACAGTTTCGTCAATTTCACCATAGCCAAGAGGACCGCAACACCTGCTCCTAAACTATGCCCGCAAAGTATGAGTTCTGGTTTACAATCAGTTTTAACGAAGGTTATTGTAACAATCTCAATCACCGTATCCAGGATTGCGAGTCAATGCATCCATGACGGCGACATGGACTGGTTTGCCAATCTCGCCCATCACGCGGGCCATACGAAGCATCCCTCCGTGAACTTGGTATTTGGGCTGCTTCTCATGAGAAGTCGTCGAAAGAATAGATAAACGCCTGCGAGGGATCCTTCTACTTGGCCCAGGGAGCAATATGCTGTCTCCAGCGTCTTCCTGAGACGCGCTCGATGCAGGTTCAAATTCTACCGGATCGCATGTCAAATCAACAGCAAGCTCGTTGAGTGACATTGTGCCTGTAAAGCCATGTTTAGCCCAAGACGAACAGCTTCGCTCCAAATAAAGCCACCTCGTAAAACAAGTACAACCTCGTGTCTATCGTGGTCGGTCAAAACCCAGAACCTAGGCATCTGGCGCTCTATCCCAACAACAGCCGTTGCGCGAGCCCTCGCCTGTATATCTGGCTGCTCTACTGTCTCCTCGTGCACCGACCTTTCAAAAATTTCCTTGTCATGCTTGCCCATCAATATGTCCCACCAAGAGTACTCCAGATTATCAGAAGGCATTCTGGAGTTTCCTTTCAACTCATCTTCCGCTGCATTCACAGCGTCCTCGAGCTGCGCCTCTTCTGCGTCCTTTTCATTACGCGGGGACGGTGGGTTTGAATTGCGGGACGGCGATGTCAGAAGCAGAGGAACTCCGAAGAAGAGTAGACTTGCGCCACCATAGCCGGCAAGAACCATCTTGGAAAATCGTCGTAAGTTAGTCTTTAGCTCAACTATAGACTTTTGCGGGACATCTATGCGCGGTTGGGCCCATCTAAAAGATATGGACGATATTGACAATCTCGACAGGACACTCGGAGACCTGGAACGGGTATGAGACTGCGTGGATGCTTCTCCAATGTCCGCAGATATTAGTTGTCCTCGATGCCCCGGGAATATCACGTCAGACGTTACTCGAACTCGTGAAGGTGTATGTTTAAGTTGAGGGGCGGTGGACGGGTCATGAAACTGAATCTCGCGAAGGTATGGGAACCAACTCTGCTCTTGCCACTCGTGAGTGATGCCCTGCAGAGACACCCATGCAACCAAAGCTCTAGCGACCTCTGTTATTCCGTACTTTCTCCCTGGGATATGCTCGTGTGAGCCAGGATGATCCCATTCACGCTTTACCAGATCGATGAACGATGCCAAAGAGAAAGAGGCTTCGCTGCTGCCAGGGAAGATGACGGAGAGCATATCGATGGAGCTATACGCTGCTCGTAGGGAAGCTGATGAAATATACTCCCCGACATAGATGGGAGCAAGAGTAAGTCTTTCGGCGAAGGTGATAGCGCTCACGACCGCGCCTTCTAGGACCGGCGCAGCGATCTCGCTCCCACCGAATATTGCGTGATCGAGGGCGGAAGCAACTACACCCACGACACTGGACGCTGCATCTCGAGCAACCGAGAACTACAGAGTAACCTGAGCTCTGCACCGGAATTTTGGCATTATTCGGCTTACCCCCAGTCGTGTTGTACCCTTGACAGCGGTGAATGCAAGAGAAGTCGCTGCTGAAGTGAGGTCAAGACTTTGCCTACCAAACCTCTGCCAGTCATAGTCCATGATTAAAAGTAAGAACGAAGGGTATCTGTGAGCTGGGCAAGTCCATGCCTCAGCTGCTCAGGTGAAGAATAACAACAGTTCCAGATCAAAGGAAAGCCAATACAAAGCCTGTGATTATGTCGACACAAAAGATCCCAAATTGGACTCAGTAGTGACTAAAATGGCATTAATCGGGTGACCGCAGACGTGGCAGAAAAAGGAAACAGCTGACAAATTAAAAACAAATATAAACAATTCAGACCGGTATGAACTCGGCCCTGTGTGAACGTCATCACCGACATAAAAAATCGTTATACCAACTGGCAGTACCCGTTTCGGGTTCTGGGATTTAGCTTTCTTCATGTGCTCCAGCTTCCGCTCGTTGCTGCCAGCTCTCCGCGGAGTCACTGCTAGATGTCCTCCGTCACAAATCTGCACATCTTTGAGAACATATGCTACTGAAGCAGTACCAGGTTACGACCACAAGCCTTCACATTACGGTCAACCGCTCTTTCAGTCACACCCCCACCTACGTGAGCTTAAACCTTCTGGTTCACTTCCTACATCGTTATCAAAGCCAAGACAGTTAGGCCCAATGAACTCACACCTGGGATCCCGTCTGAAGAGTATGAGCGCCGTCGGAAAGAACTTATGGACAGCCTACCTAGCAATAGTGTGGTGGTTCTGATTGCTGCACCTGTTAAATACATGAGCGGAAGTATGTGAACGTTCTACTCTCCTTCTTCAACACTTTAAAACCCGTTTCAAGATATATTGTAGGACTTCACCAAGTCTGTGCTGATTGCTTGCCTGACATCATGGCTTCAAGTTACAAATACCGCCAAGGATCCGATTTCTGGTATCTCACTGGCTTTGAAGAACCCGATTCTGCTGTTGTCCTAGGTAAGTACGGAGTTGATATTTTTTTTTAGGCTTGGCCTTACCTTTTATCAGAGAAGAATGCGTCTTCTCGAGGATATAGAATGACACTGTTCTGCAATGGGAAAGACTCTGCGAAAGAGAAATGGGATGGTCCAAGGTAAATTTTGAGACTAAGACGGTGTCCTGAAACAATATCTTTTTCAGGACAGGCTTCGATGATGCTCTGAATGTCTTTAAAGCGGACGACGCGCTAACAATCAAGGCTTTTCCTGGTCAACTGCGATCCATGATTAGCCTCTACTCTAATGTTTATATTGACCTTCCCCAGTCTCCACGCAAAAATGCGCGTTCCACCAAGTCATTACTTCGGTACCTCTCGCCTTCTGTCAATCCTCGGTCGGAGTATGAGAGTGTCGTGGAGTCGTTGTCAAGCTCCCGGCGGAAACCTCTTGCTCCTCTCATTGCCCAATTAAGAGCATTCAAGAGTGTCTGCGAGCAACAAGTCATGAGAATGGCCGCTGACATTAGTGGTCACTCCCATGCGAAGGTCATTGGCTATTTTGACCATCATTTGTTATTCTGACGCGATAAATTTTCGTCTTCAAGACAATGCGCTTTACACGGCCCGGCGTCTCAGAAAGTGCACTGGCAGCTCATTTTGAATATTTGTGTAGTCTATCAGGTTCACAGCGCCTTGCATATGTCCCCGTTGTTGCATCTGGGTGAGTTATCAGCTTCTAATGTATGACATTGAGATCTTGAATATGTAGTGCAGGCCAAATGCACTCATCATACACTATACATCGAACAATCAAGTTGTACAAGATGGTGAAATGATTTTGATGGACGCTGGATGTGAATATAAGTGAGTGATGTCGTCGAGTTCTTTCTGGCGCACTAACATTTTTAAGCGGTTACGCGTCTGATATCAGTGGGTATTACTCATTCTTCTTCCAATATCATGTTACCCACATCTGGTTAAGCTCGCACATATCCAGCCAATGGATCCTTTACACCTCCGCAAAAGGAGCTATATAGTGCAGTACTGTCTGCGCAGAAGACTCTTGTGGGGCTATGCACGGAGGCAGAGGGATTGAGTCTTCATGACTTGCATCGAAAATCTTGCGACCTCCTCAGACAGGAACTGAAACAGATAGGCTTTACTCTCCATACAGGAGATCTGGAGAGAGTACTTTACCCTCATTTCCTCAGTCATCCAATTGGGATTGGTACGTGGGTTTTTACCGTTACTTTCAGGGGTCCTAATGCAGGGATTTTCTAGATTTACATGAATCATCATATTCAGACAGAGGAGAACTGTACGTACATCTCGTGTACGTTAGATATAGAGTTCACCATCTACACAAGATTGAAAGCTGGGATGGTAATCACTGTAGAGCCAGGCGCGTATTCTGTGCATTCTATTAACAATGACCACACTAACTCTGATCAACATTTCAGGGATATATGTCCCGCCTACTGCCCAGTTCCCAAAGCACTTCCATAACATTGGCATTCGGATAGAGGTTGGCTAGGATATCTGTATTCTCCGCAGTTTTACTGACATAACTTACAGGACGAAGTCCTTGTTGGCGAGAAACACCCCGTGGTTCTCAGTGTTAGTGCACCAAAGGAGGTTCGTCCTGATCTCTTCTCCTCGCCAGATGATCTAAATACGCACACATGTTTAGATTGCAGATGTAGAGGGTGCATGTCAGGGACTACTAGGACTGGAGCCAATTTGAGGCTGGAGAATCATATGTACATCTAGATCTCGTCCAACCTACGTGCCCCAAGATAACATCACTCATCCTCTGGATGATCGACTGTCTCATACGCCTTGAGTATCTGGTCCTTTCTAAGCCACTTTTCTTCAGGAGTGAAGTACCAGCTCAAGACAGCGAAAATGGAAATTGCGCCAAAGATGACGGTGGCCTTCCGCAAAGGTCATTGCACAAATTGATGGGGACAACTGTAACACTCACAAAATTGAATGTCTGAGCTGTGACAGGGAATTCAAATGGTGATATATCGACCTGACACCGGGTCTGAGTTCAAGTTATGTGTCATGGAGCGAAAGTAACGCACTGCAAATACCAGCGCATTGAATAAGACAGCACAAACATAGAATGGTTTAGCGTATTTTCCCAGCTTGAAATGAGAAGACTGGAAACAATTGGGTGTCATCGTCAAGCGTAGCAAAGCGATAAGGCCATATGCCGCAATGGTCGGAGCGGCTCCGGCTGAGACCAATGATGTGAATGCCACCTGACTGGGAATGATTGTACAGAGAAGAGCGGCTGCAAAGATGTAGATGACGGTAACTGCATTGCGAGGTTGTCCTTTCGAGTCGACAGCGCCGATCCATCCGGACAATGGTAAAACCCCATCTCTTGCGACTGCGAACACAAGGCGCGAGGATGCGACAATAGCGACGGTTGTGTTCTAGCAGGCCGACTAATGAAAATCGGGGTAATTTCAGCGAGGTAGTACGTACCATGATCAGGCCAACGACCGCAATAACAGTCATAAAGATGCTGGCTTTCTTCCCGAGAGCGAGCGCGTAGATCTGCACAAATGGCTGCGGCGCATCGAGGGCAAACACAGTGTCGAGGTCTGGCGTACAGAACAAAAACAGGATAGTCGTGATGAAACCCAAAACACCTGTTGCAATTGCACTTGATAAAATTCCTTTTGCTGCAACCACACTGCGAGAAGTCAAACAGTGACACCTTACGATGTTGTCGAAAATCATACCTAGCATTCTTGGTCTCCTCAGCGATGTGTCCTGAGGCATCAAAGCCAGTCAAGGTCCCCGCTGTGAATAACCTAGAATGGTGTCAGATAATTGGCTGATTACTGAAATTACAATTTGACATACAAAGATAAGAGCCAGTTCCACGCAGCTGGGGCTCCCGTGCCGTTATCTGCCGTAAAATCAGCATGATTAAAGGCATTGGCAGAGTGGACATCTTACAAGTCATCGTGAAGACATCACTGGCGGACCGGAAACCGTAGGTCTTCGAAACACCGATAGGCAACCAGATGAGACACAAGAAAAAGTCAAGCATCATGAGGCCGATGGAAAATTTGAAGACACCAGAATAAAATTTTGGCGGAAGGTAGTTGATAGCCACTGACAACAACAACATTCCTTCGGATATGGCCCATATCAAGGCCCGCCACTGGATATTGTCATTTCCAACACCCCCAGGGAAGTTAACCTCCCAAACGGCAAGTTGAGAAACGATGTAATTGGCTGTGGTCTATAAAATTGAGAATCAAGTCCACCGTCACCTTAAATATGACATACTTGGCAGTTGCTCGCGGTAAAGGTCATCCATGCGGTACATGCCCACCAAGCAACAAGGAAGCCGAAGAATCTGGCATGCTTTGGACCAGCACTTTCTGCAGCCCATAAGTAGATAGAGCCGCTTAATGGTAACGCGGAGCAGATCTCGGCGAGAACAGCGGCAGTTATGAACATAAAGATCATCGTAACAGCATATGATGACCTGTGTTAGGGTTGGCATGCGCGAGTAAAACATAAATCAACGGACAAACCATATCGCGGCGGGCCCTCCCGCGAGAAGCCCGAGGAAGAGAAAAGATCTATCGAAGTGATATTAGTAATAGCAGAAGCACTCAATGCAGTCACATACCTGACGCTTCCAATGAAGTTCAGGGCAACAAAACTTGCCGCAAAGCTCTCAATCAGGTGCCAGCTGCGATGTAATTGCTAAAACAGGTGAGATAGGATAGCAACCAAGGTACATATGGTCTCACCTGTTTATAGCCAAGTTGTGCCTGAAATCGTGAAAAAATAGAGTCAGCACAAGATACATTGCTCCTCGTAAGGAGTGGGAAAGCGAAGTGACACTGGGGGCTTCCCTACGCAGGTATGAGCGCTGTTCAGGTTCGAGCGGTATTATCTCAACCCCTACTGCAACTCAGACGTCAGTGACAACCCATAGTCCGTCCGGGATGGTCAAAAACGATTCAGAGTCGGTCAACAGTAGGGATACCCGCAGCCATCCAGTTTATCACCATACCGATTAATTCAGTGATGCCAAACGCGTCATTTCCTGCAAGGTCATTCCCTTCTGTCGTTGAGGAGTGAATTACCAGCTGCAGGGCGTCCGTGTCTGCGATAGAGCCACTTTCACTATCACCAACAACAACATCATCTGTCTTCTGTTCTCCAGTGCTGGAATGGTTAGACATCGTGGCAAACAAACTGGAAGACGACGAGGATAAAAGTACGGGCGGGATTCAAAGCCTGGCAGGATGGTATAAATACACTTGAATATCTCGGTTGCAGTTGTAACTCCGAAGTAAAATCACACAAAAAAGTTCGATAAGGAGCATCAGTTGTGATCTATGGACAGCTGCCGGCCCGCCGATGCGCCACCGTCGGCCCACCGACTGTCATGGATATTTATTGAACATTCAGATGCTGAGGTACAATGATTGAACATCTGGAAAAGGCAAAGCGATTTGACAGGCTTACAGGTTTGAGAGCTTTGATTAGGAGCCATTCTTCAGTGGAAACATCAGCCTTGAAGGACGTCTAGACATTGCTAATGTTAGCTTCGAAGTCCACAACAGCATGTGCAGCCAAACCTTGAGAACATCAATGCTCTGTCTTGTGATGTGACTGAAAAGTTCATTCTTTTCATCGAAGTGTCGGCCGAACATTTTTCCAGATTCATACACAGCGTGTTCGATCTTCACAGCAACGCCACCACCAGATTGAGATTTCTTGACAATCTGTGGGGCCAGGTTCAATGACACGATGTCACCGTAGGATAGGACAAAAAACTTACATCGAATGATTTGTGGTTGATCTCCAACGACGTGCTTGTCACGGGATTATGAGTAGTAGTACTTAGAAAGTCTGAAATGAAGGACTTACACCTTCCCAAGGTCGATAATGTCTTTCTTCTGTGTTGTCGGATCGACCGTGACAACACAAAGCGGAGTGCCCACTCGAAGAGTCCCATCCAAGATGTCAACTCCCAAAATAATCGGATCACGTTTACAGAAGGCAGCTATAATCTTCAATCTGCAAGGCCATACCGCTTGCGGAGCCGCGTCTCGTCGCTTTGCCTCCATGATGTCGTTGTTATAGGCAGTGAAGGCGTCAAACAGATGATAGATGATGTCGGCTGCATGGCCAGTCAGAACAAGCACCGAAGTAACAACGGAGATTAAAACCTTTGAACACTTTGATGCCCATTTCCTCGGCGAGCTTTTCTGTATCTTTGTCCACTGGTACGTCGAAACAAAGAATGACTGCGAGTTCCTTGGCCTTTTCTAGCATTGTGGCAGCGCGCATGACATCTTTCTTGTGTACGGGACCGATATTAATCCCCGATACAGGAATTTTGCTGACTTTCAAGAAGTCGAGCAACGCTTCGAGAGATCCTAACGTACTGGCTTGCACGCAAACTCCACGACCTGACTTGTCAACAGAGTTTAAAAGCGTGGTGAGGTCTGACATGACCTCGTCGAGTAAATCCTCCTCGTCATCGTCTGGCCCAACAACAAGGAGCCGTGAACCTGCAACAGCTTTATCAAGGTCAGGAGCAACAAGCTTGACACCCAGTGCCGCCTTGACTTCTTTGTGGTGAACATATGCTGACTACGAAGAATATAAGTTCCACTCTGGAAACACCAAATTGTATACTTGCCTTGATTCGTAGCTCGCGAAGCGGCTGAGGCGTTAACAACGCACGAACCTGAGTAACAATCGGGCCATTAAGACCGCATATAATTATTTTGTCACCTTCACGTAGGATACCGTTGGACAAGACAACATCAATTGTCGTGCCCAAGCCCTCTACTACCTTCACTTCGAGGACGGTACACTCCAGCTCCGAGAGGTACATCAAGCGATCACTCATGCGCTGCTGGGTAAGATTGACCAACAGCATGATCATGTCGGGAACGCCTTCCCCAGTGATAGCGGATGTAGGCACCAGAGAAACATTGCGGGCAAAACTCTTGTTCTCGTAGTATAAGACTGCATTTAAGCCCTGTTCTGCAAAGGCGAGGATGGTTTTTTGTACACGATCTTCGAATTCTCGTTGCACAGATCGCTTTTGCTTCGCAAGTGATTCTTGGAAGGCGCCGTCGGGTGTTTCTTTCCAGCCGTATAATCGGTCAATCTGCGAAACGAAATCGGAACCAAACATCAGAGAGTATTAAGTAGATCCACCTTGTTAAGGGCCACGATGAACGGTGTTTTTTTGTCTCTCAATAGCCTTAGAGACTCCAGAGTTTGTGGTTCAAGGCCGTGCTGGAATAGGGAATGAGGGCCGATCTTTAGCAGAAAATTAGAGCGCACCATGATATCTACCACCAAAATCGCGATGTTGCACAGAGAACTTCCGCGGCTACGCAAGTTGGTGAAGGATTCGTGTCCGGGAGTATCGATAACCAACAATCCAGGGATCTTGTATTCTTGAGAGTTGTCCTGGTATCATTGTTCAGAAAACAGGAATCGTTAGAACATTCAAGTGACCAGCCTTATTCATTACTGCAGTCTTTGTCTTTATGGCATCTAACGGGAAGTACGTGGCACCTATTTGCTGGGTAATACCGCCTGCTTCGCCTTCTTGTACATTTGTTTGACGGATCTGAAAGGATGAGTATGACAGATAAAGACATGCAAGCAAAACAACAGACCTTATCCAAAAGTTTCGTTTTACCGGTATCAACGTGTCCGAGAATACAACAGATAGGACTGCGAAGGTTATCTTTCTGATCTTTACTGTGCACCGTAGTGGCAGCCACATGTGTCTTAGCTGGTCTCACATGCGCCTGCGCTGTCCTTGCATCTGCTTGCGCCGCGTCGGGTAGATCCTGGTCGACTTGAATGTCCGTTTGGGCTTCTGGTTGTTCTGGTTGCGTCTCCTCCGAGTCAACACTTTCATCTGATTCATCCCCGCTGCTTGCATCCCACTCATCCTTCACACCGTCCAACTTGGCCTCCTCAGTAGCGGGCTCGACATGCGAAGGGGGGGAAGTTTCGAGGATGTTGTCTGGAGTTTCCGGTCTCGACTCAGGGGTAGGCGAACCTGTGGCCTCCTTGGCAAGAGGGCCCTTCTTCTTCCTATTACCGAACGCGACCTTCTTTGACGGAATACCTGCCTGCTGTTGCAGCCCTTCAATCTGAACGCCTGATGCAAGGAGGGCCTGCCGGCGAAGCTCGGCGGCTGCCTTTTCTTCCTTCTGTTTCTTCGTCATGTATCGACCCTCCTTTTTGGCCAGCTCAAGCTTGGCCTGAAAGGCCTGTAAGCAAGATTACCTTTGGGGCGAGATGTTGGATCATACCTTTTCCTTCTCTTTCTTCCGTTGTTTCTCCTCTTCTTTGCGCTTTGCCTCCTCTTCCGCTCGTCTCTCCTCCTCTTCTATACGTTTCCGTTCCTCCTCCTCTAGTCTTCGCGCCTCCTCCTCTAGTCGTTTCTTCTCCTCCATCATGGCCTTCAAGGCACTGAGGCCGCCTTTAGCCTTCTTTGCAGGTGCAGGAGTTGGGGCAACGGCAGGAACGACGTCCTCATCTTTCTTTCCTTTCTTCTTCTTTTTCTTCTTCTTTGTGTCTGTCTCACCTGCCCCTGCTTCTTCACCATCTTCTTCATCATCAAGTGCTGTTGAAGTAGTGTTATTTGCAGGTGCAGGAGGTAGCGGAGTCGGGGCAGCGACAGGAGCGGTGTCCTCATCTTTCTTCCCTTTCTTCTTCTTTTTCTTCTTCTTTGGATCCGAATCCCCAGCATCTACTCCTTCACCGTCTTCTTCCTCCTCGGGGGCTGTAGCAGTGCCATTATGTGCGGGTGCGGGAGTTGGGGCGGCGTCAGGAGCGACATCATCGTCGTTCTTCCCTTTCTTCTTCTTCTTCTTGGTTTTTTGGTCCGGCTCCGGGAACTCATCCTCAGCTTGTGCGGTTTCGTAAGCGGGCAGGCGATCATCACCAGATTTCCCGATCTTGTCATCGATAGCGTTATAGTTCTCCGCTGATACACCAGCAGTCTCCCTGACTCAGAATTCGCTACTTGAGACAACTGGGGCAGATCAACATTGACTCCAATAGGCTCACCAATAATCGTCGTCGTTAGCCTTTCCTTTCTTTCCTTTATTTTTTGGCGGCATGATTAATACGATCGCCAATCGCTTGTAGCAGAGAAGAATTTGGGCTGAGGGATGTAGACTTTGACATCTAATCAGCCTGTATATTAAACGAAGCAGGCAAGTAATTCTCACGTTCGTTGACTCTTGCCTCGGCATTATTTTCATAGCTATGTTTCCACTCGAGAATTGTAATCACGGTGTATGACTTGAGTCTTGCAAAGGTCACGATCATCTGGGTCATCCCAGCCACATTTAGCTTACTACAGGTAGGATGTCAGGCTGCGTCTACACATGCTATCTCACAGAAAAATAATCCAGGCAGGAAGGCGATCTACTGAACTTGATTTTTTGGGGTTCTCTGAATTCTCAAAGCCTGCCAAGCTGCTCTTTGGCGAATAGACCCCCTTGAATGAGCATAAAAAACATGATTTGACATGTCCGCATTGTCGTCAGCGTCCAAATTCTCGCCATATGGACCCCCGATTCTTCCTTGTCGCAGCGAGTTCTATGTCTGCTATCGACTATGCCATCCTCATGGACCGGGAGGTTTTTCCTTTATTATCGGTGCGCGCAGTGCTGATTCCGTTGGCCAAGCTTTTTGCGCGTGTGGTGCAAACACGAGTCATGTGGGCTCTCGTATATGTCGCGATGCAGAATTCTGAATCAGCAATTGAGCCAGTCATAACTGAGATGCTACCTGATCTTCGCTCACTGCCGACGTGATTCGTCGATTTAGACCAGTGTTGCGTAGTGGTCGATGAGGATCAGCAACATATGATCCCGCAGAGCAATGCAACCAATGTCGATGTTTACAAGCAGCAGTGATGTAATTATCACACCTGACGGATTGAAATTTTGTTGAGCTAATTTCATTATGTATCAACTTTGGCGCTGATCGAAAATCCTGCATGTACCAGGATGCCGGGATTTTTTTTTCTGGAAAACACTTGTTGAGAGTATGTTATTATTAAGGGAACCTTGTAAGTAATATTGATATCAACCTTCGTAGAATAATGCTGATACATACCAAGTACTACATTCTTCTATCGACACGGGTCGGCCGGCAATAAAATACTCAACCAATCATTGATTTGCTGAGTTAGTATTTGCCTTGACCTATGCTCTGGGTTGTTTGCAATGTTCTATGATGTTCCATGTGAGTTCAATTGTTCGTTTCTTTTGTTACATTGCAAACCGCGCTTGCATGCTGTCATTTATGTAATAACTTATTCGGTGGCTCCACATCCGCAAGGTCACGTTCCGCATAAATAACGCATTCGCGTTCTGCATCCTTCATCATTCTTCAGAGGCCTTGGGAGTGAAACAACCAGTCTCCAAAGCCCCGGTGCAGTCTCCGAATACTTGGTACGTGTCCCATTTTTTTTCGGGTGCATAAAGTTGTGTTCCAGCTACTCGGTTGTCGTACTTCCCGCATGGCAATGCAATTCGTGTGAGTTCCATAAGGTTTCGTGTGAGTTCCTTGGCCTCTAGAGAGCTCCATATGCTCACGGAGAGATTGACATGCATGCTATGGATGTGGGTGCATTTCACTGTGTCTGTGTTAACTCACTTTCCAATGAACGGATCCGGCCTGTGCTTGCGGAGTTGCTGAATTACCGATCACCATTCCGCCGGCCTCTACATATTCTGGACTTGCGATGTCCCTAGCTACAGGTATGACTCAGTGTGAGTGTGTCCCCAGTGACACGCAGCACGCATGTTGTAAACCATAGTATATGTTAAAGTATGTCAAATGACACGTCTATACAATATCAAAGACAGCGAACGCCAACAAAGTAGTCGAACATAATTTTAAGGTTTCGATCGATCCGAACAAATAGGCCGAGTGTTACGATTATCTACACCGCGATGCCGCGACGGGCTCGGGGAAATTCCCCAATTCGATAAAAAAGCAATCGATGCCGCCATAGAGTCCCAAAACGGTTCTGTATTGATTGCCAGTACTGAGGATCTGACTCTTTGCTCCGACGACCAGTCAAAGTATTACACCTTCACTATGGGCCTACTCACGATCATCCGTAAAAGCAGGCAAAAAGAACGGGAGATGAGAATTCTCTTCCTGTACGCCATCCGCAGCTCTCCGAGTTTATTCTTCCCACTCAACGACCGCCCAGAGGATTGGATAATGCTGGTAAGACGACTATCCTAAAAAAGATCAATGGGGAAGACATATCCAGCGTGAGCCCCACGCTTGGATTCAATATCAAAACGTTCATTCACAGAAAGTGAGCCTGGTAACTCAACTTGGATTTTTCTCTGCAACTGAGAGAATTCTTCTCTGTTTGATCGGCGTGATGCCACGCGTCACAGATACACTCTCAACATTTGTTAGTGAACAGACCCCCCTTATGCTTTTCTCGTGACGGAAATATCTTTGCTATCAGGGGATGTAGGCGGTCAACGAACGCTTCGACCATACTGGCGCAACTACTTCGAACAAACAGATGCCATTGTTTGGGTAGTCGATTCAGGGGACAGAATGCGAATGCGGGACTGCAGAGAAGAGCTACACAACCTTCTTCTCGAAGACGTAACATATGTTCTTTACGCTTGTTATTGACAGCAACTGACCAAATCGTGCGCTAGCGGTTATCTGGAGCTTCTCTCCTCGTCTTCGCGAACAAACAAGATATACATGGCTCGATGTCAGATCTTGAAATCAGCGAGGCCAGCTTCCTTACCATTCAGATGGCCTCGAGTGATGCTGATGAGTCCATCCAGGCACTGGATCTACCTGGCATCAAATCTCACAACTGGAAGATCTGGTCGTGCAGTGCAGTTACTGGTCTTAATCTGATCCAAGGCCTCGACTGGGTCGTTGAAGATGTGGCTCACAGGCTTTACTACAGCTCGACTAGTTTCGCGTAATGTTTTTTCCATCTCGCGCGCACGAAAATCTGGAAAATCAGCTTGTGAATGCGCTTCTTTCACTGAGACGCATAGACCATGTCGATTGAGCGCCGCATGACGGTCTAGGTCTCATTTCCGCAGCGTGCAACCGAAACCACGACCCTATTCCTTAGACGGCCCACATTATTTCCTTGCAGAGAAGGAGCGGGGGTGTCGGGCGAACGACTTGGTAGTATGACACGGCCTACCCGTATGGGTATAACTTTGAGAGAAGCAAGAATCCTCGACTACTTCCTTGAATTTATCTCCACGAACGGCTCATTTCAATTCCTGAAAGTTCAGTGATTGTACTGGTCAAAAAAAATATATATATCTACTGCGATTTCAGCGCTGCGTGTGGCATCCCTAACGCATGCTTTAGGTAGCAAGTAACCGCACACGTAAAATTGACAGGGAGTTAGGCCTTAAGAATTAACGCTTTAGGATTAGTGCATGAGATTCGAGGGTGCGTACTCTCAGGGGATACCGAACCTTCAGATTGTCGAGGCATCTTCACTAGTAAGACTCAAAATGTCAGTGCGCTTGCAGATGAACCAACATTCCGAGTCGGCAGAATGGCGCAAATCACTGTGGTCCTACTTGATTGTACCGTGCAATCACCTACTGTGTTTACCCACCCCATTGCATAGCTTCAGGTGGATATTCGCTTTTCCTGAATCAGACTAGCTATCATAGAAGTTCACACTGTGCATTACGCATTTATGAACGATAATCGGATTGTCATGAAACAGCTACTCATATCGTCATATCAGCCCGGATCAGCCGGTGCATAATCGTGCCTGGGTAAGAACCATTAGGGCATTTCGCGAGATGCACGGGCAAACTTGAGCGAACTTCAGGTTTGCATTACGAGAACATGGCGGCGAACGGTCGATAAATTGGACTCTCGAATTCAGTACATGGAGTGTAAAGACTGAAAACTGAAAACCTAGACTAAGACAAAGTGTACTGGTTGAGTGGAAACTCTGAGAAGACCAGACATATATCCAGAACATCACCAGAGTTCTTGACGATCATTTGGCGATGCACTCTGTCAGGGCCAACCTGGGCAGTGTTGAAGCATATTAAAAACACGAGGGATCATCTTTTATGGAACATCGAAAACTTGGCGGATAATCGATTTAGGCAGGAGGTGGTATCGAGGCCAGGGATGGCTAGGGTCACGGCGATCCATTGCATTGTAATGCGATGATCGTACTCCGTTGCCCGTTGCCCTGCCACGGCGCGCATGCGTGGCAAGTCCATCAAAGATGAGAGGCGCAATGGAGAGCAAAAGACAGAAGATTGGTCTAAGATGTGAGGCCAAAGTGCTTTGACTTTAGTGTGTTTGACAGATGACACCCTGGGCGACATAACATCGGTTAACAACAAAGTTTAGGCTTTCCGGGCCCCCGGGGGGAAGCCGGATCACGGTCAGCTGCGCCGGCTGGTGCTGACCGAGCGGAACAAAGCGATGGGTGAGCTTGAACCAACCTTCCGATGCGGTTGCGGGTACCTAACGAAACGTCATGGCGGAAAATTATGATGGAGATGATCTAACAGGGATAAGTGGCACCCTGGCAGGAACGTGGACTAACCAAGGGTCAGGACCCAGTAAATGCGTGGTGGAGCAAACAAAGATCAAACCCGATAAGGGATGGATGGAATGGAATGAGGGGAGAAGGGCCGTGTTTGCGAGAGCACAGGGAATTCACGGGTAGTAATGGTCCGTTGGGAGGAATGGAGTGATATCAACTGGGATCGGCGAGGTGTGCGAAGGGCTTGTGTGTGACTCGAGCAGATTAGGACAAACCAATAAGGTAGAGAGACGCAAGAAGGTGGAGAAGATTGGCAGAATGTGCGACTCGATCGTGTGCCTTTCGCGGTCCGTAATAATAGGATAATAGACCAATTGAAACCAGACTTGATCTGGCAATGCCGCGTCAGGGTACACGGATGTGATTGGGTCTGAATGACCAATGACAATTGAGCATTGTTCAAAGTTTCAAATTTCGACGTGGTTGACATGTCTTGGATGGTGAAACTGAGTGTAATGCCACGTACGTTTGAAGAGTTCTTTGTTTGAGTCGCGATTGCACGTGACGAGTGAACCTTTCAGAGTTTTTGTTGAGCTGGCGTCTGACCCTGGCAGTGAC